AGGAACATGGGGAGGAGAAGAGACATGGTGTACTGCTGAAAAGTACTTGGCCAAGAATGCAGCGGCCTGGCTCTCGGGCAGTGCTGGTCTGAGGCAGGGAAGCATGCGGGGAAGGTAGAGGATGAGCATTGTTGGTATGGGGAGGCCGCTGTGCCGTACCCTGGCTCCCCCCACTCCCACCACAGAAACACACAAACACACACACACACACACACACACACACACACACATTCTCCTCATTATATTGGCCACGTAACTGTGGAACCCCTTGTTCTTTTCTGGGACAAAGTAAAACTCCCTCCCCCAACACAAAATAAGAAATAAGTTTTGGGTGTTATCTTGTGGACAGATCAACCACTGCCCTATCAAGGTTATCTGAGCTCTCTGCCCTCACCGCCTCCTTGGCCTGCAGCCTGTTGTTGCTGCAGAGAGGAAGGGGGTTGGATTCCTAGGGATGCCTGCAGGGCCGGTGAGGGAGAGGCCCAGTCGGCCAATCCCGGACTTTAAGCTTTAGTCTTAGTAACTTGGTGAGAACAAGCCCGGCTGCCAGAGACTAGAACCTGTTGTCATTTATTATTCTCCCCGCTTTGCACTTTGGGGAGGTTTCCTCAGGCCCCTGAGCTGTGCTGTCAAGTTGCCACCAGAAAGGAGGAGGCCAGGACTGGGCGCTTCTTTCGGAGGTACACCTGAGGTGACAGCTAGGCGCCACTCTGGGACAGCCCAGATGAGGCCACAGAGCCTCCCGGGAGCACCTCACGGGCAGGGAGGTTGCGAGATGCACCCTGTGGCTGGAGAGACAGAGGGAGGGAGCCTGGAGATACTCCTGTCCCAAGCCCAGCAGAGGCCTAGAGACCCCGAGGGAAAAGCGCTTTGCTCAGGGCCCTAGAGGGAGTAGCAGCCCTGAGAGGGAAGACCTGGGTCTCTGGACTCCCAGTGGGAAGCCAGAGAGAACCACTTTCAAGGTGCGCGAAAGTCTAGATCCCTGCCAATCGTGAGCCCGGTGGCACGGGGGTAGGGGTTTGGGGGCGGGATTTTACTAGACTGTGCTATTTCTCTGAGCTAGTTTCTCACCTGAGTCATGCTATGTAATGAACACATTCGTTAAGTTTATGCATCTGAATGTCTTCTTCATAAAAAGTTAACTGCATAGTATTAATATTCCACTTATATGTCTATACTTTTTTTCATTTTCCTTTTCATGTGTTTTTCACTTTTAAGTTTTTTTAAAAATATATATTTTATTGATATTTTTACAGAGAGGAAGGGAGAGAGATAGCCAGAAACATAGATGAGAGAAACATCAACCAGCTGCCCCTTGCACACCCCCTACTGGGGATGTGCCCGCAACCAACGTACATGCCCTGACCGGAATCGAACCTGGGACCTTTCAGTCTGCAGACTGACGCTCTACCACTGAGCCAAACTGGTTTCGGCTCACTTTTAAGTTTTTAATAGTTTCCTTTAACAAAAAATGAGGAGCATAGTTATGGGGCTGTGTGCAGATGAATATGATCATATTTGTAGAAAGGAGTATTATAGGTAGTGTATCGATATATTAAAGTATGGAAAGCAGGACTACCAGGCAAAGTACTTGTAATTATCATTGTTCAGGTGTGTGCTACAGTATATCATTGTCGTAGCTATTAAAGCCTATTTTAAGGTAAATTATTACTGGAAATAAGTAATTTCCTCTTATTCACAAAAAAATAAAGGGATGTCTTAGTTTGCTGACGTACATAAAAGAACATAACTTGTAGTGCCCCTGAATTGACGTCGGCTTCCTAAATTCAAAGTGCTGACTGAACACGTGTGTGTGTGTGTGTGTGTGTGTGTGTGTGTGTGTGTGAAGGGGTGGGCTGCCAAAAAATGTTACTTCCGTCTGCTTTGTTAATCACAAAGAATAAATAATAACGTTTGGCTCTCTAGAGAATTCAAGGCTATAATTCACCCGTGAGGCTTCCCTGTTTTAGAAACCGCTTGAACTACGCTTTTGGTCCCATCTTCTATAAGCAAAAGAGTTTGCGTGATCCCCTGCTTGTTATATTCACTCCAGAGCAGCCTATCATCGCTCCCTGTTTTAGCTGAACTCAACAGAGTGCCCTAAATTCTTTTCTTTTTTTTTTTTCTTTTAATTTTTACTAAAGTATAGTTGGCATATACAATTGTTTTAGTTTCTGGTGTGCACCATGATGATTGGGTATTTATATGCCTTGCCATGTGATCACCACCGTCAGTCTGTTAACCGTCATCATGCCGTGTTATTATGACACCAGAGGCCCGCTGCGCTCGGGTTGTCCTTAGCCCGGCCTGTGACCTCTCGCAGGCTGGAGCCCTCGGGGTATGTCCGGGAGCAGGCCAAACCAGTGCTGTCACAGGTGGGAGAGGTTCCCACCACCACCGCTGCACTCGCCAGCCCTAAGCCCTGCTTCTGGCTGAGTTGTGCTTCTCCCACTCCCCCACCCCCAATTCCATGGGAGCTCACTGACCACCAGGGGCAGCTCCTGCATTGAGCATCTGCCCCTGGTGGTCAGTGTACGCCATAGTGACCGGTCGTCCAGCTGTTTGGCTGATTTGCATATTAGCCTTTTAAAAATATTTTTACTGTATTCCCTGTGTTGTACACTACATCCCTGTGGCTTATTTGTCTAATATCTGGAAGTTTGTACTTCTTATTCCCCTTCACATTTTTCTCTCATTCCTCACCCCTTCCACTCTGGCAACCATCAGTTTGTTCTGTCTGTGAGTCGGTTGCTCTTTTGTTTTGTTTATCTGTTTTTGTCTTGTGGGTTTTTTGGTTTCTTTTTTTTTTTTTTTTTAGATTCTACATATAAGTGAAATCATATGGTATTTGTCTATATCTGACTTCTACCCTGAGTTATTGCCTATGCTTTTAAGATTTCTTTTTCAATTACAGATTACATTCAATATTATTTTCTGTTAGTTTTAGGTGCATAGTATAATGATTAGGCTTTACAAACTGGTCCCTGTGAACACACCTCAGACACTGATTGGCCTATAATTTTTACATATAAAATAATTGACTCTGTTAATTGTTTGCCCTTGAAATTGTTGTTTCAGCGCATTCAGATATTTTTTGAGCACTTCCTGCAGGCTGGTCAGAGGCGCTAGGGATACAGGAGTGAAAAAGAGCCAAACCTGTCTTCATGGCCTTCACCTTAGAGGTTCTGCGAGAGGCGATAGTAGGTAGCTAAGAATGGAACTAACGTGAGGTGTTTTTTTAAACCTCTGCTTCCACTGTGGAGTGGGCCTTGTTACAGGTGGCTGGGCCTCTGTGGTCTAATTCTATCCCTGCCTCTGAGCAATGAGAGAGTAAATCTCTTACAGTGTCTCACTCTGTATTTGCAAGGTTAACAGCAGAACGTTTTTTGTGTGTACAGGTGTGTGCCCCCAGATAACATACTGTGTAATAACTACGATCAGTAGTGGCATTCCGCAATCTTTCTGGGATCATTGATCTCCATCAGAATTTGGAAAACCACTTTTTTACACTTTTTTTTGGCTCATGTCCAAGAGGCAGTGATACCCACCCATAAGGGAGCTCCTCAGAGGGGATGCCAAGAAGTTTTAGAGCGTGGGCGATGGAATATGACTTTGCTGAAACAGACCCAGAATTGACATACCTCATCTGTGGCGGGCCCCGACCCAGTGGGCATGGATGACTTCTTTAGGAACATGGGCCACAGAGAGGCCTGGGACGAATTCTCGGCTGCCCACGTTGTCTTCAGTCGGCTGTCAGGGGGACCACATCCTTAAACCGATCCTTCTGATCCCCTCTGGCTTTGTGGAGGTGGTGGGGGAAATAATGCTCAAAAAGAGTGGCCCAAGGAGGAGAAAACACTAATTTGAAAAGATATAAGCACCTTTATGTTCCTTGCACTATTATCTACAATAGCTAAAACATGGAAATAGCTTAAGTGCCCACTGATGGATGAATGAATAAAGAAGATGGAAATTACTCAGCCGTTAAAAGGAAGGAAATCTGAGGGCAGTATTATGCGAAGTGAAACAAGTCAGATGGAGAAGACAAATACCGTATGATTTCACTTATATGTGGAGTCTTTAAAAAAAAAAAGCCATGAACAAACAAAACAAAATCACAGAACCGATTGGAAAGGTGTTCAGAGGAGTGTGACATGGGTAAAGGGGGTCCATTATATGGTGATGGATGGTAACTAGATTTACAGAGGTGAACACTATGCAGTGTATCCAAACATCTATAATGTTGAACATCTGAAATATATATATAGTCTGAATACCAATTTAATAATAATAATAATAATAATAATAATGATAATAATAATAGATGGCTGCTTATTGCGCCAGGCAAGCGACTGTGTTTTTACATGGATCACTGCATTTCACTCTTAGCTAATAATTATATCACATAGATATGTGAACCCATATTTGTCTGAATCCCATAACCTCAGCTCTCCCTATGATTTGGGGATTCTCTTTCATTCTCAATTTATGGAATTGTACTTTTTCGCTATCTGGGATTTTAACTACCTAGGATTTTCTATGGAGTTTTGAATGTCCATTTACTTAATGAAAATGGATGTCGGTTGGACATGTTTTAAGGGGTTATATTTTAATGGCTTTGGGAGGTTAATGACTTGTTAGGTGCCCCGGCCAGTAAGTAATGGAGAGCATCTGTTGGCTTTGGTAATAAATTTCAAACTTGTTCAGAATTCTGCTTATGTGCTAAATTTGAGTTTCTCCAGTGAGTACTTTTTGTATCTTGGATGATTTATGTCTTTCTGGGGAATCATTTAGAATAATTTTTTTTTTCTTTTAAACAAGTGGTCTTCATAAAGACTAGGGCAGATGGATATATATCACACTCAAACATCTGGATCAGGCAGGGCAGTTCTGTTTGATGTTTGTTATAAAAATGGCACCGTCAAATACTAACAACTGTTTTATTCTGATCTTAACATCATGTTGAAAACATTCCTTTCCCCCCCTTCTTTTCAACTCAGTATCGTTGCACTGATTGGCGGAGACACAGAGAAGTAGATGTCCACACCCACAGACCCTGGCGCGATGCCCCACCCGGGGCCTTCGCCGGGGCCCGGACCCTCTCCCGGACCGATTCTCGGACCTAGTCCGGGGCCTGGGCCGTCCCCAGGTTCCGTCCACAGTATGATGGGGCCAAGTCCCGGACCTCCAAGCGTCCAACACCCTATGCCTACGATGGGGTCTGCCGACTTCCCACAGGAGGGCATGCATCAAATGCACAAGGTAAGCGGCTGTTCTCCTGTTCGGTCTCCTCTTCTGGGTCCTGGGCAGCTAACATCCCCGGTAACCCCTGCCCCTCTGTTTCTGCTGTTTTTACGAGAGAAACGAGGTCTTTGTCTTACCCTGAACGTTATTAAAAACATACCTTCTGGGGCTCGTTTATTGGTACAGATGTTGCACCAGTCAGGAAGATCGGATTCGTGTCTTTTTAAAAAAAGACAAGATTGCAGTTCTGATAGTTAAATTCTCTGACGTATGGGATGCAGCTATTTTGGCTTGGTGAATTAGTGAATAAGTCTGACAATTAAATTAACTTTTATCAATCTAGTTACAATTGAACAAATTGAGAATTATTCTTTTTTTTTAAATCTTGGTATTTATTTTAAAAATTAGACCCCAAAGAGTAAAAGGAAAATGAGTCCCTTCCTGAAGATCCGCGGTGGTTCCTGGGAGGCCCTCGCATGCACTTGGCTGTCAGTCTCAGGGGCTTCCTCCTGGGGGAGGGGCCTGTCGTTTGTTTCGGGACTGTTATGATGACCCTCTGTTTGGGAGCCTTGGGCTGTTGCTGTGGGGGGACGGTCATACTGGTACAGCGTTGGCATTAGGCCTTCACAGGACACTCAAAGAAGAGAGAACAGCCTTTGGAGCAAGTAAACAAGAGCCTCTGAGACAGTTTGCTTTGAAAGTTAGCAAAAGCCAAAGAAACTCTAGGAGGCCACTGCATGTTACCTGAAGGTCGTGCCTGATGAGACAAGCAAAGGCTTTGCATCTCCCGTGGATGACGGATGCCACGGGGGGACAGGGCCGTGGGATGCCTGTTAGTGTTAAACAGACAGAACACGGAAAATACTGGTTTAACACTGAAAGATTACTGCAAAAGAGAGCAAGTCTTTCCTCTAATTGTGTGGGGACTGTAAGTCAATTTTAAGCTAAGGCATTGGAAACCAAAAGAAAAGATCCACTTTTTTTTTTTTTTTTTTTTTTTTTTTTTTTTTTTTTTTTTTTTTTTTTTTTTTACAAATTTTGTAATCTGATGATTTTCAAATCAGAACAGTTACTATATTGCTTGTTTTGAAAAATGAAACCACACTGAGATAAATAAAGGAGATGGTTAAGCCTGGCTCTACCCAGGATTGTTGACAGCTTTTCACACCTCACTTTTTCTCTGTGCTCAGGAAGCTCAGGAAAAATCATACACAGGTGTGATTCTTTTAAAAATAATTTTTCTTTCTCACCGTAATAGAATCATATTCCTACTTAATTACTCTGCAACTTCCTTCTTTGCGTTTAAAAATATATTGTGATTATCCCTATAATGTTCCCAAGTTCTCTCTCTTGTTTTATTTTTAGAAAGAGAAAAACAAAACACATTTTAGCTTGTCAGGTAGCTGAAGCAATAAAGCTATTTTTTATATCATATTTTTAGCAGACATATTGAACATATAGACATACTGAAGTCATTAAATTGTCTTCTGCTCATATTAAATTAATTTGGGAGCTATATTATAGATCTGATCTGTCACTTGTAAAACCTTAGTCCAGGTGGGTTAAATAATTTCAGAATGGGTTAAGGATGTCTCATCTCCAAAATGAAAGATAAAATGTGAAGGACATATTTAGCTAATCTTTATGATTATTTAAGCATTTAAAAGTTAGCTGTCCCTAGACGGTTTGGTTCAGTGGATAGAGCGTTGGCCTGTGAACTGAAAGGTCCCAGGTTCAATTCTAGTCAAGGGCCTGGGTTGTGGGGTTGATCCCCAGTGGGGGACTTGCAGGAGGCAGCTGATCTCTCATCATGGATGTTTTTTCTCTCTCTCTCCCTCTTCCTACATCTCTGAAATCAATAAAAATATATTTTAAAATAAGTTAGCTGTATAAAATAAGCGTTGTTTCAGTGTTACATTTTTGCACTGGGTTGTTTTTATTAATAATTATCTCTTCTGACCCCTTCTGTTCACATGTCCTCATATTCTCTACCCCCATCTGAAGGCTTTTTTGTTTGGTTTGGTTTTGCTCTCATTCTGCAAGGTGTGCATTTTTTTGCCAATCTGGTTTTCCTGAACCCCAGCCCCTCAGATAATTCCCTGTGTGAGGACGTGTTTAGTGCCGAAGTTCACACCTGCTGGCCAGATGCCTTCGCTTTCTTAGACTCTTTTTAAGGACAGCTGTGTGCCTCGTCTTTCTCCCCCTTCTCCCTCTGAGCGTCAGCTTTTTGCTTTGCAACACGACTAGAAATAAATAAACAAGTGGCCTAAATGCATCTGCTGTGCTGCTTTGATTTCCTCCCTATTATTACTACTTAACACACTCAGAGACGCTCTTTATACCAGACCCTTCCGATTTTTCTTCCGAACATCCTCTTTATGGTACATTTTCCCTCTTTTCAAGTGCATGCTTTTGACTCTGCAGAAATTAACTTTCCTTTCTCCAAAACTGCAAACATTCATGCTTTCTTGCTTGAAGTTATTTGGTTTCTATAAACTCCTGGAAATATTCCTTTCAGGCTGTTTCTGAAAATGCTGTTGCAGTTTGCAGAGGAATGGGCCTTTCCTTTCCCAAACGCGTGCTCCCTTGCCCAGTGCTGGACTGGATTAAGGTCCGCGCGGTAGCTGTTTGTTGTGTGTCTGTTATGCATGAGGCCTTAGGTCCTGTCCCCAGACCCTGTGTTCTTATTCCCCCTCACGGTGCCTTTCACCCTTTCCAGTCTGGCCCCTCTGTGGCACAGCTTCATCTGTGTCACTGCCTTCCCTTTCAGTGCTCGCCCCCTTCTCTGCCCTACCCAGTCTGTTTCTCTTTCCCCAACTGCCATGGAACGTTCTGGTTTCAACTTCTCAACTCTCCATAGTCCCTTCTGCTCCGATGACAAAAAAAAAAAAATTAAAAAAAAAATTACCCAATAAATCGATCCTCACAGACGTTTCAAATAGTCTTCCTTCAGACCTGGGACTCACTTCAGGTTTCAGGGCTTACTTAGGAAGGTATGGAAGGACAGCTTCTATTCGTATACCTTGTGAGCAGGATTTTATTTTTACTTTCCAGTTTTGATGTGACAGGAAAAATTCAGCTGTGTATAGTCTTACCTTTTGACTTACAGGTAGTTTTGATGATTCTATTGATGTAGTCTTTTTTATTTTTATTTTTTTTGTCCCCACCTCTAAAATATATGGTAGGGCCGAAACCAGTTTGGCTCAGTGGATGGAGCGTCGGCCTGCAGACTGAGAGGTCCTGGGTTCGATTCCTGTCAAAGGCATATACCTTGGATGCGGGCACATCCCCAGTGGGGGATGTGCAAGAGGCTGCTGATCGATGTTTCTCTCTCATCGATGTTTCTAACTCTCTATCCCTTTCTCTTCCTCTCTGTAAAAAATTCAATAATAAAATATATATATGTGTGTGTGTGTGTGTGTGTGTGTGTGATAGGTGATTGTGCCACAGTTTGGAGGACTTCAGAGACAGGACTTAAAACTCCACATAGAGACCTTCTGTATGAAGGAGGAATCTAACAGCAGCGCTTCTCCTGTTTCAGCCCATGGACGGCATGCACGACAAGGGGATTGTGGAAGACATCCACTGCGGGTCCATGAAGGGCACCGGCATGCGACCGCCTCACCCGGGGATGGGCCCACCCCAGAGCCCGATGGACCAACACAGCCAAGGTCGGTAAGGCTACCTGCCTGATGTGGGCTTCAAACCACAGTCTTCCATCTTTCATATCAGTTATTTTAAATATCACTCCCAAAGAACATGTCAGAGGAAGACTGAATCCAGCATGTTCCTTTTCTCTGTAGAAATCACCCCCAGTCCCCACCAACACAACTTGACTATTCATGTGGTCACTTTCACTAACAAAGTCCTAGTCATGTTACTAGCTTTCCCTCGGGCTAGCCCAGTGCCCTGTGAACCTCACCCAGAATCTTTATCGTGAGGTAGTTAGGTGAATGATAGTATCCCGGTTTTATAGATTTATAGATGGAGAAAAAGAGAATTTACTCTGTTTTCCCATGTTTCCACCACCGTGAGGGACAGGGCCGGAAGGAGGAGCCGGGTCTGCCTCCCCAACAACAGTAGGTGTGAAGGCACATGAGCCACCTGAGTCCCTCAAACTGCACGCCCATATGTTGTCTGAAAGGGGCCTTTTCCTGTCAGCGCGACGGGTGGTTGTGTTTGTCTCCTGGGCCTGCCGTAACAAATCACCACAGACTGGGTGGCTTCAAACAGCAGAAGGTCATTCCTGCATAGTTCTGGAGGCTGGAAGTCTGGAGTCAAGGTACCAGCAGGGCCATGCTCTCTGAGGACTGTAGGGAAGAATTTGTTGCCTCTTCCTAGCTTCTGGAGATTGTCAACATCCTTGGAATTCTTTGGCATGCTGGTCTGCCCCTCCTATCTCTGTCCTGATCTCCACATGACATTTTTCCTGTGTGTCTGTGTCTGCTTCCAGATTTCCTTCCTCTTATAAAGATACCGTCATCGGATTAGGACCTGCCCTAATGCACTATGACCTCATCTTTAAAAAAAATAAATTTTTTTTTCTTGATTTCAAAGAGGAAGGGAGAAGGAGAAAGAGATAGAAGCATAAGTGATGAGAGAGAATCACCAATCAGCTGCCTCCCACACGGCCCCTTTCTGTGTATCAGAGCCCACAGCCCAGGCATGTGCCCTGACTGGGAATCGAACTGTTATCTCCTGGTTCATAGATCGATGCTCAACCACTGAGCCATGCTGGCCAGGCAACCTCATCTTAATTTGATTACATCTGCAAGGATCCTATTCCCAAATAAGGTTACATTCACAGGGACTAGGGGTTAAGGTTTCAAACTTATCTTTGGAGAGGGCACAATTCAACCCACAAGAATGGCCAAATCAATAGATGGAATATTTCTCTTCTCCTTGGTGCCTTTGCCCCTCACTGTTGAAGGCATGTAAAGATACCTCAGAGTCGTTTGAATACAAGGTAACTTGTTTTCAGAATCATGGTATGGTCATTTAAACATGCAAGGGGCATGGGTTTTCTAGCACTAATTAACCCCAGTATGTTGATATTCTAACTCAAAGTTTATGGTTTATGCATTCTATTGTATATTCCTATGTAATTATATTAATATATGTATGAGCTTTTTTCTCCATCAGTGATTAGGCATCCAATCACCTGAGAGAAAATTTTCCAGTGTAAAGATTTAGAAAAATGTAGTCAGTGTGTGTGTATATATGTTTGTGTGTGTGTGTGTGCGTGTGTGTATTAGTAAATATATGCAAATCTTGGTGGCATAGGAGTGCGACTTCACTAATATGCAAACAGGGTTATGACTATCCCAGACTCTGAATTTTGATGACAGGTGGGTATAACTGTTGCAGATGACTCACAAAATCTTGACCATATCAGAAAAGCGTCCTGAAAGAGTCTTGGGATGTTTTGCAGTCCAGGAAGAAAAAAAATTGACCCATTCAGTGTTAAGAATGAATTAAAATTCTAGGGAGCCAGGTGCCAATGTAGCTCTAATTTTTAACACTTGGGAAGTGAATATGAGTTGTATTAAGTGATTGGCAAAGCCATGTGCTTGCTCTATCTGTTCTGGCTTTGTGGTGCCTCTAACTGTGGGCCATGGGAAAACTCCAAAATGCCTGAATTATAATGGGGTATTTTTACTTTTTTGTGTCCTCAAATTTCTCTCATTGCTTGGCTCCTCTCATCAACTTAGAATGATGATTTTTCTTGGACTCTCCAACACTTGGCACCAATGTTTATGTAGCACAGAACTGGATACATACTTAGTAAATTTTGCTCAATTAGGTAGAGAAGTGAACCTATGCGCTCAAAAATCAACAATTTTAAATAACTCTTAATCTTTATATAATTTCAGTAAATTATAATTACTTTGAAATGCAGGGGTCTGCATTAAGTGGAATCAGAATTAGCAAGTCACATTTTTCTCTGAAATAGCAAAAGCGCGTTGTAGGCTGGGGAACGAGATATTTAAACATGTATTTTTGACAAAGTCGTATTGGTATAATGCAGTCTTATTTAATATAATGATTTTAAAAGACCTTAGACTCTATAATAGCACATATCTTTAAAAACCCTACTGTAGAAAGCCATTTATAAGTACACAGGTACAGGGAGGTGTAGTATTGATCAGAAACCTGCCAGCTTTAACTACCTAGCAACCTATTAGGTTATTTTAAGCGATTGGTTGAGAAGCAAAACCATTTCCTTCAATAAATACTGAATTGTGTAGTTTATTATCCCAATGATAACATTTTTTATTTTTAGTCCATTGGGTAAAAAAAAAAGTCTTCAGAGGCAAGTATATAATATTTCATGTTTTGCATGTATGTATGTGAAGATAAAAATTTATATAAAATTGGCACTTATAAGTTCAAGATTATTAAAAGGAGAAAGATGATTGTGTTTCTCTGAGGCAAGGTGAAACTGGGGAGATAATGGCTCTTGAGGACAAGGAAGAGAAAACTGCCACATTTGATTGCTTTTGAATGAGCATATCAAATCAGATTTCAAAAAGAGCAGATTCTGTATAAACGTTGTCATCCTCCAGACAAATATTCACTCTTGGGCAATTTCCTCAACTAAAGATAATTGCCAAAATACTCGTTGTTTCATAGTTAAGATTCTGTTTTTGCCTAAAGTTTTATTGATGCTAGTCATTTAGAACAAAAAATTCTCTATATCTGAATCACTGTCACATCCTATATAATGAAAGCCTAATATACTAAGTATCCAGTCGTCCGGTCATCAATTCAACCAATCAAAGCATAATATGATAATGATATGTTAAGGCCGCTCAATAGCTTACTATGATGTGCACTGACCACCAGGAGGCAGGCAGTTGACTAGCCGACCAGTCGTTATGACGCATACTGACCACCAGGGGACAGATGCTCTGACTGGTAGGTTAGCTTGCTGCTGAGGACTGGCCAATCAGGACTGAGTGAGATGGGCCGGACATCCCATGGAGTCCTCCTGCAGACCCTCCCTAGCTGGCCAACCTCCTGCTTCCCTCCCTTTCCCCGATCATGCACTAGTGGGGTCCCTTGGCCTGGCCTGTGTCCTCTCACAATCCAGAACCCCTCGGGAGATGTAGGAGAGCTGGTTTTGGCCCAGTCCCAAAGGCCAGGCGGAGGGACCCCACTGCTGCACTAATTCGTGCACTGGGCCTCTAGTCTTTAATATCATTCTGTGATAGAAGGATTCTGTTGACATTCTCTATAAATTCTAGGAAGTGATTTTTTTTCCACCTTTAGTTTCTTCTTATTAAATTTGAAGTAAAATTGTGTTTATTGATTAATTATGGAAAGTGATTTTTATCCCACCTCCAGTTTCTTTTTTAACCAGTTTGAAATAAAATTAATTACTGTGCATGATGCAACTGTCTCATGTTCATAGCTTTGCCCACAGTTCACAGTGTACACGAGATTTGATAAACAGTGTTATACAGTTGAGCTAAGACCCGACTGTTCATTCTGCTTTGGTTCACTATGTTAGGCATCCTCTGACAACAGGTAAGCTGTAATTGATAACCTTAGGAAACGGGAGAGACATGTAGTATGACCCATTTTAACACCTTCAACTGTGCGTGTCATTAGCTCTGGTAGGGAGTTTTTCTCCCTGTGATGGGCACATGGTTGGCCAAAAGGTGTCAGGAAGGTGCTTTTATAATGAACAAAAGCTTTGCACCAGCATTACAATTAGAGAGCTAAGCCTCATTAAAAAAGGAAGAATGTTAATGATGAAGCTAGGTGTACGTTATTGGGATTACATTTCTGTTAGCTTTGCAGGCTGATTGCAGGGGCATTTTCTTGGCTAACTTACCATGACCAACCAGAACCCCGCTGGCCTTGTGGTTCTGCACTCCCTGTGGAGTAGGGATTTGGGGAATGAGGACTGTTCTTCATTTCTCGTCAGGACAGGATTTCTCTGAAAGGAGTGCTACTGGTCCCCAATGGATCGAACAAACCCTCCTCTTGTCTTAGGGGACCAAGCCAACTTTGTTTCCCTTTCCAAATGACAATCTGAGATGGGAGTAACCGTGTCCTTTACTTTCTGTCGTCTGCTGAAGGGTGATCACAGTACGTCCCCAGCCGGTGGCAGTCACCGTCTCAGGTCGCTCTGGTCCCACAGAGGTGCACAAAGCTGTCTCAGCTCACACTCAACAGAGGGTCAAACACACTGCACCTGCCCGATCAACACCGAGGTGCCAACCTTTATGGTAATGGTGGCACTGTCCATTTATGAAAGGGCAGAGACCTTCTCTCTGGTCTTTTATATTGTGTCTGAGGACACCTCTGACTTCAGTATTTAGCACCTGGTTTGAAATCAAGGCGATCTCTCAGATGGCAGTCGGCCACTCTGTTCTCTCCTTCATCCGGGATCTCCCTCCAGCTACACACAGGCATGGGTTTATTGAGGAATTCTGCAGCTGAGCTGTACAGTTCCATTCCTGAAACAAGCTCCTTGCAATTTTTGTTCTTTTTACCTTTTCTTCCTCAAGAAAAGTATTCTTAAACCTCTCATTTAGATCTCTTATAACCCAAACTGTGCACTCTTATTTTTATGTATTGTGGTTTTTAAATGATTTTTGAAACTTTTTTTTAATATATTTTATTGAGTTTTTTTACAGAGAGGAAGGGAGAGGGATAGACAGCTAGAAACATCGATGAGAGAGAAACATCGATCAGCTGCCTTCTGCACACCCCCCACTGGGGATGTGCCCGCAACCTAGGTACATGCCCTTGACCCGAATCAAACCTGGGACTCTTGAGTCAGCAGGCCGACGCTCTATCCAATGAGCCAAACCAGTTAGGGCAGATTTTTGAAACTTTTAAGTCTTTAAAAAGCAAAGCTAATAGTATTTTTATCCAGCAGTTAATCTTAGACCTGAGAAAGAACCCAGGGACATGAGCACTGACAGGCAGTTCTTAGCGTGTAAACACCCAGCTCCTCACTCCTCCAGGAGTGACGTGGAGGCCAGTTATTTATTTTATATCCCAGAGCTTCTGCATGAGACTAACCTCCAGGCCCCCGCTGCAGCAGCTGGTTCGGCAGCACAGCCCTTCCCGGCTGCCTGCCCTCCTTCGCTCAGCTTTCCGTCCCCTGGCCAGCACCCTCGCCCCTTCCCCGGGCACCACCTGCGCTCCGTCCTTCCATCGGCTGTTTCCAGGGAGAACTCAGCGAAGACAACACGCACAATGCCATATGCGCTCCCACCGCCGTGGAGCCCCTTGATAATTGCACACTCTTCCCGATGTGCATAACAGACCAAGTAATATCTACCTCTGTAAGAGACGCTTCCTTTCACGTTGGGATACTGCAGAGACCTTCGGGTTTTGTTTGGAGGCTGGAGCGCCTTTTAGTGTATAAGACTTCCCCCCCAGGTGCCTCCCTGTAGGCGGACAGCAGCCACTCACAGTTTACCCTCGAGGACACGTGGTGGCTCTTGACCCCTTGAAGTGTGGCTGGTCTGAATCGAGATGTGTGAACAAAAGGATGCATTGCTCTCTTTACCAATTTCTGCGTTTTGAGATGATAATATCTTGGGTACGGTGATTTAAGTGGAATGTATTATTAACATTGGTTTTATCTGCTTCTTTTACTTTTTAATGTAACTGCTAGAAAAAAATTTAAATTATATATATCTGATATATATATAAATCTTGTTAGGTGATAATGCGATGATTACATTAGGTACATTTTGAATTGCCATCAGACAGTGCTACTGTAGGAAATTACCAAGATATTCAGGGATGCCTCTCTCCCGGGGTCATCGGGGACAGCCTGTGATGCCCATCTGTGTTTCCTTCTAGGCTACATGTCGCCGCACCCGTCTCCCCTGGGAGCCGCAGAGCACATCTCCAGCCCTATGTCGTCGGGAGGCGGCCCCACCCCACCCCAGATGCCACCGAGCCAGCCCGGGCCCCTCATCCCCGGCGACCCGCAGGCCATGAGCCAGCCCAGCAGAGGCCCCTCGCCTTTCAGTCCCGTCCAGCTGCACCAGCTGCGGGCTCAGATTTTAGCTTATAAGATGCTGGCCCGGGGCCAGCACCTCCCCGAGACGCTGCAGCTCGCGGTCCAGGGGAAGAGGACGTTGCCTGGCATGCAGCAGCAGCAGCAGCCGCCGCCGCCGCCCCAGCCGCAGCCGCCGCCCCAGCCGCAGCAGCCACAGCAGCAGGCCCTCGTGAACTTCAACAGGCCAGCTGGTAGGTTAACGGGCACCCACGTGAGTCACGTGACGGTCCAGCTCGGAGGAGGAAGGCTGCTGGTGGCACAGACGCACCGGGCTGGCAGAAGCCCAGGGCTGTCTTAACCTTTCGCTGTGCCGGGCCAGCCGGTTCCCTTTCCCTTGCTTTACTCAGTTGGCCCAGATTCCTGGTCTTCTCTGCTGTTTGAGCTTCTCAGCCACTGGGGACTCTGGTGCAAGCTGTAGACCTCGGCACAAGGCACCGTCTCTTACGATTCTGCATTCTCTCTCAAGAGGGGCAGGGTTTGCGGAAGCCCATCCGCCAGCAACAGGTACCGAACTCTGCGCCCAGTGCCTTCCATCCCTAAAAGCGCACTTCTTGAATCTGCTCTTCTCGAGCCATTTGATGCCCTTCGATTGATTTCTTTCTGTCCCTTCTCGTTGTGGAAAGCATTTGGGGAGGCTTCCCAGACACATACCTGCAGTGAAATCATTGTCCAATAGAGAGTCAGAAACAACGGGAAATGGAAGTCCAGGTCGAGCATGCAGAGGCCACGGGACTTCTCATGATTGCCTCATCTGAGCATCCAAGGTGACGGTGTCCAGGCAGGAAAGACTCAGGCACCTAAGTCTCACCACTCAAAAGGAAGTTGCTCACCAATTCACAGAGGACACAGGCCCATTTGTAGCTTGAGAGTAAAATGTGGATTTCCTAGGTGGAATTTATTATTATTATTATTATTATTGCTAGAGGCCGAGTGCACGAAATTCATGCACATGGGTGGGGGGTGGGGAGAGGTGTCCCTCAGCCCAGCCTGCACCCTCTCCAATCTGGACATCCCTCTCACAATCCAGGACTGCTGGCTCCCAACTGCCTTCCTGATTGACCCTAACCACTTCTGCCTACCAGCCTGATCATCCCCTATCCACTAGGTGGAAATTATTATTATTATTATTATTATTATTACTTCAATCCTCACCTGAGGATATGTTTTTATTGATTTTAGAAAGGGAGATAGAAACATTGCTGTGAGAGAGAAACATTGATTGGTTGCCTCCTATATGTGCCCAGAACCAAGAATCGAACCTTGGTATATGCCCTGGCCGGGAATCGAACCCACAACCTTTTGGTGTACGAATAATGCTCCTGTCACCTGGGCCATCTGACCAGGGCTGGCATTGTCGTTTTAAATGATGTTACGACTGTAAGTGGTGCTGCATGACGGAGGCATCGATGACATTTGTTCATCATAAACGGAGTAACAGAACCCACATGGCCTAGTTCTTACGTATCTTGGACTTTTCCTGGAATCAAAGTCAAGGCGATGACATATGTCACGTGTTGAGATGAGATAGTCCTTGTATGGCCTCCTGGTGGTCTGACTTCATCCCACTGGTAGAATTCAGAGCTACCAGAGGCTATAGGATGCCCTTTCCTGAATGTTGTTTTTCTCTGGGAAGGTTATGGGTGAAGTTCCAGTTGTCTGGGTACTTGAATATAACACATACTTCCTGTCCTAATAAACACCATCCTGTGCGTTCTCTGGATCATTTTCAGAAGAGAGGGTTTCATTTTTTTTTTAACCCAGCTCAATGCCTACCTCTTCCCTCACCAAGCCCCCACCATCTGGGGGAATTCGCTTAATTACTCACTGACCATGTCTTTTGGATTTCCAGGAGTCAGACTTCCCTAGAAATGGAAATATTTGGGCAGACAGTATTTTATGCCAGAGTGGGCGAGGAGGACGTGGATGGAGGAGGAACCTCCTCAAACAGAGCAGGCCCATTCCTGCCCCGGGAAGGGCGTCACCTCTGACAGCATTGCTGAACTTTCCCCCAAATCTCAGGTTTCACAGGGAGATGACCTTCCCTGACAAAGACTTTTTTTTTGGATAGGCATCTAGGACAAGTCAAAATGAGAGAATTTTTTTTTTAGTTACTATTACCTTTTATTAATTGTTACTGCTTATCTTCCCCTCCCTCTTTTTAAATAATATTTTTGTTGATTTCAGAGAGGAAGGGAGAGGGAGAAAAATACAAACATCGAGGAGAGAACCATATTGATTGGCTCTCTCCTGCATGCCTCCCACTGGGTATCCATCGAGCCTGCAATCTGGGCATGTGCCCTGCCTGGGAGTTGAACCCGGGACTTCTTGGTCCTTTGGGCAGCACTCAATCCATTGAACCACACCAGCCTCCCCTCCCCCCACTTCCTTTGTAAAATAAAGTATAACTGCTTATAAATACCTCCACAAATATTTCAGAAAAAATAAGTTTAAGTATGTCTACTTATCTGGAGGTAGCTGTGATTTCATTTTCCTTTTGTCCCATTTTCTGGTGCTATTCGTGTCTCAAGAGAATCTTTTTGTCTGGGGTGGTCTGCCTCAAACCTGCTCCAAGGTTATAAATCACCAAAATTGACATAATCAGAGCTAACACCAGAGAATTACAGTTTGACTGGAGGAATAGCTCACCAAGCAAGTAACTCTTCAGTCCTGTTATGGGCTGCTCTCAAATCTAACCCAGCATTTTTCTTTTCACTCTGATTCATTTTTCCTTTTAGATACTAAAGCAAAATTAAAAATGGGAACTGAAAAAAGTTTGGGTTGGTGTGGGGGGGGGGGCATGCAGAAAGGACTTTATGGTAGAAAGCAAAAGTTTTATTGCTCAGTTTTTTCAGTCCCCTTCCACTTCCACATTTTTAGTCATCTAAAGTTTCTTGGTATGTTCAATTTTATTATGCTTTATTACATTTCTTTTTTTTTTTCTTTTCAATAGATTTTTATTGATTTCAGAGAGAAACGGTGAGGGAGGGAGAGACAGAGACAGAAACATCAATGATGAGAATCATTGATTAGCTGCCTCCTGCACGCCCCTTGCTGGGGATGGAGCCCACAACCAGGGCATGTGACCTGACTGGAATTGAACTGTGACTTCCTGGTTCATAGGTTAACCCTCAGCCACCGAGCCACGCTGGTAGGGCCATTTCTTTTTTTAGCCTGTGGAAACCACTTCAGTCCCTCTTTAATGCACAGAATTGTTATTTGCCTAACTACCTTTGTGAGCCAGAAGGCAAGTTGGGAACTCCGAATGCATAGACATTCTGTACTTGTGAGATTGAGGTGTCTGAATGAGTTTGTTTCCGTTTCTTAAGCTCAGGCATGGGGTGCATCCAGTAAAGACCCCCGTCCCCTTAGCAGCACTGGGATGCCCCTCAGGAGAGTCTGAGCATCCCTCCACCTTGACATCTAAGGTGAGGACTGAAGGGAAAGCAGATGCGTTTTGTACCTCCGACAATTAAACCTAAACTGTTTACATTGTAGAGGGAGTCGGAGATAAGCCAAAGAATGTAATCTGTCTTCCATTGGCAGATACCAGAGAGAGGTCTTATCAGTTAGCAGACCACCAGTGTCTGCTGTGGCGACGATTTCCCTCAATAATAGATCCAGCCAGGCAGCTCCGCTCTCAGCCGCCGGAGGGACAGGCAGAAAACCTGAGGGAGAGGCGGTGCCATCCTGGGCATGCCTGCTGGTGGCAAGCTGCCTCTGTGTAAATAGAAGTTTTTTCTGGAATCGGTTAGAGGGAGTAGAAAACACCCACGCAGAAAAGAAACGTGTGTGTTTAGTTAGGAAAGGAGTTTGCTTGTGAGTCTGATTGCAGGTTCCCAGGAAGCACGTGGCCAGCCTGCTTCTCTGCATGTTTGTGCTGAGTCGTATTGAACGGTAGGTACAGTGTGAAGTTTGCTGTAGAGGAGGGAGCGTTTCCAAAGTTGCCCGCTAAGACCATAGCGAATTCCCCCACATCCTTTCTGTGCCATGCAGTCTGTGCAGAGCCCATGAATTAAACTAGACTTCTTTATCTGTGTGTCCTTGGTGGCAGCCAAAACGACAAACGCTGAGGGTGGAGCAGAGTTGCATTGCCTCATTGATTCCTCACTGCTACCCTCTGAGGTGGGTACTGTTACTACCGCCATTCTGCAGATGAGGAAACTGAGGCACAAGGGGTTAATGAAGAGTTGCGCAGGCTCACACAGCCAGCCGGCGATAGAGCTGACGGGAAGCTTTCCGTTCTTTCTCTTTCGGTCCAGCATGCTTTAAGTGTCCCTGTTTAATTCACGGTAATTTGTAGTACTTTTTAAGTTAAAGATTTGGATATGTAAATCCATGTTTGGGTCTCTCTCTCTCTCTCTCTCTCTCTATCTCTCTCTCTCTCTCTCTCTCTCTCTCCCTCCCTCTCCACCCCCCCCCCTCTCTCTCTCTCTGCTTCTCAATTTTAAGGACCAATCAGCCAGATAAGAATGTCTTTATATTTATCGGCCAAAGGCCAGCCATGCGTGTGTCAGCTTTAGTAGGGAGTCAGAGGCTATAAATGACTAGATTCAGAACCAGGGATATCACACATGCCCTGGGTGCCTTTTTTAAGAGGGTGAGGGGGGAGAGGAATTTGGTTTTAAAAATAGTGACTTGAATAGATACATCAAGGAGTCATCATAGGCTTCTGCCTAGGTATGTGCAGACCATGATTCTGGGCTAAAGAAAAAATGCCCGGAATAATTGAAACTTGTAACACTATTACAGTGTTCGGGCTTTTTGTTGATGAATTATTTAAACTTTAGAAAAAGGAAAAAACAATTTGAGAGCTGAATTTAAGGTAATTATTATGAAATTATCTTCTCAGTAAGACCCACATGTTCTTTTTTATTAAAGGTGGTGGTGGTGTTTTCATTATTTAGTATGCTATATCAAGCCTTCAGATATATTCAATTCTGCCAGTTTCCTGAGCTTATTAAGGAGGGTTGTAGAATTACAGGAGATTAAAGTAAGTGTTAGAAATCTCCAGCTCCTCTCTTCTGGCTAGATCACCTAAAGCACCCCAAGTGAGATATCTACCCTGTTTTTAAAGACTTCTAGGGAAAAAACTATCCAATGCTTAACAATCCTGAGGCGTAATGCTTAGAAGTTGGTTTCTTTTTTCTTTTTTTTTAAAATATATTTTATTGATTTTTTACAGAGAGGAAGGGAGAGAGATAGAGAGCTAGAAACATCGATGAGAGAGAAACATCGACCAGCTGCCTCTTGCACACCCCCTTCCCGGGATGTGCCCACAACCAATGTACATGCCCTTGACCAGAATCGAACCCGGGACCTTTCAGTCCGCAGACCGACGCTCTACCACTGAGCCAAACCAGTTTCGGCAGCAGTTGGTTTCTTATATATGGATGAAAGAAACTCTAAGTATAAAATATTATGAAAAGCTATGCAACTGCAAAAGATCTCTCATTCAGAAAAAAACCAACAAAAACAAAACAAACAAACAAACAAACAAAAAAACAACACCAGAGAGTACTTAGTTGAAAAGAATCTCTTATTTATGGTAGTATACCTAAAATGCCTACAATATGAATCAATGTTGTTCCCTCAAGAATTCTTCATCAACACCAGAATCAGGGCTACAGATTACCTGAAGGAGTCTTATTTAGCTCTGTAATTTTTGGAAAGTTTTACCTAACTTCAGAAGAAGGGGGGAAAGGAACAGTAGTAACACTATACACACACACACACACACACACACACACACACACACACACACTGCAGTTTCCTAAGCAGTTTGCTCTAATTCTTCACATTCCTCCTGTCAGAATGTTTGCTTATGGCTACCTGTGCATTGTCATGTAAGCCCATTTCTAAATGAATAAAAGTGCTGGAAATTGAATAAAAGTGTTTTAATTTTTCATAATGTATATCTTTGTATGGTTAATTATTAAGTCCTTCTGAAGTATAGAGACTATTATTTTTGTTAGCTTTGAATCATTTTAATTCTTCTTAGAATAGATATAGATAATTCTTGAGAGAATGCCTGTGGGAGGTTTTAACTTCTCCTTGCTGAAATTTTCTTTTCTCTAATTCACTAAGTCATCTGGTGGCATCTCTGATCATATTTATAATTTTGAAGGAAGTAAAAATCCACTTAGGAGGAGAGATGGAATCGTCCTATGTTGGGCTTATACTTACCATCCCAACCTTTTAGGCTCAATGTGGACAGTTGCTTAAAATTAATGTATTAAGTACAGTTCAGTAAGCTTGACGAATGCATAGCCCTTTATTCTGATCCCTGTACTACTAATCTTCATATTTGCTAGTTTTTATTGGGTGGAAGAAGCAGTTTTTTTTTTTCCTCTGCACTGCATGTTTATAGAAATATCCCAGATAGGTAGTAAGAAATTGAAGTTCTAGCCGAAACCGGTTTGGCTCAATGGATAGAGTGTCGGCTTGGGGACTGAAAGGTCCCGGGTTCGATTCCGGTCAAGGGCATGTACCTTGGTTGTGGGCATATCCCCAAGTGGGGGTGTGCAAGAGGCAGCTGATTGATGACTCTCTCTCATCGATGTTTCTAACTCTCTATCCCTCTCCCTTCCTCTCTGTACAAAATCAATAAAATATATTAAAAAAAAAAAAAAAGAAATTGAAGTTCTGAGATGCACTGATTTAATCTGAACTTTACTTTATAGGTCATGGGGGAAAATGCCTGCCGCTCTTGAGTTCACACCAGAGGACCGCAGGCTTCCGGCTGCTTTTGTAAGGCCTGGCTCTGACAGCAGGGCCCGTCCAGAGGGGCTGAGGCCACCTGCAGAGCTGCCTGCAGTTTGCAAAGTGTGATTTTTAGGATCACACTCAGATTGCATCTGACTTCGGTTATGTCGTTAACTTACTTTTCAATAACCTAACTGACTTAGGTTGTTATTCCCTTCCTTTTCTGAACTCTGAATGCACCTGTAGTTCTTTTTAAAAATCCACTTTCCATGTAGACCTACATCAAAATCTGGCAGCCCATTCTTTTAGTCAGTTTACTATTTAGGAGTCATTTGGGGGCCATTTCCACGAATGCTCATTAGCAAATGCCATTCTCCTTGGCCCCAGGTCCTTCTTTCTCTTGCCCTGCCTTTCCTCTCCACACCTCCCTCCTTTCATTTTCCTTCCCCCCTTTTTCCTGGTCACCATCCCCGGGCCCCAGGGGGACAGTGGGCAGGCCCGGTGTGGCCGCAGGTCGGTGACCCGCCCAAACTGCTCACATGGCTCTCGTCCCGCAGGCCCCGGGCCGGAGCTGAGCGGCCAGAGCACCCCACAGAAGCTGCCCGTGCCCGCGCCCAGCGGCCGGCCCTCGCCCGCGCCCCCCGCAGCAGCCCAGCCGCCCGCAGCCGCAGTGCCCGGGCCCTCGGTGCCGCAGCCTGCGCCTGGGCAGCCCTCGCCCATCCTGCAGCTGCAGCAGAAGCAGAGCCGGATCAGCCCCATCCAGAAACCGCAAGGCCTGGACCCCGTGGAGATTCTGCAGGAGCGGGAGTACAGGTAATGCACCCCATCCCGTCCAGTCCCGTCCCTGGAGGCGTGAAGCTCTGTTCTTGCAGGTATCCCCGAGCCTGGCGGGTGGGTGCAGGGCTGCGGTTGTTCCTCTCTTTGGGGCGAGGGAATGGCCCGAGGAAGATGGCAGAGGCCAAAACTCATGCGATGAGAATGATTTCAGCAAAGCAGGGCTGGGAAGGCGATTGAGTCGGGGGCTCTCTGGTGGCTCTGGGTTGGCAAGGCTGTGATTTCCACTCATTTAATCAGGAAACTTTTATCAGCCCCCGGTGACGTGCCAGGCACTGTGTCAGGCCCTGGGGTGTGAGCACCCGTGGTTTCTCACTCCGATTAGGGGTGCCTGATGTAGTTTGCCAGCTTGTCCTAGAGCGGTGACTGCAAGTGGGTCAGATGCTGAGTGTTTTGAGTTGGCCTGACCTTGGTGATACTGAAGTACACTTTGGTAGGTATAATAAAGTTTTTGTTTAAATTCATGCATGATCTGGGTCTCTGCCTCGTTAGTATATGTGCTGCTGAAGCGAGCACCTGCTCTATGCCTTGGTCCAGTGTTTCCCAAAGTGTGGTACGCGTACCCCCAGGGGTACGGGAAGAGTTTGGTGGGGGTACGCTTTGCACCGTGCTTAGCTGCGCCTAATTCTACGTTCTCATGACTACGAGGGGTACTCAGCGTTACGAAAATTATAGAAGGGGTACACATATGTCAGAAGTTTGGGAAGCACTGCGGTCCAACGTTAGGAGTAAGCCCTATGTAGTATCCTCCTGTGGGGTCCTTTCAACGCATCCTCTAGAAGCTTATTTTCACCTGATTTGGCACATTTGTCTAAATCAGGAGTTGGCAGACCTTCTCTGTAAAGGTCCAGGTAGTAAATGTTTTACGCTTTGCAGGTCCATGTGTTCTCTTTGACAACTACTCATCTCTGCCTTTGAGTGAGAAAGCAGCCCAGATGATAATGGGCTGACTGTGTTCCAATAAAACTTTATTTACAAAAGCATGCTGTGGGCAGGATGGGCCCACAGGCCATAGTTACCTGGCCCCTCATGCACATGGTTAATGTTAAACAAAAGGGAGACCAGAAAGAACTGAGTTAAATGAAAGCAAAGCTCAGATCATGGTTTCTGGAATTAGACAGGAATTGTGCTCATCACTTTCCTAGCCGTGTTGCCTCGGTCTAGTTCCATCTCTTCTCTGCAACTTAATTTCCTCATTTGTTAAAAAAGGATATTAGCGTATTTCTTGTGGGAGGAGATAAAAATGACACAAAGACGTTTAATACATATTAGCTATTACTATTATTTCCCCAAAATGATTTAATTGAAAAGAACAGTAGAATTTAAAAATCGCAGAGAATGTTAGTAACAATGTAATAGGCTCCCTTTTCAAACATTACTTTAAACTTTATTGAAAAACGCATGACTTACTTATTACTAGATTAAACTACTAAGCTATCAGCTGTGAGAGTTATCCTGAAAAAAGCCACAGTAACTTGCCGTTAAATGTGTGCAGTTGTGTGTGTTTTTTTATGAAGAGCGTAACTGTAGTCTCATTACTATTGCTAATCCTCAATTAAGAACTTTTATGTTGCTGTTTCCAGCATTTCATGTTTCCCTGGAGAGCTAGCTGCTCATCATCTGTAGCTATTTCAGTGTTCAGAAGCTGGTTTTGTTGGGTGAATAATTGCCCTGTATTATAAAGTCAAATATTAGCAAACATTTCTTGGACAGGAAAGCTACTTATATGCAGTCGTTTCTCTATGTTGCTACAAAGTATCAAAAGCAATTTTTAAAAGACTTCCTAAGAGTGAACATTTGTTTTCCTACCCTGAAGGCACAAAGCTACTAGTATTTTGTTAAGTCATGTGAATTACCTTCATAACATCAGAGATACTCTCTGTATCTAGAATTGCATCTGTATGTTTCTTTACTCAACCTGTGTTTTGTGTGTATGGGTGTGTGTGTGTATTTTTTGGCTCCTAAATTCTCATTTTCACCAGGATTTTAATTGCAGATCTTTTTTGTGCTGAGCTCCTTTAATACCTTTTTTTGGGAAGTGGTCTTAATGGGTAAACAGCATTAAGTAGTACTATTTCACCTGTTCCAAAATAAGAAAAGCTTTTGTCCTTCACTCCTATAGAAATAAAAATAATAATGTATCTGTCAGTATCTCTTGAACTTCTCGCCTTGTAGAATTGTGGTGGAATGGCTGTTTTTCATAGTATTGTGGCTTGATAAATGTCTCCTCGTTTGTAAAACTGCATGGCTTTTGAAATGATTGATCTGGCAATCCTGGGTCCAAACAGCTGGAGGGGCCTTTGGACGGGGTTTCCCATGGCCATCCTGAGGAGCACAGGTTTGCACTGGCTGCATTGCAGGGGCATCTTCTAGCTTCTTTACAGAAAAACAGCTGGCTTCTGCTGATCCAAAGATAAATTGTTCACCTGCCGAGATTAGTAAAAATTTTCTCCTAAAAAGGGTACGTTAAGGCCCTTGGAGACTTGTAAAGACAGCTCAGAGGCATTGCCACTTGCCCCTCTTTGAGAGAACGGCCTGCTTAGCCTGTAGCATTGGTAACTGGAAGGTCACCCACCCGCCCACATCAGGGAACCTTTACCTTCTGATCAAGGCTTTGAGCAAGGTCTTAAAAAATCCAGTGTAGCCCTGCCAGTTGCTCAGAGCATCGGTTCTCAGACAGAGGGGTTCTGGGTTCAGTTTCTTACAGTCAAGGGCACTTGCCTCAGTTGCAGGACCTTGGTTGCAGGCTCGATTCCTGACCCTGGTGAGGACCCATGTGGGAGGCAACCAATCAGTATGTCTCTCTCACATCGATGTTTCTCTTATCCCTCCCCTCCTCCCTTCCACTCTCTCTCTAAAAATCAGTGGGGAAAATATATCCGGGTGAGGATTAACAAACAAAACATCCATTTTACAATTTTAAAAACTTTAGTTTAAGCAGAGTCATCTGTCAAAAATTCTTTAACCGATGTTCATTTCTTTGACCATTATAATGTCACTTATCTTGTCTATGAAAATTGAAAGGAAATTGTCAGAAACCTAAATTTTTTTTAACTTTAAGTACCTTGGCTGCTTTTCCTTGTTCATCACACAACCAGGATTTTGACAAATTGGCCTTCTTTATTTAGTAAGGGCATAAATAAGTGTGTGCATGTGAATCGTTTGCCTCAGATTTGTACAAAGCCTCCCGTTGAAACAGTTTGCCCATTTGAATTGGGTCCTTTCCCTTTGAGAAGGAACGTTATTGCTTTTCTCTGTGGTAAGTGTCAGAGAGATGTTCCCAGTGCTTGTCTTGCCTTTTTGGCACACTTCCTTTGCTCCACGATATATTGATACCTAACTGCACTTCTCCCAGTGAGACTTCGAGGTTTGGGCCGAAGGGCTCCAGGCATTGTCACATTAGCATGTAAACCGATTCCACAGATGTGTGCGTGAGAGATGGATTTCAGATTCACAGGAAGAGCATTGCTGTGTTCTGTCAGCCCTCTGGTTACCAAGGCAGAATTTTGCTTCGGGAAGCAAACATAGTCTGTGTTTTTTGGGAGTGTGTGTGTGTTGGGGGGGTGGAGTGTGTGTGTGTGTGTCCTCCCTGGTATCCATTACAACCCTGAAAAAAATCCTTCTTAAAAATTACCTAGAGCCACTTTAGCGGCAGAGTTACAAAAAGTCAGTCTCCCTCCCTCGCCCTCTTTCTAAAAGTGTCACTCAGCTCCTTGAAGGAGCAAAATGTACCAGTGTCATTTTCTGTTCAAATAACTCTCCTGCAGGAATCATAAACTTCTCCTCTGGACCTGAACAAATATCTGTTGCCTTTAATGGAACTCTTTTTCTTGCCAGAACAGTCACCCCTCCTGATTTACTGCCCAATCTGTATGAAAAACTCGAGTGACCTAATTCTGCTTCAATTTTCCGAGCTCGTGAGGACACTAAATGAGTCTCCTGCAGTCATGCAGTATTACAGCTGTTGTTGTTTCGACACGTTGAGAATCCTGCATCTCTTTATCGGGCAACCTGCTGAATCCCATTGACGGGACGGTGAAATTGTCTGCAGAGAAGCATTATTTAAAACGAAGACTTCCATTAGCAGCCGCCACCACCCAAAGACAGCATTTTCTGCCTTACAGAAGCCCCTCCCGTACTCCGTCCCCACCCCACCCCCATGTGCTGAGTTGAATGCATATCATTTCACCCTCCCCTTCTCCTACACTTTGTACTCTGTACTTCTTGCCTCCCTTTCATGAAAAAAGAGATTCTTTTGTGCTAGGGAATCTGAGATTCACTGACGAGTGACTGGGTGCTTTGGACAGGAGCCGTCATTTCAGGAAGAAGTGTCCTCCTCCCCGCGCCCCACCCCCAGCTCCTCCCCCACTCCAGTGCCCCAGTCACCCAAGGCCGCAGCCACCCCCTGTCCCCACCTCCCTTTCCCCCCTCCACTCCCCAGCTCTCACCCGCCCACATCAGTGTGATTTAATCTCTACACTGTCTGTCCAACTATCCTAAGATTGTTTATTTGGTTCTTCAGAAGATTACGGGAAATGCAGCTATTCCTTTAATTTAGCACCTGACCCACTTTGTCACAGGGAGTAAACCAGAACACCAAGGGGTGGTTTGGGTCCTGGGTTTTCAAATGAAAAAGGTCTGAAATGACTCTGGAACCAAGGAAGGAGAAGACCCCTATTGTTGGCCCTCATCTCACCCCTTTATAATATTTTTTCTTTTACTGTGGTCTTATTTTACAAAAGGAAGACTGCTTCAATTTAGTTATTTCCTCTAAATTATATATTTGAAAAAAAATCCACAAGAGGTTTTTCTCTTAGTATCTTAAATGTTAAGATGTGTCATCTGCTGCAGTAGTTGGAGATTTGGGGCTATGTGGCTATTTAAGAAATTGATCTGGATAAATGAAGTAGACATTTGTTTCAGATAGTGAAAAATTTTAAAAAATTGATAGTAATCTCATGAGTATCAATACTAAAAGGAATAAAGAGAGAGTTGGGAGAGTTTGAACAATTTGACCAGAAAAAGTAAAAGTTTAATATTGTTGTTTGAATGAACACATTTTTAGTCTGCTGCATGGTTAAACCATTTACTGTGTTATTGTTTGTGTCGGTAGACATCATTGAAATAATAACATGATAACCATGATAATACTATTATACTGCATTATGATGATAAATCACTCAGGAAATCAGAATTAATAACATGTATATACCAATAAAGTAGGAATCTGTTATAATACTTTCAGTGAAATCAATGAAAAACAATGCATTTCCTTTATTATAATTTTTAAATTTTTGAAAAAGAGGACATTTTACTTCTCTACCAAAGCAAATAACAGTTGTTTTGGGGTTTGTTTTTCTTTAAAACAATCATTTTGATATTTGGGCTATATGAAATCTTAAGATATTTTGCACATCTAAGTCAGAGTTTTTTTCATATATATATATATATATATATATATATATATATGAATATATATACATCATTGTAAAGATTGATGAAACCATAATACTAATTTTTAACAGAATCTTAAATGATCAACATTTATAGTTGAGATCCAGGAAAATTCTCAGTTAGAAAGTCTATTTTAATTATCCTGTAGTGGTTTTAGCATCAGGCAAAGGAGGTTCAGCCTAGAGACCTCCTTTATCAGCTCTGAAGTCAACATGTTTCTTAATACCTCCAGGTTTCTGTTTTCCCATCAGTAACAGCACCATAATACTTTGAGGGGTGTGTGTGTGTGAGTGTGTGTGTGTGTGTGCACGCGCGCGCACGAGAGAGAGAGAGAGAGAGAGAGAGAGAGAGAGAGAGAGAGAGAGAGAGAGGGAGAGAGAGAGAGAATTAAATAAAATTGTGCATCAAATGTACTTAACTCAGTACAGTTCATGTTAACTTAGTTTAGCTTACTGCCCTTTTTATTACTGTTCTTTCTTTTGAAGTCTCTTCCAAGACAGTTTTGCCCCAAATTTGGGGGAAGATAGTTCTAAAAATAGATTTAAATGGCATATAACTATTTGCAAAAGAAAAAATAAGAAAGAAAAAAAGAATCCAGGTGAACTCCAGAACCAGAACCAGGAGTTTCTCTGAGGAACAGTCCTGGAATCCAGGATGAATGAAGCAGGTGGATGTCTCCTGTTTCCTCTGGAGAGGAAGGACCTGCAGTCATATGTTTGATAGGGTCAGAGTGAGGCTCTCCAGCTGTCCTTTTCTAGAAACACCGACCCCCCCCCCCCCCCCCCCCCCCCCGTTTTTAAGTACTGTTTCCTTTGCCGGTGGCTGCTGCCCCAGGCCTGATTTTTAAAAACACCCAATCTGCCTTTTCTCTTCCCCAGCAAGCTCTGCTCGCAGAGGAAGTGGCTGTGGTCGGCAGGGCTCTCTCTCTCTCTCTCTCTGGGTGTTTTGGGTTGGCTGATTTCCGTGGCCTCAGCATCCACAAGGGCTCTCGTTCACCCAGCTTTAGAGGCCGCTGTCATCAGCATCTTGGCGAGGTGGGCACAGGCCCCGCTGCCGCAGGACAGAGCCCGGAGTCGGAAGGGAGACTTGTTTCCGCCTGCTGCCGGCCAGTGGCTGGCTGGGCTTCTCAGAGCAAGTCAGCCATTCTGCCTCCCCGTTTCTCTCTCTGTTCAGAGGGAGCAGTGGCACTTGATGTTCCTCCTCCTCCATGTACCATGAGCCTCCTTTCCTGGGAGTTAGAGAAAGGTTATGCCCGAGACCAGAGTGTTAAGCAACACCTAGCACCCGTCTGCACTAACGCACGGGTGGCTTTTCTCCGTTGAACGCCAGGAAATCAGGTTGAGTGTCCGAAATCAGACCTGAGTATCGGGGGTAGGTTTTGCCACGAACTCGAACCTCATGTTATTGTTTTGTCATTTAAGACTGAACTGTAATGTGTATTTCCATCTCTCTCCCGCCCCTGTTTGACTGTCTCCCTCAGACTCCAGGCTCGCATAGCTCACAGGATACAAGAACTGGAAAACCTGCCTGGCTCTCTGCCACCAGATTTACGAACCAAAGCAACCGTGGAACTGAAAGCGCTTCGGTTACTCAATTTCCAGCGTCAGGTAGGGCCTTCCCCCCAGCAAACCTGAGGCGGAGGAAAGGAATGTAATAGTTGGAGATCAGCGTGTGTTTCCTTAAGTCTGTTCAATATTGCTATAAAGATAGAAACTTAGTAACGTCGTGTCTCTTTTAGGCCAGCAGCAGAGAGCTAAAAGTACTGAAGACAAACTGCTTATTATTCTGTGTTTTTTTTTCTCGCCTGTGTATCAGATACATTTTTCCCCCAGCTGCATGATAGTTTGCAAAGTCAGAGTTATGGCACTTTGTTACCATGGACGAAACCTTGAGAACAAAAAAGATAGCTCAGTTTGCGTTTATGACTCCCAAGAAAAACAGTCAAGTGGTAGATCGGAGCTTCTTTGTAAGCACAAATGTATAATCCTAGCCATGACCGGGAAGATATTTTAACAAAGACAATAGCTGCTCCCCTAAATTAAGAGTCCAGCATTTATAGAAATACATAAACCTGTGTCTGGTAACTTGATTACTCGTCACAACACAAGTTTGGTGCATTTGATCCTGTCAGACCTCTGCATTGAGTAACCAGTGAGTTATTATCTATTGTCCCTGCTCTGGTTCATAGCAGTCACTGATTAATAAACGCTAGCATAATGATATGCTTTGGAATTGCTAAATCAGTAGGGAACTAGTGGAATGACATAGAGCTAATTTTCACTTGGATGAGCTTTGTCTTAAGGACTCTTCTGCAGCTCTCCCAGTCTGCAGGCTGCCTCATTTAGCCAAACGGGAAAAGGGGCACTTGGCCATCCTCAGTCAGATGGGTTTGCTTGGTTAAGATCCTGGGGCATATAAAATGAATTATTAATGAATAGGAGTGAATCGCATGACTCGGTCTGTTGGAGGGTGTGATTAAAATCACAAGGCCACCTCACTTGATATTGTCATGTGACCTTGGGAGTACATGTGCCTTATCTATAATAATAAAAAGGTAATATGCTAATAGACCGGACGTCATTCCGGTCGTTCTTCCTGACTAAGCCGGGGCCGGAGGGAAGTCAGCCCTGGTCCCTGGTGCCTGCAGGCAGCCAAAGGCAGGAAAGGAAGCAGCCTAGGTCCCGGGTGCAGGAGGGAAATCAGTGCCGGCAGCCAGGGGAAGGATGACCTACTTGGCACGAATTTTCGTGCATCGGGCCTCTAGTTGGTTATAATATCACCAAGGGGCATCAGTGTGGCTGGGTGCTGCTTGCTCATAGGTTTGAAAGAGTAGAGTAGAACTTAAATTTAAAAAAAAAAAAAAGAAGAAGGAAAGAAAGAAAACGTCTTTGAGTTCCATTTTCTTCCTTCTTATACGTGACTTCATAAAATGCATTGATAAAAATTTTTATAACATTTTGTTAAAAAAAATATTTCCGAAGTATATTTTTAGGAATAACATTATATTCAAGTTAGCTTCACTATGCTAGACTCTTATTAGTCTCTGATTTTTGCTCCATCTTACTGAAAAATTCTATTATTTAAGAAGTTTCCCAGTGAAATGAGCTGTAATTCATGCTGATTTCAGATTCAATTGAATTATTATTTTGATGTATATTTTCCATTTCCACCCTCTATCACCACATAACATCCAAGATGGATGCTATTATGTTTATAATCATCTCAAAGTTCATGATATACTTTAAACTTTGAATATCTTTCAAAGAATATCCTTGTTAGAAGTGGGAAGAAGCCCAAACTAGTATCTCTTGTCTTTTAAATGAGACTGTGAATTAACACTGTTTGAGTATGTGCTGCCCTGTCCATGAACAGGAAGTCACCCTTCGGTTCTTTTTGCAGAGCATCATTAAAAGTTAATCTTTTTAAAAATGAGGAGCCCCTTAGTATGGCATTTTAAAAATCTTATTAACTACTTAGTATCATTGGAATAATTAAATAGGATGAATAAATTTATTTAAAATATCTGCTTTATTTTTATTTTTACTGTTGTAATGCTATAATTGCTTTCCCCCCCCCTGAATTACTTGTAAAGAAAAGCCATACCATCTTTGAAAATGCCACATAAACTTGGTATGACTTAGTGCCTTTATTTATGAAAAAGGCCAACTGTGACTGAGAAACCTGTAGAATCCCCCGTCCGCCCCACTCCGGGGAAGGGAGAGTAGGAGAGGGTCAGGGATCTGGCCTCCGCTCGGGGAGCCTCTCGCTAACCACTTTCCTCCTGCAGCTGAGGCAGGAGGTGGTGGCCTGCATGCGGCGGGACACAACCTTGGAGACGGCTCTCAACTCCAAGGCGTACAAGCGGAGCAAGCGCCAGACCCTGCGGGAAGCCCGCATGACGGAGAAGCTGGAGAAGCAGCAGAAGATCGAGCAGGAGAGGAAGCGCCGGCAGAAGCACCAGGTACCGGGGCCTGGCTCTGCCCGTCCTCGCGTTCACAGACCCGTCCATCTCAGTGACGGGCAGGAAGCGTGCCGCGGTGGGCCGGTGGGCGGAGGAGGCTCACAGCGCAGGAGAGCTCCTGGGAGCTTGCCTGGTCCCCACGGTGCAGTCGGGGACACTCAGGCCACGCCAGGCGGCTGGGGCTTGCTTCGTTCCAATCAGGTGCCCCCTCCTCACCCCTGGAGAGCTGCGGGCTGGGTGGGATTCCCACAGCAAAAACCTGGGGGACTTGGGAGGAAGAAAGCAGAAAGGTATTGTCCTAACACAGACAGATGTGGTGTCCAGGGCTCTGTGACGGGCCCCGATGGAGATTTTACGGGGCAGATAATCAGGAACATTCCTTCCTAGGGGTTTGGAAATATTTTGATGTAGGATTTGGTTTCATGTCATAAGCCTATCTATAACTTATGTTTGCCTTTTTTGCGCTCAGTTTAGTGCCCATCCTAGTTTCGTTTTTAAAAAATGTTGGAGTTAGTGTACATATACACTCCCCTTCCCCATTATTTAAAAAATATGTACCAGTTTCTTATGGAGTTTTAGCTTCCTATGAAATCTTGAGTCACTATTGCTTTTTTTAGGGAGAGAGAGAAACCTTGATTTGTCCCACTTATTTATGCATTCATTGGTGGCTTCTTGCATGCACTCTGACCGGGGATCAAACCTGCAACCTTTGGAGTATCAGGCCGAGCTGCTCGGCCGGGACTCTGAGATATTTGGAGCAGAGGAAACATTACTTTTATAACATCATTCTCAATGGAAATACCCATGTCCCTCAGGTTTGAGAATGATTGGCTTTTAATTTTATCATTTTCATTTTTTTCATTTTTCAGGTTCCTCTCTTTTTTCTTCCTAGTCTCTCCATTTTTTATCTTTCCATTTTGATGTGGTCACACTCTCATAGCTTCAGAGGCGGCTCTTCCACAGGCTGGCACAAAAATAAACTGGGAGAGGTCATCTCTCCCGCCAGCCCTGTAGTCTGCACTCGGCCATGGACACACACACCAGGGCCCCCGACTCAGAATAGCCCCAGGTTTCTGGTCTTTGTCGTTGTGAGATGCACACTGCGCGTTTTTCTGGACTGGGCCGAAACCTCGGGGGCCTTGGGAAAAGGATTTTAAGTATTCTTTTCTGCTCCCTTTGGGATCTTCAGGAATACCTGAACAGTATTTTGCAACATGCGAAAGATTTTAAGGAGTACCATCGTTCCGTGGCCGGAAAGATCCAGAAGCTTTCCAAAGCAGTGGCGACGTGGCATGCCAACACGGAGAGGGAGCAGAAGAAAGAGACAGAGCGGATCGAGAAGGAGAGGATGCGCAGACTGATGGTAAGGAACCCGGGAGAATGCCCCCCTTGTGTCCTGTCCTGGGGATGTTCCATAGGCCACAGCAGAAGGAGAAAGGAAGAGCTGCTCGCCAAATACATACATGACTGTGTTCCCTTCACTTCATGCCGATGGAGTTCAAACATCCTCTCTCCTGGACAATGCACGTCACACATCTTGGGTGATAGCTGGTCAGTATAGTGTTCCCATGTCCTAGGATGGCATTGCTGCTCAGATTTAGCGTCTCCCATAGAGGAAGGTACTGTATCTCCTGGGAGTTTTGATAACCAGATCTGGAAGGCTGGACACGGCCGTTCTTTTAAAAACTATTGCCTCTTTGAGACTAAGGGCACACGTTGTTTTGAATGAATATATCTCATTATGTTGTGCCTTGGAACCTGATGTCTTTTTTTTCTTAATGGCAGAAATTTTTCTCAAGCCATGTAAAAAGCGATTGTTACGTTAATTTTGAAAGGTTGCTTTTTGTTTATAGCAGGGGTATTGTCAAAGGTTAGTCAGGGGTTATTATTTTTGCACTGTTCTTTTTTCAGTGGATATGTATCACAGAAGAGATTGATTGATTTTATTGGCCTGCATTTTATTTTATTTTTATTTTTGGTAATTGGACCTCATAGAACACTGTGAATTTTGCACACATGTTGTGACCTAGCATGAGTGCTGGAGAGCCGCAGGTTCTGTGGGGACATAGTTCCCGAGTCCTGCAGGAAGAGAAAGGCATGAGCCTCAGCCCACATTATGTTCTGGGGAAATCCCAGGGGACAGTGTGTTTCTTCCTCGCTGATGTTAAGGTTTGCATTTTTTCATTAATTTGGGGGGGGAGGGTGTCCCAGAGAGTAAGCACCCTATTTTAAAATGGGTGCTACTAAATCTTTACCACCTTCTCCTGCCTTCCTCTCCTTTTTGGGGGGAAGAGGAAGACCGCCCAAGATATGTCTAACCAGCGAGGGAGACTGTTTTAGAGCAATCTGAGCCATTAGCAGTCCAATTTGTCTGGTGTAACTGAAGTGAAGCTATATTAGCACTTCAGTAACAGATTGGTTTGACACTAATGATTAGGCATTTGCAAATCATTAATTTTTGCAATTAAATGATGGAATACACAGATAACAGGGAAACTGAAGTTCTCTATCACTCTTTCTTCAAGTGAGATCAACCATAACGGAAAGCAATGAGAGCTCTAATGGCATCTGAGGTCCGTGCTCATCCGCGGGGCCCAGCAGCTGGAGTGAGGGGTGACTCCGCTGTCTCTGTCTCGCGGGCACAGGCTGGAGCGGCACCCCGAAGGCATTCGCTGGGCTCTTCTGTACCTCAGCCGCCTCCTGAGGAGTTTGCGGCCTGTTCCTTCTGTCCTGCGTCACAGGAGGACAATATTTTTGAGGTGTCCTTTTATTTGGGACATAAAAAAAAAAAAAAAAAAAAAAAAAAAAGATTTCTCCTGAAATGTCTCAGAGTACATTAGAGCTTTTATCCCATGTAACCTCATAATGTTGCTGAATGGGAGGCGGAAGGGGCAATGACTTCGTCTGTGTTACTGTTGGGTATACCTACCAGACGTCAGGTAGTAGCTGACTTATCCCCAGTCACCGAGACCCCTAGGACAGTGCCAGTTAATGACAGAAATCCCCCAAATCTGACCGCCCCTACCCACCACAATGTTTGCCATGCTTTTAAGTATAAGAAGTTATTTGTCCAGTGCCCATTTGGTTTCTTTCGCCTTTAGAAATACTTAGTCTCTCCACATTTGATCATATTTGAAAATTTCCAAAATTTGGAAATTGCAAAGTTACGAATAAACTTCAGATGGTGAATTGTCCGGTTTTAACATTTTTTGCGTGTGCAGTTAAAGGAACACAGGAGAACAAAGAGCTGAGGCAGAGCGCTCCATCACACCACATAAACACCGTGGCCATGTGTCCTGACCTGGCCGTGAACCCCGGTGTCCCGGGGTGTAGGCATCGCTGTCCCCTGTGTGGCCGGTCCCAGACTGTGTGCGGGACCCTCGCAGCCTGGAACATTCGCTTTGCCGCACTCGCCACTGGAGTTCAGACTGTCAGGATGAGAGGGAAAAAGCACCTGCAAACTTGCATTAGGCTCTGATCTCGCTTCTCTCCTTAACAGGCTGAAGACGAAGAGGGCTACAGGAAACTGATCGATCAAAAGAAGGACAGGCGTTTAGCTTACCTTTTACAGCAGACCGATGAGTACGTGGCCAACCTGACCAGCCTGGTGTGGGAGCACAAGCAAGCCCAGGCGGCCAAGGAGAAGAAGAAGAGGAGGAGGAGGAAGAAGGTGAGTGCCCGGTGGAGGGACCAGTGTGAGGCATGCATTGCTCTTTCATATATACACTTACCACACTAATAAAAGGTTTAGATTACCGGGTTGCAAAAATTGCTCGTGTAAATGGGTATGGTATGAGAGTGTGGATGAGGCATATCAGACATTGGAGATAAGGGTGTAACGGATAGGATGTATTCAGCTGTAACAATGTGGTTCGTATTCCCATTGTTTCATACAGTATTTAAAAACTAAATACACATGGTCCATCAGAAGAAATGAAACACAGGCACAATTAACTGTTTTCTTCAATGTATTGTAGTGTGGCAGTGTGCTCAGTTAAGAAACTAAAGTGAAAAAGTTAGAAGAAATTGCAGTGTACAGACTGAAAGAAACCATAGAAAGACATGAGAGATAGCTTTGGGAGACTTTGCAAACAAATCTCAGCCTGTTTATTTGGACAGACAGCAATGCCAGAGTTGTCCATTTAGATCAGCAGTCCTGTGTCCCACTGAGAGAAGTGGGCAGGTCAAGGTTTCAGGTGATGATGGAAAACAATACCATTAGGGTAAAATATGTCCTAATTGTCATGAGAAGCAAAAGGTAAGATATAGAATTTCTGCTCTACAGATATTATATCTCAGCTCAAGGGCAACATGCAAGTGTAGGCCGGTGAATATGGCTCTTCTTTGAGTCTTAAGTAGTCTGCGAACAGTTTTTGGTGGATGTTCTGTTTCCATGGTGAATTGTAACTGGCCCGGGTACAAACAGGATGTCTTCCTCAGAATTGGGAAGATTGAGGATGGGTAGCATTTAATTGTTTATTCTCTGCACTGAATAATTGAGCAAAATATTTTTTCCAAAAATAATTAATTTCATGGCTCCTGAATTCTCATACCTGTTTCATCATGAAGGAGGAGCAATGCATGACTGAGAAGGTGCCTGCTTGCTCCTGATCCTTATAGTAGCAGATAGCTTCCCTTCTTGTGAAGATGCATGAGGGGTGTCTCGGGGCTTGGGTTTAGATCTTTCCGTGTTGGGGAATACTTCATTTTCTTGTCAAGGTAGCATTATTGATGTTGCAAAATTTTAGCTCCCAGTATTTAACTTAAAAACTTTTGGAGTTTGTGAAGAGCACAAGGGTAAATAAATGCAATTCTGTACCACTAGGGGCCCAGTGCACCAATTTGTGCACCTTGAAAGGTACTATGGGCCGCGAGGCTGTGGTGGGTCTCAACCCATCCTCCACGCCCCTGCCCAGCCCCTCTCACCGCAGTCCCTGGTCCCCTGTTTGCCTGCAGCCCCACTCCCACCACTGCCACTCCCATGCGCTGACAGCGCTGGCCCCACTCACACCTGCTGATGGGCACAGAGCGATTGGGGCTGGCGCTGTCAGTAGGTGCAAGCAGCAGCTGTTGCTCCAGTTGCCCCTCAGGAGCAGGGGGTGGTGGAGAAACCCTGAGGGGTGACCAGGGCTAGTAGTTGGTTGTTCCACCGTTCGGTCTATTTGCATATTAGCCTTTTATTATGTCGGATTCCATAAGCAGACCCCATGAAATGGCAGCTGTAGTTTTTCTGAATTTAGACATGGATTTTGCAGAGGTTGTCATGGAAAGGTCACTTAGCGTTTTTAATATTAACATTTGTATTCCACATTTCTTTGTGATTAAAAGCTAATGGCCTGATTCTGGCTTAAAATTAATAGATTCCTACCAGGGCGGTAGATCTTCATATCATCGTAGAAAGATACATAGTTGAGTGATAATGATCATGGCTTTATTTTTGTGTTAATTTGTACAGAGCACAAACCTGTCACAGTTTCCATTTCACAACTCTGATGATCTCTAGATTGGCTCTCTACCTCCAAACTCTTGCCTTCCAGTTTGATAATGGCACTTATTCTACTTTCTGCATTTGCTCAGTGACTATTACCTGAACACTTACTTGTGGTGGAGATGCAGTGCTTTGGATGCTGGGAGGGGGAGAATGTAATGGCGAGGAAAGCACTCCTGCCCTCTCAATTTAATCAGAGAGGGAGAAAGAGACAGACAGACAGACAGAAATTAATCAAATGTGCATCTAAATATATAATAATAATCTGAGATGAATGATGTGAAGGAATAATGCTCGTCAATAATTTCCTGATTTCCTGGCAAACGAATAATAGCCAAGCACCTGCAGCCTGCCTTGTGCTACCTCTGGGCACCTCCCGTTGATGATCTCCCATGGCTGACGATGCAGACTTATCACTTGATGGACAGTCCTTTACTTCTTCCCTCCCGTGCTATCAGGATGCCTAGCATTTGGGTCCTCTCTGCTCTCAGCAGGACTAAGGATAACCTTCCTGGGCCATCTTGCTGGCAGAAATGGGAGAAAGCTGTGTCTCTCACGGGGCTTTGAGACTGAGTTCAGAGTGAGTTACCCAATTCCACGAAGAAAGCAGGTGCTTTCAGAAGCTGGTAGTTCGACACTGTGTATTGTCTGTGGTTCTTTGCTCCATCAGAGTGACCGATGGAGAGTTACTTGTTGCAGTTTCTCTGTCTGGAAAGAAACTGCATCTGGAAGCTTAAAAATTCTATGCTTCCCCTTTCAGCATTTTCCCATAAGACTGGCATGCTGAACCTTACTGCATTTTTTTAAATTAGGAAAGGCAACAATAAACCTTTGTTTGGAGAAAACCCTTTCTTACCCAGTGAACTAATAGCATCGAGCTGGTAGCAGCATTTGTAAGACACCTAAGGTAACTCCAAGAGCTGTGCTATTAAAGTTGAGCATGACTGACCTTATAATGGAACTAGAGGCCCAGCGCATGAAATCACGCAAGACCCAGACCTGGCGGGCTGCAGGACTCCGTGTCAAGTCCTGCTGGTGCCGTAGGACCCATTAATGCACCTTCCGGTGGCCATTAGTCTTTGGTCATTACGGCATTACGACCACTAGGTTTTTATTAATAGTTTGTAAAAGGGTTACTTTTTACTTTGCGTTAAACTGATTGTATAATTTTTTTAAAGTATCCCCAATGTAATAGAAAAGACCTGTGTTTTTCCCCATTAGGAGTACATTGTGTTTACTTGTTGATAGTGAATAACAGAGTGGGGTTCCTTTAACCTGCCATGACCTTGTTTAATTTCCTCTTCTCGCCATTAGAGCCCATTTCTATGAAGTACATATTTATAAGTCATTCTGAAACTTCTCCTTCTCATCCTGGTCCTCCACTAATGCCCTTGAAATGGGAGAAAAAATAAGTAGACTGTATATATCTGCTTAAGAGTTAGAGGAGGAATAATTGTTAAAGCATTGAAATGTCTCTGCAGGGGGCAGGATGAAGGCACTGTTATGTGTGCACTTAGCGGGACCTTGAGGTCGCCGGCCTTTGCCATGCCGGTTCTCTAACATCTACCGAGTGACTGACTACAGGATAACCGCGGGGAGGGGGCCACATGAAGCCACAGGGGTTTATACAAATACAGGATTGAACAGGCTACATTAGAAAATTGGACCACTTTCCAAATCATGTTAGCACACAATCACTTAAACCCATAACTGCATAAGAAAACATATCAGACTAATTTGTTCTTACTCCTTACTGGGTATTTCATGAAAAGATCTATTATCTAGTACTTCAGTCTCATGATCTATCAGAAGGTGATTGGTTAGGATTGAAAGTTTCTCTAAAGCATTTTCTATGTTTCCTGATACAGTAAGTACTCGGTAAATCTGAGTTATTTTATCAAGCCATTTTGTGGTGTAAATGTAGGATCATGGTTATTGAAATGTGCTTATAGGATTTTGAAAAGAAATTCTTTTCCCCCTTACCATATATTCTCTGTGCTGTTGAGTAAATAAATAGCCACCTTTTTATTTCCTAGTCGAGGATCAATCAAATATTGCCTTTTAGGATAATGACAGGTTCTTACACTAATGAGGACTACAGTGAGAAAGGAGGATTTATTAACTTGGGTGGATTCTGCTTGTCCCTCCTCAGCTCCTACAAAGAGAATTTGTTGTTATATGGCCTCTGATTTAGAGTGGTGTTTGGTGACAATAAAGCATTTCTTGCAAGGTTTTAGGATGTATTTTTCCTTAAGCTGTGGTTAGGAACCTGTGACCCCGAACCTCCTGCTTAGAAGTCTAGGCATTTTATGAATTCAGCTTCCCAAGTTGTGGCCTTCAGGCTGGAAATAAATATTTAATTCCATATTTCAAACCTTTCAGTGGGCCCTGCAGGCATGGCTCAGTGGTTGAGTGTCAGCCTGTGAACCAGGAGTCGCAGTTTGATTTCTGTTCAGGGCACATGCCCAGGCTGCGGGCTTGATTCTGGGTGAGTGCGCAGGAGGCAGCCGATCAATGATTCTTTCTCATCATTGATGTTCCTCTCTCTCTCCCATTCCCTTCCTGTCTCTGAAATCAATAAAAATATATTCTTTTAAAAATCATTCAATGGGGTGTATACTAGCAGAACTATGTCCCTGTTACTTATTTGTGACATTTCCTGAAGCCCACAACACTAAGGGGAACACCTCAGAGAATCCCCGGAGGACACAACTCTGGGCCAGATCTTTCTCCTTGTGGTGTTTCCCTTTCTTTCTGATATGTCCCCCATCCCCCTCTCTCTCTTTTTCATCAACTATAATTAAAAGTAAAATCAGGACTGGGATGTTTTGGAGGGGGAACCTTTCCAGCTATATATATTATATAATCAATTTCAGAGAGGAAGGGAGAGGGAGAGAGAGATAAAGAAACATCAATGATTTCTTGCAATGCCCCCAACTGGTGGTCGATCCTGAGACCCTGACAGGTGCCCTCACCAGTAACTGAACCTGGATCTCTTGGTTCTTAGGTTGATGCTCAATCACTGAGCCATACTGGCCAGGCTCAGTGCAGTGATAGGAAATGCGTTTTTTGTTTTTTTGTTTTTTTCTTTTTTAGATATCCAAAAATCAGTAAAGCCTCTTGGTGTAATGTTTGGTAGGAAGAGCATCAAATCCAAAATAGTAATGTTGTTGCAACATTTGTTTTAAATTCAGGTTACTCTGCAGTTCTTCTCAATTCTTTTAGGTCTTACATTTCCCCCCAAAGATGACATAGTTTATTGCAGCTTTTCCCTACAAGGACATTTTTGTAGGTAAAAGAGAGGATCTTAGGTAATTCTGGGCACTTGAGTGCAGCGACTGTTGTAAAGATAGGAGAACACAGTGCCACGGCGATTAGATTTGATTAGTTCAGTGTCGGAGTGAGTGAAAGCAGAAGTTTGGATCCAAGTCCTGCTTAACTGGATTGACCAGTTATTTGAGTCAAAATGTTAGAATTGGTTTTCTCTGCAAAGTACAAGCAAAGCAATGTGCAATTGCCTGCTAATTTGATATTCTTGGGTATTTTATTATTGCCTGATCCCCTATCTGAATGCTCAGTGGTCCACTTAAGAGACAATAATAAAAATAACCCTGTGAATTTCTGAAAGCTTAGGTTTCTGTTGAAACAGAACGAGTCTTTAAGAGGCCAGCACATTTGAATGGTGTTTCAGCATATTATAACAACATCTTCTGGGGCTAAAAGACATTCACTTTATGATATAGATTGTAAAGTATTTGGTATAAAACTGTTTGTTTTCAAAATGAGACTGTTTGTGGCCTGTGTTGTGGCAATCTAAATGAAGTGCCCCATTGCAGTCTATTTTCTTAAATTCAACTTAAACCGGATTTTCATGTTTAAAGGAGGAATTTCTTTCCCTCCTTGGCCCCATCGCTGATTATTTTGTGTAGCTTCTGCAAGGAAGATGGGTAACCATGCACATAGCTTTGTTCCTGAGCATTTCTAGGTGGAAGGAAGAAATTGACATTGGCCTTTGGAATTAGGAACCCAAATAAATTGTCTTCTAGTTAAGAGTAATTTGTCTTATATCCCCTCTCAGGACTAGGTTAATTACACTCCTTTTTACCTCCATAAGCATAATTAGTTCCAAATTTTTTGCAGGTAGGAAGAAGGTAGTGCAGAGTTCCCTTAGTCCTAATTAATGGATGAACGCCAGTGTTTTGTTTTTAATCAGTGGAAGTAGTCTCAGGTCAGTGATACTGATAGAATGTGTTTGCAGTCACATGATCGAGATTACTGTATGTGAAAATCCCTCAGGCACTAGCAGCCATTTCACCTGGTGCTTAGAGACCGTCCAAAGTTAGCTCACAGTGTGTTTGGAGTTCACCTTGAACCCAAAAATGGGAAGTGTCTTGTTTGGTTTTTTTTTCTTGTTTGGGGTTTTTCTTGAGGGGTAGAGGGAATAAAATACCAGTTTGATGTGAGAACGTGGTGTGAGAACCAGAAACCTTCAAACTGAAAGAATCCTAAGCATGATGGGAGAACTTTACATCTCCTGCCATAGAGTAGACTGCCACCTGGCTTCCACTCATAACAACATAGCGGAATTGGGTGAAAATTACAGGGCATACAAGAGAAGTCTCATAGAGCACCAGTTCAATGAGGAATTGTGTCTGTGTTCTTAACCCTTTTGACTTGCAAATATATTGGCACCTAATTATAATAATAATAATAATAATAATAATAATAATAATAATAATAGTTCACTGATCATATGCATTGTTTTTGTTGCTTGCATTCATTCACTCATTCATTCATTAATCAAATATGTATTCAGTGCCCTTTAAATGCAGGTACACTGGGAGGTGTGGGCATAGATAAGTGAACAAAGCAGACTGAAACCCCTAACCCTGTAATCTTATGAAGCGGTTTTCAGACAGTGCTGTAGCAGTCTTAGGTAGACATATGAGAATAGCCTTCTGTCTACTGTTGATTCTTTTACATTGTAGAGATTAATTCTCATGGTATGTGTTGTATGTGGCATTAAATTGTATATATTGAAATAGTGATCCAGTCCTACATGGTAACAGGGACTATTACTGTCCATAATATTTTTTAAAAAAGGGAGGGATGGTGATCAAGACATGCAAGGTTTGCTCAAGGTCACAGAGTGAAGGTCTCTTGCACTTAGTGACACAGCTAGGATTCAAATGCAAGTCATCTAATTCCAGAACCAAGTTTCTTACATGTAGTATCACATTGCTTCTCAAATTTGATACCTAGTGGAATTATTTTTTAAGTCAGTTTAGAGGATTTTAAGTAATGGAAGGGTCTGATTATGAAGCAGTTTTGAGATAACACCCTTACTGGTCTCCAGCATATTCATAGGAAAGTGTCCTTCGGAGTTGTTTTGATTTTATTATTTATGGTCCTTCAAGCTTTTTAAGGTGCTATTCACTGAAATGGTGATCCAGTTCCACTAGCAAGCTATTGGAAATTGGCTTATTCATTATCTCATTTGATTTTCTTTGTTGGCCAAATTGGTAGCTCATTTCTGATTTGTATGGAAAGAATGGTGGGATTAATTGACTTTCTCCCATTAATTAAAACAGTTGCCTGAATACTGTGCCTGAGAACTCCAGAAGTTGGTGATAGAGATGGTTTCTTTTCTGAGTCTTTTCTGCTATTATTCTCTCTGTACTCCCAGCCTAGACATAGGGCCTGGTGCTTTTCGATACTGATCATTTCATTTTGACTTGTAGACATTTCCACTTTGGGGTGGTGTGAATAGAAACTTAAATTCTTGGGAAATCATAACCAAAGGGCAATGTTTTGTTTTGTTTTATTTTCTATCTTTGGTGCCTTGTGCTTTAACAAATACGCACCCACATACAAGAAAGTTATAAGAAAACTTCAAATATTTCAAACATTTATAAATACTGCATTTCTTCAGTATGGCCAAAAGCCTGAATTTTAGACATTAAACATTTTCTATAAAAGCTGTTTTGTCAAGAGACAATTGAGTTATTCACACGGAAAGCAAATATGTGTTATATAATCAATGCCTTAAGTAAACAAAATGTAGTTAATATTGATTCTGTATCAATATATATTTTCATTTAATTAAAGGGTCCAGGGGAGGAAAGGTTATTTTCTTAAATGTCTTTTTTTTAAAAGTATATTTTATTGATTTTTTTACAGAGAGGAAGGGAGAGAGATAGAGAGCTAGAAACGTCAATGAGAGAGTAACATCGACCAGCCGCCTCTTGGACACCCCCTACCGGGGATGTGCCCGCAAACAATGTACATGCCCTTGACCGGAATCGAACCCGGGACCTTTCAGTCCGCAGACTGACGCTCTACCACTGAGCCAAACCGGTTTTGGCTATTTTCTTAAATGTCTTGATAAAGCAAATGACCGAAGTTTTTTTCTTCTTCTTCTCATTATACTACCCTGAAGTAGTATAGCTTTCCAGCAATAACTTTAAAATAAGTATTCTATAAAAGTGATGTGCAGGATTTCACTTGTTAAAGAAGTTGTTGCATATGGAAGACATTTTAGACTAGTTTGTGTATATTACTGACGAGACTCTCTTGGGAATGTACAAAATGGGGCATTATCTTAGCTTTCCATGTAGGCTGTCTCTGAGGCTCTTAGAGGTTAATGCACTAAGATATTGGAATATTTAAGACACGGTGGATCACAGAATTTTTCATGAGATCACAGTACCTGCTTCGAATTTTCCCCTATACCCACTGTGTAAATACTTTCTATCATGAAAGCCCATTAGGTAGAGTGAACAACATTTGGAGAACTCACAGAATTTTATATCATTTTGTATTCTTATGACTCAAGAGTGGTTCAGAGTTTATTCTCAATGGATACTTTCAGAAAACCCGCTAAAGGAATAGGGAAGTTTTGCTGTCTGCATCCGGGTGTGTCTTCCCAGTGCCAGGACCGGGAACGCTGCAGCCTCTGGCCTCTCTCCCGTTCTCGCTCCCTTTCTCACTCTTGCTCTCAGCACTGCCAATGCCTCAAGCTCTTTGGGTCCTAGAATACACAATCCACAGATCTCTAGTGTGCTGGCCTTGAGTCACACCTGGCTTTCAAGAGCACTCTACAAGTTGCTAATAAAATACACACTTTGTCTTAGACAGTAAAAATAAAAGGCATGACCCCATGGACAGATAGTAGTGTGGTGAAGGCTTGGGAGTGGTGGGTGCAGGGTGAAGGGAATCAATAGGAAAACACACACACACACACACACACACACACACACACATACACACACCCCACAAAGGGGACATCTGTAATACTTTGAGCAATAATGATAAATTAAAAATAAAAGGCACAAATATTAAGTTTCCCTCGGTGAGGGTGAGTAGTAATGCAGTGCTGTCACGTACCCCAGTGTTACCGTGAAGCCCTCCGTGTCCCCATCTCCTGGGCTGCCCCATAACATGTGACACATTGTCGTTTTACAGAAGGCCGAAGAGAATGCAGAGGGAGGAGAGTCTGCCCTGGGACCGGATGGAGAGGTAAGGGACTTTGCATCCATTTCTACTGTGTTCTACTCCGTGAGTCCCTGCCGTGCCTCACCATACATATCACTGTCTTTGTATACTAATTTTGTTTTTGTTCAGCTGTTCATCTTTAAGTAAAAGAGAGTAGTCTATCAGCATAGTATAAAAGGGATAAAATGAAAAATAATCTACTGCCTTCTCAGACTACCCATCAACTGATGTTAAGTTCCTTGTGTACCATTTGAGAATTTTCTGTGCACATATAAGCATATGTTTTGGAATACACAGAATGTGTAAAATCTTAAGTGATTCTATAATTACATTTGCAGAAGCAAATGATACAGAAGCATAAACTGTGACCCAGTTTCCTTAGTTCATTACTAATTTGAAATTATAAAACTCCATAGGCCAAACAATTTACATACTTGGTTAACTTATTTTTTAAAGAAGTATATTTTTTATTGATTTCAGAGAGGGATAGAGAGAGAAAAGCATCAATGATGAATGTGAATCATTGATCAGCTGCCTCCTGCAGGCCCCACACTGGGGATTGAGCCTGCAGCCCAGGCCGGGAATCAAACCATGACCTCCTCGTTCATAGGTCGATGTTCAACCCCTGAGCCACACGGGCTGGGCTTGTTAACTAATTTCTTTGAAATCTTCTGCAGGCTTATGATGTCAGCTCACCAACATATTCCTAAGTTTTTTCTAGTATTTCCCAAAGTCCCCTGAATCATGAGAACACAGTTATTCATTTATTGGATTTTTTTTTCCCCTCTGAAAACTCCAAGTCCCCTGGCAGTGATCCACCCGAGGAGGCTTACTCCCGGAGCAGGGTGCGGGGGGAGCTAGCTGGCTTCAATCTGCCGCCTCCCCTCGCAGATTCGGATAAACCTGCTCGGAGTTTTGGGGTGGGTGGAGGTTGCCTCTTCCTGTCCTAGAATCACTGCACGTGAGACGTGTTGTGGATGTGAGCAGCCTGGATACAGAAGAAAGGTCGAAACCACCCGTCTATGCAGAAGCCCCTCGAACAACAAACGTCGCTTTCCCACGGCGATCCATCACTGGGAAAGACAGGACGGGATAAGTGTCTGGTGTGTGAGAGACTCTCTGTGGGCTGTGAAGGGGGAAGAACACTACACATCAGAGCACTTAGAAACACTGTCCTTTGTAAAAGCCCCGCCTGACCTACGCTGGCCTCACACCGTCTGTGATTAACAAGCACCGGGGAGAGGTTTAACGCCTTACAGTGAGAGCCCTTAATCTCTCACTGCCTCTTGGGGAAATTACCTACTGATCGAGGGCCTGTGACATACACATTTTTTTTTCTTCTTCTTTCAATCTCAGCACATGCATGCTCTGTCCACGGCAGTTGATGAAGTGGACATCTTGCTCGGGTTGTTTTGAAATAAGTTTCCTGTTACACTGACAGGCCGCTCATTCGTGCTTCTGCCAAAGTTGTCATTCCAGCCGCGGGGACCCTGGTTTTCTTTGAGGCATGGCACCAGAAGCAGTGGGATAAGTTGTAATAGTCCAAGATCCTGGAGTATGATTTTTCCATGGGAGATAATAGTCAGTGGTGGATTTCCTTCTTGATGGTGTGAGCATGCCAGTGACCTTTTACGTTAACGAGGAACAAGTGGCATCTTGGCATATAAAGTAACGGTGTTCATGACCACGGCCTCAGCACACGTAAAGGAAGAACAGTGATAGCCTAGGCAGGGGTCCTCAAACTTTTTAAAGTGGGGGCCAGATCACGGTCCCTCAGAGAGCTGGAGGGCCGGACTATATGAACTACTAATTCCTACTGTAACACCTCGGCTGCGCTCACTGCCCAAAAAACCTGGCGGGCCGGATCAGACTCCTCTGCGGGCCGCATGTGGCCCGCGGGCCGTAGTTTGAAGACGCCTGAGGCGAGCCTTTTCTTTCCTCAAAGGTTACGTTTGTGGATAATTGCTGATGTGTTGTTTCTTATTCTGACAGCACTTTGAGGGAAACTAGGGGAGGTTCCTTGTCTATTAGATTTAGACAGTAACCTAGAGAAGACTATTTTTCCTGTCATTTTTATTTAACCCCAAATAAGAGTAATATATCAGATATAAAGACAGTAAAACAATAAGCATACTGTAAAATTACAGTGGGGAGAGTAGGGAGATCTGGGGGAGATAAGAGATCAACCGAAGGATTTGTATACATGCATCTAAGTACGACCAATGGACACAAAACTCTGGGGAGGGAGGGTATGTATGGGGGGGGCAATGTTAAAATATGTACACAGATAATAATTTAATAAAAATAATAATAATAAAATCCAAAAAGATTAAAAAAATTAAAAATAATTAAAAAAAATTAAAAAAAAGAGTAATATATAAGAAAAATGCTTGGAATGAATGAATAGTCTAAAAACAGTGGGTTTTGTAACTCTTACAGAGATAGGTAACTGCAAAGACCCACAGGTCCATTTCCAAACAGACCTCGTGCCTGGCCTCTGTCCGGGAGGCACAATTCCCTCCCACCCCTAACAGTCCCTCGGGGAGGATCACTCCATACTCAGGCCTCACACAACAGCGGATTCTCTGAAGGAGGTTAAGCACAGCCTCTGCAATAACATTTATTTGCTAATTTTTGGAGCAAGCCAGTTTTCATTGAGAGTCTGATAACGAACTTCCGCTCAGTCTTGGTCTATTCTGCAGATTTCAGATGAACGGAGCTTCCGGCTGTATCACATACCCAGCACCAATGGTTGGTCTAGTTACCTGGTGGTTTGGATTTGGATCAAGGACACTGGTTTCGCTAAGCCAAACCGGCCAGTAATGAGATGATAACAAGTTACATACTTTTTTCTTTTCCCATTCTCTCTGAAACCATAAGTTTGCCACAGTCGTTATCTGAGGGAGGGTGTTATTCTTTGGGGGTTGAGGTTCTTCATTGCAAATGACAAAAATGAGCTCTGCCTGATTTGAGTAACAAGGGAATGCATTAACAGGATATTGGATAATTCATCAGATCTCCAGGGAGCCTGGAGAGCTGGGCTGGACGCTACACCTGGTATTATACACACAGTGGTCAGTGAGGACACGGCCGGCACAGGAGCAGGCAGGAGCTTGGCTCAGCCAGGACCCCCGTCACGGTTCTGCTGCCACTGGGGTCTGCCCTCCTGCCAGTGTGCCTGTTGGCCCCTACGACCTTGAACTTCTAGCTCCCAATTCAGAGCCTTGGTGAGTGCATCCATTTGAGGGAGCTGAGGTCTTTTGCTGGTGACATTTCCAATCACAAAACAAGGCTCCAGATGCTGGCAGCCAGAAGGCTGAGAGGTGCCCCATGCAGAACTGGGAGAACACCAGGTGGTGACGTGTTTTTGGTTTTTTCTCTCCTTTCTAGCCGATAGACGAGAGCAGTCAGATGAGTGACCTTCCTGTCAAAGTAACTCACACAGAAACCGGCAAGGTCCTGTTTGGACCAGAAGCACCCAAAGCAAGTCAGCTGGACGCCTGGTTGGAAATGAACCCTGGGTGAGTGTTAAAGCGGAATTATTGGCGTTCTTTGGCTTTTTCAATTTTTGTGGTCCTTGTCAAACCTTGGACCTAAAGCAATGCAACCTATGCTGAAGGGGTTAAAGGTGGTACCTGAGTTTGTCATGCGCACACTGAACATGCTGATTAAGTCATGCATGCATATTTTGTCTTATAATTCACAGAACTAAGCTCTGTCTCCTTCCCCACCCCTTTCCCTGTAGCTATGAAGTTGCCCCCAGGTCCGACAGCGAAGAGAGTGATTCTGATTATGAGGAGGAGGTACGTATGTGCATCTGAGTTCATTGGTTTGAAAGTTTATGAGGGAAGCACCTGTGTCCTTCTGTATTCCTGTTTTCAGCATTGGCCTTTGGGTAATGACGGGGGCTGAGGGCGTGCCTCGCCCTGTAGTGACCTCTCGGGGGCTCCTGACCAATGGGGGGACTTGGTGAATTCTAAATTCATTTGGGACCAAGAAAGAGAAGCCGTCATTAAATCAGAAGGGGCAGAGAACAACTGTCTTTTGGGGAGAACTGAACCCATGCCTCCAAGTGGCTCACTCTGGGGGTTCGCCGCCTCAACATTTCTGAAGTTCTTTGGGCCTTCGCATCTGTTTGAAATGGGAAGTCCAGGAACTTAGACGAAAAGGGCAACTTGGGCTTGGTTTAATGCCTGAATTAATCCCCTTGATTTCCCTTTAAATGTGATTCTTGTTTGAAGTCCTTGGGACATACGTGTTACCAAAAAGAGAAGCACATTTTTCAGTCTCTTGGAAGAAATACTCAGTATATCCAGAACCTAAAATAGTAATCCTGTATGCTTTTCATAGGATTATAAAATAAGAATGTTTACATCGATCATGAAAAGCTTAACAATTACAAATAGATTTTAAAAAATATTTCTATCTCCTCCATCTCTGTTGTTCGTGTGTGGTCCCTGAGTGGGATTTTTGCCGTGTGGCGGAATCCTGGTTCAGAGTGGCCACGGCACAGCAGCCACAGACTGAGCAAAGCTGCCTTGCCGAAGAGCTCGCTGGGGTTTTAAGACATTTATTATTTCCTTCTATTGTGTGGATCTAGGTTTTCTAAATCAACCTATTGTGGACACTATGCAAAAAGGAAAAATAAAAATTATATTTTTACAAAAACATGCTACTAAAAAGCAAGTATTTTTACAGGCATGCCTTTTTTTTTTTTTTTTTTTTTTTTTTTTTTTTTTTTTTTGAGGCAGGCCATTTTTTTTCTGGTATATTTGAAGCTTATAAAATCACTTTTAAAAACATTTCTTGTTGACTCAAATACCTGGGCCCATACATGCTCCGTTGGAAGAGCCTTCTCATTCAGAGAGCCAGGGAAGGACAGAGATGGGATGCAGTGGACCCTTTAGCCCCGAATGCCAGCCCGCAGGACCGCCAGCTGCCGGCAGCCCCAACGGCCAGAATAGAGTGAACCTGCCATCTGGGGCCTGCCACTCGCTCATGGCAAGTCCTGTCCCCTCTCAGCACTTCACTTCCCGCCTGGAAAATGAGGAGCGGGGCTGATTCCTGCTCACCCCCTGCTCTCAATCATCCGTCATTATAGGTCTGATTTTCAGAACTAATATTGTGTCCCTTTGCATTTTTTCACTTGAGAATTATGGAAAAGCATTGATCTCTTTTTTTTAATATATTTTATTTTTCACAGAGAGGAAGGGAGAGGGATAGAGAGCTAGAAACATCGATGAGAGAGAAACCATGACCATCTGCCTCCTGCACACACACACCCCCACCGGGGATGTGCCTGCAACCAAGGTACATGCCCTTCACTGGAATCGAACCTGGACCCTTCAGTCCGAAGACTGATGCTCTATCCACTGAGCCAAATCGGTTTTGGCCATTGTTCTCTTTAAATCCACCTTTGAAGGAAATCCTACTGGATTATCTGGAAAGTTAGTCTCCCACACCAGTGGTTCCTGGTGGGCACAGTGAACGTTTAGTGACGCTCTCACACAGCACAGTGGAGCACAGTGCATGGTGGCCAGGTGGGGCGATGATGAATCCTTCGGCGAGTTATGGACAGTTTTCATCAAAATGCTCAGAAGTGCATGGTGTGAAGACCCACAGAAAGCCACGTGACTACAAGCCCCAGCCCGCACTGCAAACGCCCGGGTCGTCAAAACCCACTGGCCCATCTGATAGGGCAGCCTTAGGAGCGGGACAAGGCGAACCTGTCTAGACCCTGGCCGCAGAGAGACGATGTAGAATGTGGCTGAGTGAGTGAGAGACGTGGGGACAGGACTCGTAGATGACCAAGCAGTGGTGGCTCCTCTGAGGGTCACCTTCCTCCTCCTCGCACTGAGTTATTTAAAAGCAATGGAAAGATCTACTTCCTCCTTCGTTTTATTTACTTCACTTGTGAAGCTGAACCCTCTTTAATCTCTTTTTGGAAAATGCCTACCATAAGAGAGTCACTTGTCAGGATGGAATCTTTGTTTCTTCCCAGGATGAGGAGGAGGAGTCCAGTCGGCAGGAAACGGAAGAGAAAATACTTCTGGATCCGAACAGTGAAGAAGTCTCTGAGAAGGACGCTAAGCAGATCATTGAGTGAGTCTCTCTCACCAGTGTCCTTCCTTGCAGATCCGTGTCGTGACCTAAATTAGGCTTTGGGAATTTTCTTTTGGGAAGTTTGGAGGCAGGAGGCTGACTTTGTGCCCACACTCCGCCTGAATCGCTGCTGTCAGAAGTCACCACTGGGCTCCAGCTACTGGGCCCGGGGCTCCCGGCTGCTCCTCTCCCCCCTCTGACCTCTTCTCCCTCCCCAATTCCCACCCCCAGCTCTGGCTAACTCCTGGGCTCCGCACCTGTCACTGCTCTCTGCCCCAGACTGAGCTGAACACACCGCCCTTCCTTCCTCCCTCGGTGGCATCAGCACTCACCCAGAAACCCAAGGAGAGACAACATGAATTCATGCATGGGTGGGGGCCAGACAGCCTGGTCAGGGGGAGGGAACATGGGAGGTTGGCCATCCTGCCTGCTGGTTGAACTCCTGGTTGAGAGGACAATTTGCATATTAGCCTTTTATTATATAGGACATACACTGAGTGGCCAGATTATTATGCATTCATAGATCACAATAATCTGGCCACTCAGTGTATCTTTACGTCCCAAGAGCCTAAGACAGTTTTCCAAGGCAAAGTGTTCATCTGCAGGTGCGCTTCATGTTAGTATTGGTCACTGGGGGTCACGCCAGCCTGCATTCGTATCCTGACTCCACTAGTTTTATGTGGCAGGAAATCCACTTACCTCTCTGAGCCTGAGATTCTCCAAGTGCATGAAACGGGGATGAAATGAATAAGTCTGCCTCGCTCTGTTTTTGTGAGAATTACAGATAATGTGTTTTAATTGCCAGGCAATTAAATAGTAGGTGATAAATAAGCCGTACTTACTGCAGCTATTTTAGGCTTCCCGTTCATCTTTTTGAATGGGTGGAAATAAAAACACACGCACCCAGATGTCTGAGCATGATCCTCCCCTGTCTCTGTCCCAGGACGGCCAAGCAGGACGTGGATGATGAGTACAGCATGCAGTGCAGTGCCAGAGGCTCCCAGTCCTACTACACGGTGGCCCACGCCATCTCCGAGAGGGTGGAGAAGCAGTCTGCCCTCCTCATCAATGGGACCCTGAAGCACTACCAGGTAACCCTGGGGCTCCTGGCTCCTCGGCAGATCACCAGCTCCCACCTCGTCTGCACTGGCGAGTATCCCGTGCACGGTTCAGTGGCTTACGCAGGTCGCTGGGGAGAAGGCATTCTAGGTCCCCCAGCTTACAGTCCTGACAGTCTCTCCATTCTGCCTGTAATCCTGCTCGGAGAGCGCTTCCATCTGACCATCCCTGCCAGGGCATATCTGCTTTCTCTTCTGGGGTTTGGGGATGAATTGGCTTGCCATCTGGAACCATTTCACCACGGATCACTACAGAACGGAAAATCCAGCCACACTTGATGCGTGTCGGGAACATGAACCTAACTGGGGAGCAAACGAAGTATTTCTTCAGGAATCGCACTGGTGGCCCAAGTCCAGTGCCATGGGTCCAGCAGTCGCTGTCTACTCCGCTTACACTTTTGTCTTTTCCAGTCTCAGTAAAGTGGTGAGCATCGGTGCTATGGTGAAAACTGGGCTGTAAATATAACACATTTCATGTGACCTGTGTGGAACGAGGTCAGCCGCTGTCTTCTTTCTCTCCTCCCACTTTATAGTGTTTCCCAAAGTGTGTTCCTTGGGACATTCGTCCCATGAGATGTACCTCAAAAAGAAAAAGAAAAATTGGTCCCATGATCAAATAAATATGAGAGATACAACCCACTATAACGAAGATTACCATATAATTTACTGTTTCAAACGTGGGTACTAATGAGAGTGATGAACAGGGGTCCTTTTTATTGATAATGGGCATAACTCAGGACCATCCTGAGCCATCCAGCCACATGGGCACCCGGACAGGATCCCTCCTGATAGTCCGTGCTGCATGCCAGCACATCCATGACTCTACAAGTATCCATGTGTAATCACTGCAATCAGTATTATGTCATAAAATAACTAACCTTCTATCAATAGTTCCCAAGATTCTTTGACTCCCCCACCTTCTGTTCATATAGCACCCATTAGAAACCACATGCTTCAGGCCACCAGTCCTCACATATTTTGGACTTGGAGTCCTCTACACACTGGCCCTGCATCTGCTGCCGTGGCCTGGGGTACAGCCAGGGTGACTGTCCCCAGCCCCGCCGGCTTCACGGTGCAGAAAAGGACAGTTCATTCCCCACAGTTTTAGTGAATTTCTAGTCCCTTCTGCTGCCAGTTTCTGCTTCTGTTTTATCTGGGATTGACACAGATGCAGAATTCAGACCCTTAGCCAGTTTCCATTTAAAAAAGGAATCTGCCACCTCCCAGGGTCCACGTGTTCCCGGCCTTCCTTCCGTTGGCTTTCCTGGGATCTGGAGGTCTTTGCAGGCACACAGGTCCTCCGAACCAGCGGCTGTGGCTCCGTCCTTTCCTCACGTCCCCTCCTGTCTTTGGCCCCTGGTTCGAGGCTCTTCCCATTTCCCTTCTCTGTCTGGGTGCTGCAGTTTTTGGAAACCCCCTGGGGTGGCGTGGAGTCTGCGTGGCACAGAGACCCAGGCGGCTCTGGAAGTGTGGAGGCCAGCGCACGGCTCCCCTGGGGAACAGCCTGGACCACACGGCCCGGGATGGTGGCATAGGCACCCAGCCGCTTCTCGGTGCGTGTGCATAGGCCAGCGGCTTATTGTCCCCTTGGAAAGCTTCTGAAAGGAGTTACACCTGACACACCTTGGTGTCCACCTGCCATAGCTCCTTCCACAGAATAATCACTTAATATATTTTAAAATAAGTTACTTCTTTCTTACACTAAACATATTAAAATTAACATTTTCCTAAGCATGACTCAATGAGCAAGCTCAATTGCTTTTAGCTAATATAAAGATATTGATATATATAGATACTAATATCTATATCTATCTATCTGTCATTGATCCTTCCTTTTAAATCCAGCCTGGCCAGTGTGACTCAGTGGATGAGTATCAACCTATGAAGCAGGAGGTCACAGTTCTGTTCCCGGTCAGGGTACATGCTCTGCCAGGATTGCAGGCTCAATCCCAGTGTGGGGCTTACAGGAGGCAGCCAATCAATGATTCTTTCAGATGATTGATGTTTCTCTCTCCCCCTCTCCCTTCTTCTCTGACATCAATAAAAATTATTTAATAAAAAAACCCCACAAACCCACATTGGCAGTATAAGGGGAAAAGGGAATTGATATTGGGAGAGACAGGAGTAACAATTTTGGATTTTCACCAGCCTTTTTTGTACTTGACAGGCTGCAAAGCTGCATCTCAGGGCAGAGCTTTTGTGCTTTACAAATACGTGGAGTGTATCTGTGGGCAGTCAGCTTCCATAGGCTGCCCTTGGGGAGTGCCATATAGCATTTCCATGTGCTACCCTGCCCAGGAGGTGTGCCCCCACTGGGAAATGCTCCTCAGGTCCAGCAGCCACCCCTGGCTCCCTGGTCACCTGGCTTCCTCACCAAGGGCAGCCCACCGCCCAGAGGGCGGGGCCCCTTTGCCAAGGAGGCTGTTTCCAATGATCTGTGACCTGCGAGCCAAACCTGCCCTCTGGTCTGTCTGTCCTTAATCCTCACGTTGGCTTTTTGTTCCTGGAGTGGTTGGAATGGTGTTGGCATTGGGTTTCCTTCATTTATAACAATTCTAGAATGTCCTGCACTGTGAAATGCTAAGTAGGGATGAGCAGCAAAGCTGCTTAAAACCCTACCCGTCTGCTCCAGCCCGTCGTTCCTAAATCTGATTAACACCCGGCACCTGCCCAGCTGCGGGGACAATTACGGACTCGCGTCTTAAATTCCTTTTGTGCTGGTGCTTCCCTCACTTGCCTGCTGTGGGAGATCCAGCATATACAGCACTGCGGAGCTAAGAAGTCACAGCCTCACTTGAGTTGTATTAGTATTAATTACCTGTGCAGATCTTGGATAATTGAAGCAATTACTCTTCATTTCAGCTCCAGGGCCTGGAATGGATGGTCTCCCTGTATAATAACAATCTGAACGGGATCTTAGCTGACGAAATGGGCCTGGGCAAGACCATACAGACCATTGCACTCATCACTTACCTGATGGAGCACAAACGGCTCAATGGCCCCTATCTCATCATCGTGCCCCTTTCGTGAGTACAGGCCTTTGTCCTGCAGCTGTCTGTGTGTGCGCTGCCGCGGGCCCTGCTGGGAGCGAGCCCTTCTTCTGCACTGAGAGCAGAAGTATAGCCCGTGGTGGGTGCCCAGGAGCATGGCATCTGGACTTAGGTTTTTATTTCCCACCCCCGACCCACTCCCAGCCTCCTCACTGTACAGTGGGCCTTGTTCCTTCAGCCGCTCACCAAGGGGAGAGAGAGGTTTCCTTTTCTTAATTTCTTTGATTTTTTTTTTTTCTGGTTCCATTTCCAAAAGGTTACATATATTCAAAAGACTGGGCATTCTGAAGTCTCTCTTTAGTGTGTCCTTCAAAGCAGAATCTAAATCAAATGTGTAACAGAATGTGACCTTACCCTGCCCTCAGCGTGTGCAATTCATTTTCAGGGATTTTGCCTCTTGGCAAGGACAGGTCTTTGCTGTGCGCCATTTCCCTCCCCGGCCTCTCGCCCGCCCCAGTGTTTTTTTGCTGGTCTTCAGCGGACACTCCTGAGAGAAGGGAGACCTGACGGCAGCCCCCTGGCCCCCAGGGGAGTGTCTCTGGCTGTGCGTGTCCGGTCGCATTTTTAATCCCCGAGATCTGAGGTCTCCGTGCCAATACAAACCTGGACCTTGAGAGAGAAAAAAAAAAAATTCTATTTTTAGTATTTCCCCCCATATTTGTTTAAAGGAGGACTATTTGCAGACTTTGTTCATCTGGATAATCTGAATCCATCGTATTTGGACATTCTTTGCATTTTTATCTACATTTTGAATATGTGTTTCTCTTTTTATGTATATTTTTCATGTTCTGATTTGTATGTTACGGTCAGGCTTTCAGGGATTAAAAACAGGGGCGGGGGCAATTCCCTATTTCATCCCCTGCTTCCTCTTGACAGATGTATTTAATATGTTCATGTGCTTTTGTAATTTTTTTTTTTCCTGACTCAACTTTTCTCTGAACGTGTGTGTCTGTTTCTAAAGACTCACTAAATCCCTTTGGCAGTTGCTGTTTTTCAATGCCATATTAAAATTTAGGTTTTTTCCCCCCCTCTATAATTATGCATTCTTTAATTTTTTTTCTTATGAGATTTTTTTTAATGTACTCACAACATACTTGTCATGCTTTGTGACAGCTTACTTCTAACTTATCTCCTATTTTCACACCTTTAAAAAAAATATGTAGTCAAGATATTCAAGGTGAAGCCTGAGAATAAATAAGAACATCTTTTTTAACCACCAACTTTCATACAAATGTCTTTTTTTTTTCTTTCTTTCTTCTATTTATGTTTTGTTCTCCAGGACGCTGTCTAACTGGACATATGAATTTGACAAATGGGCTCCTTCTGTGGTGAAAATTTCTTACAAGGTTTGGAATGCTGTGTTTATATATATCAATGTGCAAAAGCAAAAAAATAGTCCCCATTCTCTCTACTCTATATGCACATCTGCGCACTGTGTTTGGCTGTAAAGTTTTGTCATGTACATCATGTACTAAACATCAAGAGTTAGTCATCCCAAGAAGATTACTGTAATTACCTTCAGATAGTGAAATGCGGGAGAAAATTGTTAATTATCACACTTCGGGGTTTCTGATGAGAGTAATACAAATGACAAATACCGCAAGTTCCCTGTGCTGCCGATGGGCTCCCCGTGCCTGCGGGAAGTCCAGCCATTACCTGGGTGCCCAGGCCGCCTGCCACGGCTCCCGGAGAGAAGGAGCCTCTCATTAGAGCAGCGGGCTCTCTGCCGCCTCGCGGTCACTGCAATTTCCCTCTCTCTCTTTCCCCGCCGTTTTCCATGGGAAAGCCTCTCTCTAAGAGACTGAAAAGTGCCCAGACCAGGGCAATTTCGCCGAGCACTTTCTTGGTGGATAATGCATCCATGTATAATAGCGCATGCATGTGCACTCGTTAGTCACGGGCCTGGGCTCCATGAAGGTCTGAATAGTGTGCTTCTGCAGGGTAAGGTGTGTGTGTCTTTCTCCCTCTCCACTCAGGGCACCCCTGCCATGCGCCGCTCCCTGGTCCCCCAGCTGCGGAGTGGCAAGTTCAACGTCCTCCTGACAACCTACGAGTACATTATCAAAGACAAGCACATCCTTGCAAAGGTATGTTAAAAAAAAACAAAAAAACGCTTCTGTCGCTAAATCATGGACCAACCGCCATTGCACTAGAGTGTAAAGTATTTCCCAGATTATACTCACTACTGCTATAATTTTATTTTTAAGTGGCATTTCTCTCTTTCTTTTTTTAGAGTCAGATATATTTTGGTGATGGGTTTTAATTGTATGCACACTGTGTATATGTGTGTGTGTCTGTGTGTGTGTGTGTGTGTGTGTGTGTGTGTATACGCTCCAGCCATCTGTCCTGCGGCTGTTACTTATCTTCTCATGGATAATCAGTTTACATCTCTTTAAACGTTCGCCTGGGTTCCTTCTGCAACTCTTCCCTCCGCAGCAGCTCCAGTGGAAGGAATCCTCGTTTCTGTGGCGCCGGGTCATTGTCAGCAGCGCAGCTTCGGTCCTCGTGGGCCTTTGTCTCTCCGAAGTGTGGCCTTCTCCCGGTGGCCATGTCTCCCAGCTGTGGCTTTCCTGCTGTCCCTGTTTTAGGGTTTTTCCTTATTAAAAAAAATGTGGGCTGCTATTGTTCGAATTACTCTGGGCTGTTTCTGTGACTGTTTGGAGCTGGGAAAGAGTGGTTTTCTATCTGCAAGCTGCATGTCTGCTAATTTATATGTCCTAAGTTGTCCTTTAGCCATAAAATGTAATTTGTCCCATTAATATCATCTTGCCTCCTAATACATTCATGCAGAACGATGAAAGTACCATATTTTTCGGACCATAAGATGCACTTTTTTCCCCCCAGAAGTGGGGGGAAAAAGTCCCTGCGTCTTATGGTCCAAATATAGCCTACACATATACTTTAAAAAAAAAGTTTTTTTACTTGCCCGGCTCTGTGTGGTCTCTGTGTGCTTGCCCGGCTCTAAAATGGTTCTAAATGCTGCTGTTTACTTTACAGGGTTGATTACATGTGTTTATGACTGTGATGTTGGGTTTTAATGCACATAAAATATTTTAGGACACTATTTGTTTCAGAATCTTTTTTTCTTCATTTCCCTTCTCTAAAAACTGGTGCGTCTTATGGTCTGGAGCGTCTTATGGTCCGAAAAATACGGTAGTTTCTTTTCATGGAGCAAATGTGAAGACTTATTATTATTATTTTTTTTTAGTAATTTCTTTTGCCTCGTGGTGTTCTGGAAGCACTATAATCTGAAACCAAGCTATAGCCCCCATGGAACAGAACCCCCGTTTCTGGGCTGTGCTGTGTCTCTGCACTAGCCCTTTGCTCTGGGAACCGAGCGTTCCCTTCACGCACGGCATCGCAGGAAGTCACATAAAGGAAATGAGTTCCCGGGGGCGGTTTAACCATGAGATGCCACTGGCAGCAGTGCTTGTTCCAACTCCTCGTACTCGGGGATGAATTCGGTAGTGTCAGAAGTGATGTGTTTTCAGTATTACGATGGGAATGTGTTTATACATTTGCGATCCTTGAAAACAAATTCAGACCATGTTTTCTGCATAAGCATTTCAGCATTCATCAGAGGCGCCTGTTAATAACATGTATTGCTTTTATTTGTTACTGGAGCAATAGAGATACAGAACAGAACGGGGCAGCAATTTTTTTCCAATTGCAAGACCTCATTAGGAGTAGCCCAATAGCAAAATCGAAGGCCTCAGCTTCCTTGTTTACTATTTCATAAGCCAAATAGAGCAGGAGAGCAGATGTAGGGTATTCATTTACATACATCTTATCTGCTGGCCTCTTTCCTCACTATTGGTAAGTTTGGGACAGTCGGCAGTACAACTTTGGTTCTTCGTAAACCCTTTTCTTAGAGGCGGCAGAGGCAGAAAAATACACAGAATCTCTGGCAGTTTCCTTTTCCTGCATATCCAGGTCTGACTGATGCTTTTATAGCTTTTCCCCTGATTTCCCTGGTGCTTCTGACGAGGAAGGCGAGGGCCATGGGCGTGCTCTGCCGTCTCCCCCTCCCTCCAGGAGCATGGCTGCAGGAGCCAGGCACAGCTGAGCACCAGATGCTTTCCTTGGCCATCACCCCTGCTCTGGAGGGAAAGGATAGGCTTAGTGGAACATTCCTCATCGTTCTCACTTTAAGAAACAGAGAACAGTGACCTTGAGGAGGGCTCAAGTGTAAAATACGAGAGAGGAAAGGGGCTTTCGTAGACTTAGGAAGGAGGATTGCATCAGATGGTCATTCTTTACTTCTGAGGTGATAGTCTTGTGGGGAGAGTATGTTATGTTTCATTATGAAGGTTTGGCGTACATAGAGGGATGATATTTTAGCATCGTCCTCTCCGCCAGTGAGAATATCCTTTCATTTTCCATTTCGTAAAGCAAGGCCCCTGGACCTGGTGGGTAAGTGCTTGGCAGGTAGGGAATTCTAGTATGTGTGAGAGTCCAGGTTGCCAGATCTTTTATTTTTTTAAACATATATTTCATTGATTTTTTACAGAAAAGAAGGGAGAAGGATAGAGTGTTGGAAACATCGATGAGAGAGAAATATCAATCAGCTGCCTCCTGTATACTTCCTACTGGGGATGTGCCTGCAACCAAAGTACATGCCCTTGACTGGAATCGAACCTGGGACCTTTCAGTCCATAGGCCGACTTTCTATCTAGTGAGCCAAACTGGTTACAGCTTTTATTTTATTTTTTAAGAAAAAGGTAAATGTCCAGGTTTTAATGTGAAATATACCAGCTTTTAAATGTTAGCAACTAATTGAAGTCAAATTAAGAACATGGATCCAAGCCCTAAAGGTAGTGTGGTCAGCCCACTTAGTAGAAAAGAAGGCAGAAACCAGCATCTCTCCGCTACAGGTCATGCAGGAAGAACCAGTCATTAGCTGCGGCCTCAGGTGGAGAGCCGTGTTCTGTACCTGCTGGGCGCGGAGGGAGCATGACCTTTGGGTTCGGACAGCTGGCAGGGAACAGCCTCAGCAGGGGTACAGGATGGGGAGACCCAGGAGCTGCCCCTGGCTTAGCCAGTGCACTCTGGGCCAGGCTTCCTTCTTTGTTAAATGGCCTCTAAGGAGCACTATTGCTTTAGCTTCCTGTTATTACATGATGTATTATCTCACCTATCAGGTAGGGGCTATAGACTGTTGAGATTCTTTTATCCTCAGGAGAATTCCACCATGTTTCACCAGATATAGGTCCTTTGGTTTTCCACTTCACCTCTTTTTTGTTGTTGTTAATCTTCACCCAAGGATATTTTTCTATCGATTTTTATTTATTTATTAATATTTTATTTAAGAGAGAGTGGAAGGGAGGGGGAGAGATAGAGAGAGAAACATCGATGTGAGAGACACATCGATTGGTTGCCTACCGTATGTGCCGGGTTGGGGACTGAGCCTGTTACAGAGGTACATGCCCTTCACCGGAATCGAACCCAGGACCCTGCAGTCCCTGAGCTGACAATCTATCCACTGAGGCAAACCAGCGAGGGCTCCGTTTCACCTCTTGCCTGCTGGAAATAGTTGTCTTTTCCCTCGCTCACCGCATGTTGGCCCACCTACGTTACAGATCCGGTGGAAGTACATGATCGTGGACGAGGGCCACCGGATGAAGAACCACCACTGCAAGCTGACCCAGGTCCTGAACACTCACTACGTGGCCCCCAGGAGGATCCTGCTGACCGGGACCCCGCTGCAGAACAAGCTCCCGGAGCTCTGGGCGCTCCTCAACTTCCTGCTCCCCACCATCTTCAAGAGCTGCAGCACCTTCGAGCAGTGGTTCAATGCTCCGTTCGCCATGACAGGAGAAAGGGTACTGGTCTAGCTCATTTGTTGTTGTTGTTGTTGTTGTTGTTGTTGTTGTTTTCCCCCCGCTGCTTGAAAATGAAATGAAAGGACCTAGAGCTGAGAACATCAGAGCGACAGGAAACGCACAGGGCGCACGTGTTCTCATTCCCGGCGTTTCCCCTCGGAAGAAAGCGACCTAGTGAAGTGTGGGTGTCCTGACTCTAACCAGGCCGCCAGAGGACATTCCCAATGGTGGGATGCTGTTGGGCCACAGGGGGGACCCTTGGAGGGAGAGTTACTGCCTTAGTTCAACCAGGTCAGCTCACCAGCTGAACAAAAGCTTCAAGCAGGTATGTCCTTGTTATAAACGTGGGCTTCCCTTTGAACTGTTTCCTCATCAGGAGAGTGTGTGTGAAGCCGAAGCTGTACACTTATTTTCTGTACACATTTTTTCAGAGTTTAGTGTGAGCCTCAGTTTTGCATCTGCATAAATACTCCACAAACCTGGAGTAGCCATTTCTAAATTTCTCAACTCCATTTCTTCCACTGTCTGTCTTCTCTTGGAGCTCCCTGATGAAAGGAAGGCCTAGCCACTGTAAGAAAAGCAATGGGCACGTGTCCTTTTGGTTAGTGATTTCTTAACTACGGGGATGCAGAGCCAGAAAGAATGCCTTAGGGAAACTTAAGTTGGAACTCTCGAGCCCTTTAGCTGTGTGGTGCGTTTTCTTTTTGTCTGTAAAGGATTGATTCGCCCATTTGTGTAAAGTCGAGTCAATCAGCTCTGCCCCCTAGAGGTGACAGAGGAGGGTGAAGGAGAAAGCAGAGGGTTTTATAAATGAGACTGGAACTCCAACAAGATCAGGGCAGAAGAAAGGAAGAGTGAGGTAGCATGGCTTAGAAACCAGCCAAGATAAATCGGGCCTACTCTTGTTTTTATTTTTGTGTACAAGCGTATTCTAATCTATTTTTAAAAATTGATTTGAGAGAGAGCGAGAAGAGGGGAAGAGAGAAACATGGATTTGTTATTCCACTTATTTATGCACTCATTGGTTGATCCTTGTGTATGCCCTGACTGGAGATCAAGTCCACACCCTTGGTATATTGGACAACGTTCTAGCCAACTAAGCTACCCAGTCAGGGCTACTTGTGTTTTATGTCAGTCTTTCTCCCCCTGCCCCCAATGTAGGTGGGTTTTTAATCTTCACCCAAGGACATGTTTTCATTGATTTTTGGGAGAAAGTAAGGGGGAGAGAAAGAGAGAAACATCAATCTGAGAGAGAAACATTGATCAGTTGCCTCTTATATGCACCCCAACCAGGGATTGAACCCATAACCTGGTATGTGACCTGATCAGGAATTGAACCCACAACCTTTTGATGCTCCAGCTGGCCAGGCCTTCAGTCAGACTTTATTGCCAGTTATATCCCATAAAATTCTGAGCCCTATTCCACAAACCCATCCTTAAAACCACCACCCATTAAGGATTCTGAGGTGTATGTGACCAGGTATAAACCTGGCCTTAACACATATAAACATTCAAACTTACATTGAAGTGAATAATAAATGTAACATTAAGTGTTATTTACATGAAACAGCCTTTAAAAAAAAAAAATCAAAGTCACTTACAGTTCTTCTCGGGCAGGTGGACTTGAATGAAGAAGAAACTATATTGATCATCCGGCGTCTACATAAGGTTTTGCGTCCATTTCTACTGAGGAGACTGAAGAAGGAAGTGGAATCCCAGCTTCCAGAAAAGGTATGCTGCACGATGCGCACGTTATGGTTTCTTCCCCTGCCGATATGGTTGGCATTCCTACACCTGGAATTATGTTTCTGAAACAGCAGGTTTGTCTTTTGGAAATCTCTTGAAGTGCTAATTTATTTGATAGAAGCTAAAGGGTTTCGTGTAGAGAGAGAAGGCAAATTTCAGCAATTTCAGCCCGGTGTCCAAAAGCTTTGGGCAGATTTTATAAAATTACCAAATTCATTGAGCTTTACCAAAGTCATTACCCTTTAACTTACAGCCACTTAGCATACCCTGATTAAATTAACATTGCATTTTAATTTTAGATATTTTTTAAAGTTAACTAACCTCATTTGAGTTTCTTTTTACAGATGCCATAAAAGTGTTCTGTTTGTAAACCAAATGAGGATTTCAGTTTGGAACTTTTATCATTATTAGAGGGCCTAGTAAACATTGGCCATATTTGCTGGAAATTTATTTAATACTAGAGGCCCAGTTCACGAAATTTGTGCAGTGTCCCTTAGCCTGGCCTGTGCCCTCTCACAATCCAGGACCCCTCTGGGGATGTCTGACTGCTACTTTAGGCCCAATCACCACAGGGATTGGTCCTAACCGGCAGTCAGACACCACTCCCCCTCCCCCCGCAAGGGATGTAGCAGTGTGCCAAGCAGCAGGTGGCCAAGGAGGAGCCAGATCCAGGGCCGGGTGCCACGACACTCACACTTATCCCAGCCCGCTGTGCCTGCTGTGCCTGCTGCTGTTGCTCGGTAGTGCTGCCACAGTCAGAAGAGGCTCCTGCCACCGCAACTGCACTCAGCAGCCATGAGCCCAGCTTTTAGCTGAGCGGCGCTCCCCCTGTGGGAGTGCACTGACTACCAGGGGGCAGCTCCTGTGTTGAGTGTCTGCCCCCTGGTGGTCAGTGCACATCATAGCAACTGGTCGACCAGTCATTCTGGTCATTGCAGTCATTCTGTCCTAAGGGTCGCTTAGACTTTTATATCTGTGGAGTTGATGCTTGTGATGTCACCATGGTAATAGGTGAAAAATAGAATTTCCATAAATTATAAAACCATCATCTAATTATTCTTGGGCACAGTTTCTGTCCCGTACCACAAACATGAGGTTCCTGTGAACATTTTGAGCAAGTATTTTTCAGATTACTTTGTGGACACTGAGTTTTCAGTGCTTTAGAATATCCTTTGAGCCCTTAGCTCTACACTTTTTGCTTGGATTTGGGTATTAGTTTAATATGTTTCTGATCATAGTTTGGAACCATGCATATTTGAGTTCTAAATTTTATTCTCTTAAAGAAAGATTGTTTGGCATTGTATACTAGTATTTGTAGCATGAGATATTTTGATCTGAGCTTTCTCTTTAGGTGAGCCAAGTCTGAAATGTGTTATTTTGCATCATTGTGTTTTCTGTGTAATGACTCTATTTTTTGGACAGATTGTTTCATCCTGTTCATTTTTAAGTGGGAGCTGGCAAATAGCATCTGAAATTTATTGGTTTGCTGAGAGAGAATTTTGTTCTCTATTCTTATCAATTGAAAAAAAAAGAAAAGATTAAACATGGTTTTTATACCAGGCTTACTCCAGCAGTAGCCCAAATATTTAAGTGTTTTATTGTGCTAGTAAATGCATTGTGGGCATTAAATGCTATATCGATATCTACTTGACTTCCGTGGTCTCAGCATCTTTGAGTAACTCATTTTCTGTTTAATATGGAGCTTAGCTACCGAATAGATAAACTGGGGAATGGATACAATGGCCATGTGGCTGCCTGGAGCTACCTCCTAGCATCCTGTTACTGAGATCTGCAAGTTATAGTGGTGGAATGTTAAGGATTTTAATTTGTCCCATGCTTCCTTTTGTTTCTTTAGAAGAGCAGTAAAATAAAAGGTGACTAACTGAAGTCCTTTATCCATTCATTCCATAAAACTTCTTAATCTTGCTGATTTATTTACTTACAGGACTGGCTAAATAGACATAGATTTTTTTTTTTTTAACTCATTACAAGATAAAACTATACCCTGTCTTAAAAAAATCCATTATATAAAAATCCAAACTTTTGTAGCCTAAGGATTGTGGGGCAGCTACTCATTTATACCACAACGGGATTCTTTACTATTTATTTTACCATTCTTTCCACAAGAGTGCTTCTTGAATATGAATAAACTTTTACAAAAATTAATATTAGATTTTCGAGAGTATGTCTCCTATATAAAGTCCATGTGTGCTCTTTAATAGCCAGAGCATGACCTCTGAGGTGTGTTAAATACCCTTGTATGTGACAGACTGTCTATGGATAAGCTACCTTTTCCTGGAGGTAACTTGGCGGTGTGGAAAGCATGGGTTCTGCCATCAGAGTGGACAAGGGTCCCCACCACATTCTCCATCTCTTACTGAGTGAACTTGTGGGTGGGTCTCAAGTTTCTCATCAGTGAACTATAAAATAAATGATACCTGCTTCATAGAACTGTTGCAAGGACTAAGATGGATGTGCTACTTCTGCCACTGTGCCTGGCATGTGGGCAGCACTCAACGAGGGCAGCTACTCACGTTGCTGTTTCTTCTATTAATGGAGGGCTGTAGTCCTCTCTGTTCTCTCCTTGCACTTCCTGCGGCCCTCCCACATCGCTGTCCCCACAGTCCTTTGAAGGCGAGTTGGGGGCCTAATCACTGAGTGTGGCCACGTGGCCTTATTGATGTCTTGTGGCCAGTGGTCATTCTCTGCTTTTTCTGTTTCGTGAGGACTTTTTTTTTTTTATCAGGGAAAAATAGGTCATTTAAGTATTATCCTTGTGGATAAGTTTTCTCCTACCATCTCCTGCCCATAGCCACAAACAACGCGTATGTCTTTCTCAGCCTGTGGAAAGAATCAGGAAGGAATTATGGCCATGGCAGGATAAAGCTGACTATAAATACTTCCATAGCAACAATTCTCAAATGTTTTAGTGAAAAGGAATCAATTAAGGAAGTATTTTTTAATTTATATATAATGAAATTTGCTCATTTGGGCTCATAGTTCTGGAAGTTTTGGAAACTGCATAGTTATATTTCCCACACCTACAATCACAATACAGAGCAATTCTACTTCCCAGTCTCCCTCCCCTCTCCCCCGAATTCCTTAGTGCCACCACACTTTAGCTAGAGCCTCTCTCTACCCTTCGTTTCATGCAACCACAATGGGTTCGCCCCACAGCTTTGCGTTTTCCAGAATGTCATATGAGGGGACACAGACAGTATGTGTCATCAGACCTGCTGCGTCTGGTTTCTTTCACTCAGCATCGTGTGTTTGAGAGGCATCCAAGTTGTTGCAAGCATCCACAGTTGGGTCATTGTTATTGTTGAGTAGTATTCTGTTATGTGGATGCAGCATACTCGATGATGGATAAGTCTGCTTTAAACATGTGTGCAGGTATTTGTGTGAACACAGGTTTTCATTCCACTTAAGCAGGTCATTAGGAGTGGGGTTGCTCCATCATATGGTTAATGTTCACGTAACTTTGTAAAATTCCACACCGTGCTCCAAACTGTCTGAACCACTTTGTAGTCCCACCAGCAATGTGTGGGCATTCCACTTCCTTCACTTTCTCATCAGTATTCATTGGGAAGTGTCCGTTTCTTAAATGCTTTTAGCCATTTCAATAGGTGTATGACTTTAATTTGCATCTCTCTAACATCCAGTGATGGTAGGCATCTTTTCATGGGCTTAATCAGCCGTTGTATGTCTTCTTTGATGAAATGGTGCTCAAGTCTTTTGTTTGTTTTTTTTTATTTTTATTGGATTGTTTCTTTTCTTATTGTTGAGTTTTGTGATTAAAAAACAAACAAAAAAAACCAAAACTCTTAAAAATGTAAAATGTCATCCTGTCATGGTAATTCTCTGCTTAGTGTAGCTAGGGTGACCTCAGGGATGTATTTCCTCAGGTGAAACCAAAGCAGGCATCTGAGGGCCACCATGTGATAAATGCAGTTCTACTTCCTAGAAAGTTTAGTTTTAATGAATATTTAAGAAAAATTAGTTTAAATCAATGGCTATTTAATAATTTTATGAGTCTAACGAACTTCCTCATGAGCAAGGGAATAGACTGTCCACTAATGGTAGGCATCTTTTCACAGGCTTAAGCAGCCCTTCCTCCCCCAAAACCACCACCTACCTACCTGCTAGTGTAAAATCCATCCCTCACATGGGGATTCATAGGTTGGGTGTTTTAGGGAGGTTTTGGGATGGATCAATAGAATATTCATCAGCTTTATTGATGAATATGAGATTTATTCTCTTAATGAGATTTATTCTCTTAATTTTGCTGTCCTAGGGAGTGGTTGGCAAAAGGTATTTAATTGGATTTCTGTTATCTGTCCCCCTGAGTAGGGTGATTTAAGCTATTTACCCTCTGACTGGGGAAAAGTGAAAATCATTTACTCTTTTTTTTAAATTTATATTTATTATTGAAAGTATTACAGATGTCCCCTTTGTTTCCCCATTAACCCCTGCCCCAGGCCTTCATCACACTATTGTCTGAGTCTATGGGTGATGTGTATAAATTCTTCGGTTAATCTCTTCCTACCCACCCACCCATCCCCACCTTAAGTGTCCTTGGTTTAGGGAAGATAGCACTTAACCTGTGGACACAAACTGCTGTTTAACTGTCTCAGTTTCCCTATTTAACTTGCCTGGAATTTTTCTGGCTTCTTACTATTCTATAACAATTATCGGTAAGATATAGTTGCAAAGCTTATGACGATGATATTGGCCATATTTATCAAACCAGTTTCTGGTGTCCTCTAAGGACATGAAAGAAGGAGGTCAGAAGGTTAGAGTCCTCGGGATAGGCTCCCCTCTCTGTTGATGGACCCCCGTGTGATGTCCGAGTCCCCGTCTGCATGGTAGCATCATGCCTCCTGGTCCCAGCCCCTCACCTGCAGCACCTGGCAGCAGCTCACTGGTGGGGAGGGGGCTGAGGGTTCTGTACCTGTGAGCCTTGAAGCTGTAAACACAAACCTTGGCCATCTCTTCCAGCAGTGAGGCCCCGGTGAAGGTGAATGTCAGGACAGAACTCAGAAGCCGGAACCTTTAACAAAGAGTTTAACAGAGTGGTTATTTCCAGGCCTAACTGTGCCATTAATTAGCTGTATCATTTTGACTCAGTCTGTTCAACTTTCTGATGTTCTGGTTTATTATCTATAAAATATGGACACTGGCCTTGCTGTCATGGCTCAGTGACTGAACATCGACATCCACCTATGAACCAGGAGGTCACGGTTTGATTCCAGTCAGGGCTCATGCCCAGACTGTAGGCTCGATCCCCCATGTGGGGTGTGTAGGAGGCAGCCAATCAGTGATTCTCTCTCATCATTGATGTTCTGTCTCCCTCTCCCTTCCTCTCTGAAATCAATAAAAATACAATTTTAAAACAAGATAAAATGTGGACACTGAATCTAAGTCTCTTAAAGCTTTTGTGTGGTAAAACGAAAGAAGGCAGATAAATGCATGTGTGCATGGGGCATGGTCCCCACAGAGCTCAATTAATGTTAACTCTGATCTCATTTTTATCTTTATACTCCTCTGAAGTTAACATTTTTCTTCACCTAGATCAGATTTCATTGAGAGCTAATAGCTTCTGAAGAAGTGGAAGTACTTTAAAAATATGACACCATCAGGCTTGTAACAACAAAACTTATATTACCTGCATCCTTATTGATTAAACTGGGAGATGTTTTTGTCCCGGCCTGGCCAAGAAGGTCATTAAAAACTAAAACTAGTGGATGATGGGTCGCTTGCCTTTCCTAACTTCTCTGCCAAGAGCCAGCCTTTGACTAGTTTGATGCGGTGCATCAAAATGAGTGGCAAAAGGCTATTAACCGTGGTTCCATCGAGCCTGACAGGTTTCTTCTAAAGCAACAACGGAATGAATATTCAACTTCTCTTCATCTGTGACCTCCTCACTATGGCCCTCCGAGCTGAAAATAGCCTGATCGTTTTTAGCCAGTTTATTAAACGTTAGCCAGCTTGCTGATTTACTTTTAATCACTTTCTGCAAATTTCCAGGCATTAATCTGTTGATGATGATGAAAACTGCACGTTTGTATTCTGGGGAATTTTTTAATAAAGCGAAACAATAATGGGAAAGAAGCAAGCGGATGTTATGCATTAGAAGCGTGCTAGACTTGTTGTAGGTGTGTGCTGAGTCCCCTTTCCCCGCTTCACAGGCTTTTTGCGGTGTTTCAGATGGAAACGGGGGGCCTTCCCTCCTTTAGGAGGTCCTAACGCTGAGCCCAGCTATGGAGTAGTCTTCTCCACTGTGGAGTGGAGTGGTCTCTTCTCTTTCCAAAGCAGGTGTATGATAGTCAACCTAGGACTGTCCTAAGCATCATTTTAGGACTTGTATTAGGAGTAGCCACATATCACCATTTGAAAAAGTATTTCACAAAGGAAATCATGGGATATTGGCCAGTCACTGTTTTTCCTAAACCTGTTCTGTTTCTGTTAAAAAGGGGGGGGGGGGGGGGGACGGACAGTTGGGAAGCAGAAGAAATACTAAAAATATACTCTATATTCAATATCTTTGAATTTGAACAGTTGGCAAGCCATTCTCTCAAATATGGAGCAAGTCATGAAAATTCCTAAAAGCATAGCCCTAGCCACAATTGCATATAAACCTCTGGAAGGTCCGTCCACCATATCATACCTTTAGCAATGATGTCTGTTCCAAACCCACCACCCCATCCCAGGAATCCAAGTGGGGAGCAGATGCTTTCAGGCTCCTGGAATGCCACCAGCAGCCCTGTCTCAGCTATCTCTCTTCTTCTTTCAATTAAAAATATTTTGTTATTGATTTCAGAGAGGAAGGGAGAGGGAGGGAGAGAGAAACATCAATGATGAGAGAGAATCACTGATCAGCTGCCTCCTGCACACCCCACCTTGGGGATGGAGCCTGCAACCCAGGTATATGCCCTGATGGGGAATCGAACCGTGAGCTCCTGGTTCATAGGTTGACTCTCAAACCACTGAACCGTGCTGGCCGGGTGCAGCAGCCTCTTCAGAACAGCACCTTCTCTCTGCTGCTCTCAACCACTCACTGCTCTTTCCTCCCAGGTTGAATACGTGATCAAGTGTGACATGTCAGCTCTGCAGAAGATCCTGTATCGCCACATGCAAGCCAAGGGGATCCTCCTCACAGATGGTTCTGAGAAAGATAAGAAGGTACGTGGCAGAGGGGGAGGCAACGCAGGGAGCACACGTCTCCTTGCAACCGGGAAGCATCCTGCTCACGCTGACTGGCAAAAGCACGTTACTGGGTCTCTCTTGTAGCTGTTGTAGCTGTCAAAGGACATCTCTTACCCTCTTACGTGTAAACTGCATTGGGGCAGGAAGAAAGGAGCAGGGTCCTATCTCCGAAATAGTTAACTGTGCTCACGTCAATCTGGCAGAAGACACATTCTGCCTAAACATGGGGTGGCGTTTTAAAAGTTTCATTTCTTGGTCCTCTGTCTTCCCAGAATCCTAGGGAATAGACAGTCACGTCACAAACCCATGGACATGGACTTGACATAATTCCTTCCTGGTGATGTTAAGTCACAAGAAAGGTGTTAAAGCGAACCCAGAAGTTGCCCTGTTTTAGCAGGAGCTTTGGACCACATGAGGTGTAGGGTACCGAGAAGACCGACAGCCCTCTGCCTTTTCTATAGCAGCTCTCTTTTAACAATTAAAATCGTCCGATCACTTAATAACTTGTTCTATTCCGACTCTCCCCACTTGTTCTTAGGGGAAAGGTGGTGCTAAGACACTCATGAACACTATCATGCAGCTGCGAAAAATCTGCAATCACCCCTATATGTTTCAGCACATTGAGGTAAGTATGTTCTCTGTTTTGTTTTGTTTTTTAATTTTTTAAAATATATTTTTATTGATTTCAGAGAGGAAGGGAGAGAAAGAGACAGACAGAAACATCCATGATGAAAGAGAATCATTGATTGGCTGCCTCCTGCATGCCCCACACTGGGGATCGAACCCAGAACCTGGACATGTGCCCTGACCAGAATTGAATCATGACAGCCTGGTTCATAGGTGGGCATCTGCGCTCAGTCACTGAGCCAGGCTGGCCAGGCTGTGTTCCCTGTTTGGATCCTGATCGTACTTGTGCTCTTCCTACTAAAATTACTTTAAAAAATTTTAATAGAAATATACAACAGGGTTAAAACGTGTATGGACTTTGAAACGACAATTCTGCTGTCTGGTAGCTTAACGGGAAGAATTAACAAATGTGAATTTTCTGGTCATGGATGCTTTTTGGCACCAAGCACTTGAGCATCTGGAATTTTATAGCCACGAGCCTAAAGTAGTACGAAAATGTTGTAAGCTATGGCTCATTATGTGGGTTCAGGGAAGGACTGTGAATTGCCTTGTTACACGAGGCGCTCTGAAATGGAGGATAATGATCAATATATCACGTTTCCTCAGGAGGATGCTGTGAAAAACATTAAAATAATGTATTTATACCTGTTGAAGAGAAAGATGCTCTTGAAATATTTTCTCTGTGAAAGACGCTGACCTTGGTTGGTTACTTAGACTTTGTATTCTTCTTTCCTGATCTCCATCAAGACGATGTAGATTCAGGCTTTCACACCGCTGCCCTGGTCTTTAGGAAGGAAGCTATTCTTAGGCCTGAGGACAGTTTCTGTTCTATTCACTCCATGTGAATACATTTCCTAAATCGACAGAGTTTCATCCATTGGGAACAATGGACTCGAGCAGGCAGGAAGGAGCCGCATTGTGGTCCCCATCCTTCAGTGTGGCTGCTGATGCCGAGGTCCCGGGGGCAGTGCTTGGCCAGCATAAGTGCCCTCTTTCCACCACATGTGAGCAGGGGCCTGGTGCAAGTCCCTGCAGGCTCAGTATCCCCACCAGTTTATTAAAATATAAACGTGGAGGGGTCTGAGGAAAAGAGGGAACAGTCACAGTATACAAATGAGGCTGAGTATTGAATCCGTTTTTTCTCCCTTACTTTTGGTAGCTGTGCTTGTCAGAGTATTTATTGCACGCCTCCTCCCTGTCCCAAGTCTGACAGGGAATTAGAAAGACGGTTGATACTGCTGTTTGCCTTCAAGTCCAAAGGGCAGAGTTATCTATAAACCCAAATCCCTAGAATGCTATAAAATGACAACAGCAACAACACTAAAAGTTTAAAAAAATCCACCACCTCTCAGTGTGGCTCGTGATTGACCTGTGATTCGACATGGTTCGTGTCAAACCATGAACCAGGAGATGGCGATTCAATTCCTGGTCAGGGCATGTGCCCAGCTTGCGGGCTCAATCCGCAGAAGGGGGTGTGCAGGAGGCAGCTGATCAATGATTCTTTCTCATCATTGATTTTCTCTCTCTCCTTCTCCCTTCCTCTCTCTGAAGCCAATAAAACATATATATATATATATATATATATATATATATATATATTTTTTTTTTTTTTTTTTTTTTTAAATCCACCAACAAGCACACCTGTTTAAACTATTAGACATAGTGTGGGAGGAGAAATCAGTGTGCCATGAGTCCATGCCCCAGGCCACTTTTTAACTCAGATGTCTCCTGCTGGGGTGAAACTCTACATTTAGGAGCTTTATTCACATGAACCGGCCTGGTATAAGTCACTCGGCCTCTCCAAGCTCCAGTGTACTTGACTTGTCATCCGTGTCATGGATTTCAGGGCTGCCAGAAGACGGACTTTAAAACAAGTCACATAGGAAGCATCTTGTAAACTGGTAACATGTTAAACAGATGTGAGGTATCAGTGACTCATCGGTGGGGCTGTATGCTGGGCTGGGAAGAGCCAAAAACATGTCTATGATGGGGTTCTATCGGGTCAACCTGTCACCCACCATCTCACTTCTAAAAACAATTTGAAGATATATACTCTGCTCCATAGAGGGGTTTGAGGACTCAGATTGTGAAAATTAAGTGTCAGCCTTACCTCATTTTGGCTATCATACAAAGCTAACCTTTGTAACACGCTAGGCCTGTCAGGAAGAGAGATGGCACGGTCTCTCCTCCGGCTTCTGTCCAGGCACCTGGGGAGGGTGGAGGAAGAGGGCCATAAAAGGAACAACGGTGACATAGCATGCATGCCCTCCATTCCACGCATATTTACATTTTGAAAGGCAGTCAAGTAGGAAAACAGATTTTGATTTGCAGATATTTTTTAGCTGTTTTTTTTTTTTTAATATATTTTTACTTTACTGATTTTAGAGAAAGGGATAGAGAGAGAGAAACATCAGTGAGAAGGAAGCAGGGATCGGCTGCCTTCTGCACGCCCCTCACTGGAGATTGAGCCAGCAACCCCGGGCATGTGCCCATGCCTTGGAATTGAACTGGTGAACTCTGGGTTCGTGGGTCGAGGCTCAACCTCTGAGCCACACCGACCAGGCTGACTTGCAGGGCTTTTTTTGTTTGTTTGTTTGTTTGTTTTTTTAACATAAAAAACGTTCAGGGGCATATATTCCTAGAAACGGGAGCCACAGTTATGGCTAATGTGTTACTGGTTATGGATCAGAGATGGTGTGTGCCTTTTGCCCCGGCCTTTGCTTTGTTTGCCAACAGCCTTTGTCCATGCTGGCATACAGCCCCCAGCCTCTCCACTGGGCTCCCAGCTTCCCTGGGGCTTCGAACCAGAGAAATGAACACAGGTTGGGAGAGTGTTTTTTTGTGTGTGTGTGTGTGTGTTTTTTTAATGATGCCGATTCCTAATCTTATCACCATCTATCTTATGACACTGTCTCTGGTTTGTACAGCCCTGCATAGAGATAGGGTTAGAACCTAAACATCTGGTCAGGAATGGCTCCGGCTGCCTGTGGAGAGAGAGGAGGTGGTGCTTGACACCAGAGGGGGGCTTCTGGCTGTTGTCCACGCAGGTCTGCGTTCTGGGGGCTGGGCCTTCCCTACCTGACGAGCATATTTGAGGGGAGAGCCCGGAGGGAAAGATCTGGTCCCTTTGCGAGCAGAGGGACCGTGGAAGGAAGGGAAGCAGAAAAAGGAGACAGCTGGTGGCTAATGGGAAGGTGCGACATCCTCTCCTTCCCCCAGATGGTCTCCCGTTCCTTCAGTGGGAGTGGAAAATCACATGGAGAGCAGCCAGGTACTTCTCCCGCCGTCGGGGCGGAGGGAGCTGTGTGATTAAGTCCAGTATTTTAATGTGAAAGCTGGACCCCCCGAGGGAGCGCTGCACATTGAGGGCCTTATCCGTAAGGCCAGAGAAACCAGAGAAATGTGCAGTGTGCAAGGGACGCGAGGACTTCACTAAACTGAGATTTAAAATGGGAGTGTGTGACCACCATTGCTTTTACTGTTAAGCATTTTCACGGCGTACTTATGTGCACATTTTAGGCCCGATTTGCTTCTATGAAGCGCTTCCTCTAGTCTCGGCTCTATGCTCCTTGGGGACAGATATTTCAGTTGTTCCTGGATCCCCACAGCCGTCCCGGCTCAGCCCCAGGCCAGGAGATGTTTAATCGCTGTTGGATGAATGAACTCACCCTGTCATCTCAGCAAGAGAGTCTAGAGACTTGCAGAAACTCACAGGATATACACTCCCAGCAGAACAAAAGTCTGATTTCAAAGACAACTGAGTTTCAGGTTCATCTTACACCAAATATTTCTTACTCATTCTTTTGTTTAATTGTACTCTGGAAACAGATGGGATGGCCTCCCTAAAAGAGTAATCATGAAGTTAATAATGACATACCCGATGGGTTTTCTGTATTCATTTTCTTTTTCTCTCTCTTTTAAAGGAATCGTTTGCTGAACACCTGGGATACTCGAATGGGGTCATCAATGGGTAAATCTTAAACTTTTCTTCCTTCTAAAAAGTAGTTTGTTGGTCCTACCTCGCCTTCTTTCTCTCTAGTGTTTTCCGTCAGCACCTACACAGCCAGCCTCCCCAGCCCTCTCCCCTGGGGAAAACCTGCAGAAGTTGTGAACCAAAATGTAGCAGCCTCTCTTGTACTTTAGTGGCATAAATTACCGCATGCCTTGAGTAAGTGGCTATTCAGAGGACATAGATCTCATTTAATAGATTAAATAGTATCCTCGTTCTAAAAATGTTGTCGAAGCTTCAAAGGGATGTTATTTATAACCAATAGCGTAGCTTAGGCTCGGAGTGGATTTATCATATTAAATTTCGAGTGGATATTTAATATTAACTCGCAGGAGGAGAAATGTCCCATCTGCTACAAATATGTATGACTTTACAGTAATTTGTGAGAAATACGGTCTGTATAGGAAGCATTTTTCATCAGCAGTGGACATTGAAGAGAATCATGCCTTGCAACAACAAGAAGGAACATGCTTTAACAGAAAGTCTCTGTTTTGCTTGCGTGGCACCAGGCAAAAGGTGTTATCAGGACACAGGACTTATTCTCGGGGTCCCCAGGGCAGACCGTGTCACCAGGCACTGGACCCCATCCAGAGGCAGTGCCACCAGGCTCTCCTGCCTCCTCCTCACGGCCCCCCTCCCTCCGGGTTCTGTGTCACTGCTTCCCCGCTGTACTGTGGCCCTCACGTTGGCCAGGGCTGCATATTGAAATCATGGCCACAGTGGGTATTTGGAGGTCAGTTCTCAGAGCAGGGGAGGGACACTAGAAAGACCTACGGTTGAAAAGGTGTCTCTTAGACACAACGTATATTGGGTGGTAAAATCGGCTACCGAATGGTAGGTTTCACTGTCCTAGACTGCAAGTGCCCTGCAGAGTTTTCCAACAATGCCAGCCCTACAATCAGCTTTCAGTAACAACACACCCTGGTTGATAAAAGGGGAAAAGGGGGTGATTGTGGAGGAAAATGGCCCTACTTTAGCTTCTCCATCTGATGGCAGTACACATTACCGTTTAAAATTTTATATATATATATATATATATATATATATATATATATATATATATATTATATATATATTTATTTTTTTATTGATTTCAGAGAGGAAGAGCAAGGAAGAGATAGCAACATTGGTGATGAGAGAGAATCATTGATAGACTGCCTCCTGCACGCCCCCTACTGGGGATAGAGCTCCCAGTTTGGGCATGCACCCTGATAGGACTCAACCATGACCAAGCCAGGATTCTTGCCCCCTTCCCAATGCATTCCAGCATGGTGTACATGGTGATGTTATAAAAAAGATATATCACCAAAATACATGGTAAAGGAAGATGATTTGAATTTGGCTGGTGGACAAATTCTACATCGTAGAAATGTATTCTTGAAACCTATGTGATCCTATTAACCAATGTCATCCCAATACATTTAAGTTTAAAAAATAAAAAAATGCCCCCCCTACTGGGAGGGGAGAAAGAACACACGTGTAATACCTTAATAAGGAAAAAAAATAATAATAAAAACATATATGTCAGATCTTGTCACTCCCCTGTGTAAAGCCCATCAATGGCTGTCCATTGCCCTTAAAGCTAACACGTGCAGTGTGAACGGAGCGCTGCAGGGTCTGCCCAGTCCCACCCTCTGCCTCTCTGCTCCCATCTCCCAGGGATCTCTGCTCACTTAGGTTTAAGCCACACAGTCTCACCAGGCTCCTTCTTACTCCCCGGGGCCTTGGCACACATTCTTTCCACTTCCTGGTATCTTGTCCTCGCCTCTCCCAAACTTTCCTTCTTCATGGGCTTCCTTTTTTGCTCATTCTCTTAGGTTTTAGTTAAACTGTTATTTTTTTTTTTTCAGTGAGGTCACCACCCCTGACATGGGAAACCTGTTAGCAGGCAGTTTTTTCCCTGGAGGACCAGATCTCAGATATTTGCACCTTTTTAGGCCAAAAAGTCTCTGTCACACCTATTCAGCTTTGCCCATGTAGAATGAAAGGAGCCACAGATAAAACAGTGAGCGTGGCTGTGTCCCAATAAAACTTTACGGAAACAGCCAGCACGCCAGGGCTAATGTTTGCCCAACTCGGCTCTCATCTAAAGAAGGCGTAATGTGTTGCTGTAAGTCCTCTCATAGCCCCTTGCTACCTTGTTAGTACTTATCACAGTCTGTGATTACCCATTTTGAAGGCAGGGATTCTGTTTGCTTGTCACTGTACACATGCCTAGCATTGTGCTGGGCACATAGTGGATACTCAATAAGTAACTGAATGACTCTTAACGTGCCCTGAATTAACCATTTTAGATGCTTAAAAAGTAAGGATTTAGGAAATAAAACATATATATAGTATGTGTGTGTAGCATATGTAATGCACTCTTTATGAGTTTTGTAAATATTTTTATTTTTCCATGATATACTCTCACTGCTTTGGAGTGGATATTCAGTCATCATTCCACCAGTTACTTACTGTTTACGACGCACAGGGAATTCTATGAGAAGCAGAGTCATGCTGGATCCTCCAAGAAGGCAGCAGTAATACTGTCTTCTTGTTTTGCATTTTTGGGTTCAGGGCTGAGCTGTATCGGGCCTCGGGAAAGTTTGAGCTACTTGATCGTATTCTGCCAAAATTGAGAGCGACTAACCACCGCGTGCTGCTTTTCTGCCAGATGACGTCGCTCATGACCATCATGGAGGATTACTTTGCTTTTCGGAACTTCCTTTACCTGCGCCTGGACGGTGAGTACCTGAGGAACTGGGCAGGGAAGCCCTGCTGAGAGAGTGCAGGAATGATGGCACTTAGATCCAATCTCCTCGGAAAAGGAGGGGCGAAACTGCTGGAGAATAAACCAGCAGGGTGGGTGCAGCTTTTCTAGATAGCAGTTTTTACACCCTCAAGCTTAAAATAAGCTGAAATCCCTCGCACAGCTGTTTATCCCACATGCAAGCCAATACAAATGAGCTAGAGTCATTTATGTAAGTTCCACCGTTAAAACTAAACTGAAATAAAATTTAAAAACTCTCCTTGCTCTTAGGATTATCTGTCTCCTTTGCACCATATGGAATATTTTGATTAGCTGTTAGCTTTTTGTGCTAGGGCATGTTTTAAGGGGATAAAGGCTGTCTCCTTTGTTCAGAAGTAGTTCATTTAAGATTATATTTCATGCCAAAACCGGTTTGGCTCAGTGGATAGAGCGTCGGTCTGCGGACTGGAAGGTCCCAGGTTCGATTCCGGTCAAGGGCATGTACATTGGTTGCGGGCACATCCCTGGTGTGGGGTGTACAAGAGGCAGCTGGTCGATGTCTCTCTTCCATCGATATTTCTAGCTCTCTAGCTCTCTCTTCTCCCTTCCTCTCTGTAAAAAATCAATAAAATATATTAAAGAAAATTATATTTCATTTTTATTAAAGCTTCTCTCTTTTTCTAAGCAGAATATATCTATATGTTACATTGAAAGATAGGTTTCCATTGTTTCCTGGATTCTGCAAACTATCCTATATAATAAAGAGCTAATATGCTAATTAGACCGGGCGGCAGAACAACCTTCCAGCAAGACCTTCTGGAATGAGCAGTGGGCAGTAGGCGGGGCCTCGGGGCCATGAGGCAGCACTTGCATGAATTTCATGCATCGGGCCTCTAGTGTAAAATATTTCCGATATTAAGAGAGAAATTTAAAGACCATGTCCTAAAAAATTAGTAAGAAAATACAAATGGGAGAAAGTATGAATTTAGGGATATATGATTTCTATATCAGCCCTAGTAGTTTAGAGATGAAACATTTTATATTTTTCATACGATAGCAGGGGATAAGACTTTCAAAGAATGGTAAGTGGGAATAGCTAATTTACAGCCAGGATGGTGTTGGGTCTTCCCCCTCCTCGCCTACAGAGGAATACAGTATTACTAATACCAATTTTCATCTAATGCAATATACAAGTTATTATTAAATGTTAATTTAGTTTATGTTTCATTGAAAGGTTCTGTTTTATTTTTATCCTCCCTTTGCCATGAATTAGACATAGCTAGGTATATACCAAACCTCAGACTTGCCATACTTGAGTTTTTATTTTATTTTTTCATTTTAAATATATTTTTATTTATTATTGAGAGGAAGGGATGGGGAGAGAGAGATAGAAACATCAGTGGTGAGAGAGAATCATTGATCAGCTGCCTCCTAAACATCCCACACTGAGGATCGAGCCCACAACCCAGGCATGTGCCCTGACCAGGAATTGAACCATAACCTCATAATCGAACCTGGTTCATAGGTCAGTGCTCAACCACTGAGCCACGCCAGCCGGGCCATACTTGGAGTTTTTTAAATGAATTCTCTTTATGATCTCCCTCTTAGGGTATTTTTAAAAAATGAATTATACTTCTGAAAGACTTGATTTTTAAAAATCTTTTTCTCTTTCCTCCAATGTCACTAACAACAGATGAATGGTTAAGTAAATGTTAATTTTGAATTCAGGACACAGTTACATCCTCCACAGTCTGTCTCTTTTGGCAACACTCTGACATGGCCTTGTCCTCTGCCCTGATCCCTTTCCTCCCTTTCTCCCTCCCCTCAGCTCTCCTTCACTGCTCTTCATCTGAACACAAACCTCCCTCCATTGTGCTCAGGGGAGGGGCAGCTCAGCCCCGTCCATCCCCCCACAGGTGTCCCAGATGACTTGTTTACTAGTCTGTGGCTTTCCATTTTGAATCTCAGCTCCCTGAGGATAGCAACCCTGGAAGGGTGAAGTCTGTGAAATTGGCCAGAAATGATTTTCTTGAAACAGATCTGTTTTCTGCCCAGTCTCAGAGAGTGTCTTTAATAGTCCGTTTTGTTATTGTCCTTATTGTTACTATGGTACTAACAACAGAGCTAACATGTATGGAATGCCTCCTCCTTGTGGGATGGCAGGCCAGGCGCTTGGAGTGCCCTATTCATGTCATTTTCTCTGTTGTCCCATTTCCTGAGGTATTAGTATGGTCCCCATTTAACGGATGAGAACGCAAAGGTTTTAGAGCAATGGGTTAACGGTGAAACCAGGTTTTGACTCCAAATGAGCTGCTTTCACAGATCCGGTGGGATATAGCCACTTCTGAAAACGTAGGCTGCTGCGCTCCCAACAGCATGTGAAAGGTGATTTTGAACTGAACCAAAAAAGTTTAATTGATTGATTGGTTGATTGATTGAAAATAACCAGAGAGATAAGATGAATGAGCCACTCACTGTTCCTGCTGCCAAACCCCTTACCATTCATTCGGTTGGAGGAGACAAGTAAGCAAGTTCCAGCATTAGAGATGGATTGAGAATGCCAGACAGATTCCCTCCCGCAGGAAAACAGCAGCCATGTGTGTGGGGTGGGGAATATGGTGGGGAGACAGTCATATACACAAGAATGAATTAGTGCACCACTTCCACCTACCACCCTCTTCACCCAATGGTTCCAAAGACGTCAGGTTTTCATTGCCATATTTGATATCTCTGATTTTTGACCTCAGGAAAGAAAAGAAAAAAGAAAAAAAAAAAACCCACTTGATGACAGCTAGGCAGATTTTTCTGCAAAGATTGTGGTTGTATGAATAGATTTTAGCTACTGTACCATTATAGTTTTTGTTTTCGCTGGAAATGATTTTTGAGTGAAAGCAAGAGGTGAAGTTACATCCTAGAAGGCAGAATTTTCCCAAAGCACTTGGCACTCAGTTAAAATTAGTAATCATGAAAGCCTGGCGGTGTGTTCCTCCCGGCAAATCCTGCCGTTCTCAACACAGTTGCCCTCGCTATTAATTGTATTCTTGGTGATGTGCTGCATCAAAGTGGAGAAGAGCCCGGGCCGGATGCACATTAAGTCCCGTGCCACCTACAAGGAGCCTTTATGTGCCCGTGGATAAATCCTGACAAGTTAGTAGTTTGAATCTCCCTGAGCAGTATCCCAAAGATTGCTGATGATCAGCAAAGATCTTGACTTGGGAAGCCTTTGGCTAATGGATATGGTAATGCTGCAAATTCTGAACATTGTCATAAAAAATGCCATAGCTTGGCATGAAAAGTGATTTCACCGTATTTTCCCTTGGCTTTCTAACTTGTCAAGTTCCCAGCTATTTATATAGTTTAAATACACATATCAGATATTTGGTCCGTCTGTTTTGCTTGAGGTATTTGTCATGGGGCCCGAACTCTTTTTATCACATAATTTTGATATTCCTTTTGTTTTTCAGTGCTTTATTTTTGCACTTAGGGTTATTTCATCCCAAGTAAGCATATCCACTAATTAATTTTTTTAAAAATCCTCACTGTAAGATATGTTTTCATTGATTTGAGAGAAAGAGGAAGGGAGAAAAAAAGAGAGAGAGAGAGAGAAAGAGAGAGAAAGAGAGAAACATTGATGTGAGAGAGAAACATTGATTGGTTCCCTCCTGTATACAGGCTCTCACCAGGGATAGAGCCCTCAACTTTTTGGTGTACAGGACCATGATCCAACCAATGTAGGCAGGACTCTACTAATTAATCTTAATGCACGTGGTCATTAACTGGTTATTTTTTAGAGGATGAGAACTGAATTTCTCCCCTGAGTACTACATAGATGCACAGTTTTTGTACTCTGCTATCAGAAAACAGTTCTCTCCTTTCCACATTTCAGAAACATATTTTTAGTTGCTGTGGCTGTTTATTTACCTAAAGCAGAGGATAAATGTGTGAACCTTTACTTCATGCGAGTAATTTTTCAAAAATTATTGTCGCTGGAAAGATGATGGTGGCGAAAAGATTTCATGGAAGAACCTTGAGCACCGTGAGCAAGCAGTTCCCCTTGACCTCAGCAAGCCCATCCTGAAAATAAAAGAAAAACGAGCCCCACGTGTTGGAAACCATGTTCAAAAGCACGTTTCGTGATTCTCCCCCAAATTCTAAATTCTTAGCAGTCCGTTGCTGCTGCATTTGACCAGGTCGCTAAACTTGAGATCTAATTTAAAACGGTAAAATGAGCCCTAAAGAATGTGGCTTCAGTAAACGAGAGCCCCCCACAGCCACATCTGCTGTGTGCAAGGGATCGACTCCTTTTCCCGCCTCAGGAGGGTACTTATTATTTTTATTAATATGAAAAACAGATCCCCCCATGTTTGGGAACTTGACCCTCATAGTAACCTGATTCCATTAGCTGTAGTCACTGAGCGGTTTTAATCCTCTGAAATAAATTGCTAGTACATTTTCATCCTTAAGAAAGGAACACCGTGCAGAAATAATGTTTGTATAGACGGCAGCTAGGGACTATCATGTAACGTGCACATATATATTTCCCAACAGCCTCGGGCCTTTTTTCAGAACTCTGCAGCTCCACGTTTCTGCTGAAATACGTTCAGGTAGAACATGTAGGTTTCTTTCCCTTCCACAGTGCAGTGCAGGCAGATACTTCACAAACCCCCGGCATGTGATGGAGGGGCTGTTTGAGGACACCAACATGGTGCCTCGGCCTGTGAGCGCCTTCGGCCTGTGGTTGGGACGCCCCGTTACTCACTCTTTTCTCAGACTCCGCCGGGTGAGCCATCGATCCCCGGGCGTGTCACGGGCTGCTCTGTTGGGTTGAGTTTGGCATCCATTGCACTCAACCGAGCAGAATGTCCACATGACAAGCAGACTGAGAGATTCCCTCCCTCCACCCCTTTTAATTATGGTGACTTCAAGCCTTGCTACAAGGATAAAAATACTCCCTCCATATTTTATGTGTTCACCAGCCAGATAGCGCTCAGTCCAAATGGTAGCAGTGTAGTAGCAATCCATTTTCCTTTTGTTCCCATTCTCTTGGCGAAAATAAGACCTCACACTAACGCCTGTGGGCAAAGTTGCTTTAAGCCACCATAATAACCACGTGAGGTTTTTGTTGTTGTTGTTGGTGTGTGTGTGTGTGTGTGTGTGTGTGTGTGTGTGTGTGTGTTTTAAAATATACTTGGTGGTGTTAAGCACAGAAACATATCCAGAAGATGTTTTCTTTGAGTTGTAAGCTAGCATAAGAATATTGTATAGTCTGTAAAGTTGCAGAGGTGTCCCGTCCAAAATGTTTCAACTCTTTCAGCATATTGGAACTATGGGTAATAGACAAAGTGTTCTTTCTTAATGTGAGAAAAGTCTCTTTCTATCACTCTACTATTTTTTTTTTCTTTCTTACTTGCAAAATTTTCAAAGTTCCTTTCAAACATGCAAAAACCTTGGGGGATTACCTCACCGATGCCGGGAGGAGTCTGAGCCCATTTCTCAAGGAGGCAGGCCTTTCTGTCTAGCTGCGTGCCGCGTTCAGACAGGAGTTAATTGGCAAATTTATTTTTCTTATCCCCTCAGGCACCACCAAGTCTGAAGATCGTGCTGCTCTGCTGAAGAAATTCAACGAGCCCGGGTCCCAGTATTTCATTTTCTTGCTGAGCACGAGAGCGGGAGGCCTGGGCTTAAACCTCCAGGCCGCCGACACCGTGGTCATCTTTGACAGCGACTGGAACCCTCATCAGGTCTGCATGTCCCTGACTTAGCTGCCCAGCCTTCCCCCTGGAGAGGAGCTAAACCACCTGCTGTTCCATCGCTCACGCTGATGGGGCAGAGCACAGTTCTGCACGGTGGGCCGTGTTTGCGGAGGGAAAACAGCCCAGCACGTTATGATGGCTGTTTTCTCCTCTCCCTTAGAGCATATTAAGATGTCTTATTTGTACCTTTGATAGAGCTCAACTTTGGGGTGGAAACACTTAGTTTCTGCTTCATGTCAATCTCACTTCCTGGGATTGCCACCGAGCGAACGACACTTGGTGGAGGGTAACTCAACAGTGTTCCAAAGTAAAAACAGCCCCCGGAGCAGCTCGCGTGCAGGACTGGCCGTCCTCTGTGCCAGCCTCTTCATACGCATGCTCCGTCCGGTTCGCACACAGCCACGTGACATGGTGACTTCCCTCTGTGCTTCCTCACAGTGGAGAAGAAGGGATTTCAGGAAGTATAGGTCAAACGATGCATATATTGTAATTAAGTTCATAGTCTGTGTTTTGCTTGAAATCATCATCGGAAAATATTCTGTGGAGCATCAACTCTGCAATTCTTTTAGCTGGTAGGTTTGGCTTCCTTAGCGTTACCCTTTGGTGATTAATAAATAACCCAACGGGTCCCTTGTGGCCCTGGGCTAGTCAATTATGCTGGGGGTTGTGCACCTGCCTGTAAGTTAACGGGGTAGATGCTGTTGGTCAGGCTGGATTCCCATTGGAACAAACGTTAACTCGGATTGGTGAAAAGGGACACTGAAGCTCTCAGGTGTGAATACGAATTCTACGTCTGCTTCACCGGGGTTCCTCTCTGCACCTCGGCTTCCTCAGTGGTAAATGTGCAGACTCATACTGTTTTACTGGGTCGCTGTGACCATCGGGTGGGAAAGGCTTGTGGTGGATGTTTTGGGCAGGAAGGTGGGGTTCAAGGGTGCGTTAGAATGAAGAGCGAGATTTTACAGAAGCATCTGTGCCTGCTTCCCGTTCCCTGCTTCCCCAGTTTCTTGAAGGTGCCTCCCACCCATACAGACTCAATAGGCTTTTCTGTACATTCAGACGCCCCCAGTGGAGTCTGGCATAGGATTTCTCACACCGCTGATGAGCACTGACTTACAGAATAAGCCAGTGGTTCCGAACCTCAGGGTGGCCACCAACCCGACCGTTGCATATGCCCGCCCGTCACTCTCCTTAGGTGACTGCAGTGGAATTGTTGCTAAATCTTTCTGACCTTGATGAAGAGGGTTCCAAATCTTCAGGAAGTATTATAATGTAGTTTTACATCCCACACTGCATTCCAGAGCATCTGTAGAATTCGTATTGGTGTGAGAGCTCTGCGGTTCTCCTGTGGATTCAGCATCTGTTCCACAAACACTTCCCGAGTGGCCGCTGTGGCCCAGGCGCGGAGCTAGCTGGTGTCTAGGGGAAGGATTCGTGATTCCTCTCTTCCCGGGGGCTCAGTGTGGTTGGATGCTTAGATTCCCCTCCTTGCTGCTTCCTGAGTCTTCATTGAGAAAAAGTAACTTGCCTGTAGGAAAGTGGAGAGTTCACTAGATTTTATCTTCTGAGGTAAACATTTCTATGGCATCTTAGTTGCCCACTTTGTGTTGGCACAGTGCTAATTCTAAGACCCAAAGGAAATAACTTTCTGGAAATGCTAACTTACCATGATAAAGGATGCTGGGACATATATGCCTCTCTCTCTCTCTCTCTCTCTCTCTCTCTCTCTCTCTCTCTCACACACACACACACACACACACACACACACTTTTATGACCAGTACCTAAAGTGGAACTCCAGAATCAAAGTAGATTACATGAACACCAAACAGTTGGCTTTTAACTGTATTTGAATTAAAACTGAGACAACAAAATACAGGGCCCCAAGTTTTGGGAGGTCTAATTTACCACGAGTTTATCACATTGGGCCACATATTGCCATAGGTGGATTCGTTTATACCTGGTTTGGTCAGGTTAGCTGACCAGATTTTTCTTATCTATCACTTATGATCACTAGTTTACTAGTTTGGACAAACTGTTGTGTTTTTTTATTTTATTTTTTGAAATCAGTGATGTTAGAGTGATATAGATAAGTGCTCATTTCTTTTATTTAAAGAATAAGAACTAATTAAGCAACAACTCTTAATTAGGCATTTACTTAGCATAACTTATTTCATGCAGTCCTCAGAATATCTTAGATGTAAGGAAACCATCAACATTAACTTGCCCAGAACCACAGCCAGGTTCACACCATGTCTGCCTGGGTCTGGGTTTGCATCCTGGCTTTTGGCTCTTTTCATGTTGCAGAGCTCCCACAATGAAAGTTGTGGAACTTTTCTCTCTCTCTCTCTCTCTCTCTCTCTCTCTCTCTCTCTCTCTCTCTCTCTCTCTCTCTTTTTTTTTTTTTTTTTTTTTTTTTTTTTTTTTTTTACCTTGTTGGCTTCATACATGGAAAAAAATTGCTAGAATTATTCTTTATGGTGGTGAATCACAATGAAGGCATATTGATGAAATAGGGGATTTATTTTATCTGGGTGGACAGAGTAAAGATAGAAGCCTTAAAGATGCTAATTGAAAGCCCTAGAAGCAAAGCTTGAACAGGGATGTGGAATTAGCCATAAGAGTCCCCAGGGTTACCAAGACTTTTTATCTCCAAACTGTGGATTGGAAACCTGGGTTTGTACTTTCATTTTTAATCCATGGGACTGAAGCTGTATTCCTACAAAATGGCCAACCACAGAGTCACCTCGGAGGCCTTGTTCTCGGGCTGTTTTTGGCTCCAGATATAATCACACCCAAATCACTGTGAGGAAATTTCAGACCACCAAGACCTCAGAAATATTGAATCATCCATTCAGTAATTACAACTCTTACTTCCTTGTCACAATACCCTCCCCACCCCCGGCATTCTGGCTCAGGGACTCACAGGGTAACGTTGCATAAACTTCTTCAGCCGAGAAATCTAATTTTTGCCACTTTCCAGACTGATAGAGGGCCTTACACAACAAAGAAGCACCACTCTACCAGAAACGGTGAGGCACTCAGCACTGCCACCATCACAGAAGAAAAACAAAACATTGCAATAAGTGCCCGACAGTCTAAGACCTTTTTACTCTGTCTGTGGATGTCCCACACCCTCTGCCTCCTCACCTGCCACTTTCTGCTGCCACCTGCATCCACTGTTCTGTGGTTTACCCACTTCTTCTAGGATAGGGGTCAAAACTGTGACCTACGGGCCGAGTCTGGCCCGCCACCTGTACTTGTAGGACCTGCAAACAAAGAACGATTTTCACACTTGAAAATATAAAGTAAAATTGGAGAGAGAAAAAACCCAACCAGCCTTTTGGTGAGAACAGTTGCCCAGTGTTTGCTCTGGGCCCAGACAGCTGGGGCTCCTGGACTCCTGGTGGAAGTGGTGTCTGACCCCGTTCTGGGAGACAGTCAAGAGGTTGATGTGACATGCCGAAGTCAGTTTGGCTCAGTGGATAGAGCATCTACCTGCGGACTGAAGGGTCCCAGGTTGGATTCTGGTCAAGGACATATACCTTGGTTGCAGGCACATCCCCAGTGGGGGGTGTGTGCAGGAGGCAGCTGGTCAATGTTTCTCTCTCATTGATGTTTCTAGCTCTCTATCCCTCTCCCTTCCTCTCTGTAAAAAAAAATCAATAGTGTGTATATATATATATATATATATATATATATATACACACACTATTGGTTTTTTTACATATATATATATATGTATTTTAAAAGAGGTTGATGAGCCGAGACCGGTTTGGCCCAATGGATAGAGCGTCGGCTTGGGGACTGAAGGGACCTGGGTTCGATTCCGGTCAAGGGCATGTACCTTGGTTGCGGGCATATCCCCAGTGGGGGGTGTGCAAGAGGCAGCTGATCGATGACTCTCTCTCATCGATGTTTCTAGCTCTCTATCTCTCTCCCTTCCTCCCTGTACAAAAATCAATAAAATATATATTTTAAAAAAAAAGATTTTAAAAGAGGTTGATGACATAAAACCTGCCACATTGGCTCCTGCTTAGCGACGTGTTAGAGAGACGATTGAACTAAAGGCTTGAAAATGAGGTTTAGGGATTTCCCCCCTCCCCCCTCTGGATTTTAATTATCCACCTCACTTTCTCCTCTTTGGAAAATAATGGAGATTGGATGAGTCCCAGCTGCGTTCATGGTTCAGCTGTCCAATATTTATATTAAATTTCTCAAATATTCTGAGGGAAAAACTTTTGCCTGATAAGTCATTTGACTGTACAGGTCCCAGCAGCAAAGCCAGAGCTCCTGGGCAGACCCCGGCCTGCTGCCTCCCTGGGCCGCCCGCCCTGGTGACAGGAAACCTGTCTGGGTGAGAGGATGGGCTTACAGCTGTGGAGCACCAGCTGTGCCCAGTCAGTGCCAGGGACGCAGGATACAGGGATCAGACCTTCGCCTTAAAAATGTATACAGGTCTAATGGGGGGCACCATGAAACAACTAATTAGCATTTCCCCAGAGGACACCCCCTGGACCAGAAGGAATGAAACTGATAAACCAAGTTTTTAAATTTGCCTTAAAACTAGGTAACTGCTCCATAGTGTTATGAAGGATTTTATTTAAAGATTTCATTAAAATCTTTTTCTTTTCTTTTAAAAATATTTTTATTGATTTTAGAGAGGGAGGTAGAGAGAGAGAAAGAAACATCAATGATGAGAATCATTGATCGGCTGCCACTCTGGGAATCTCGCCTCAACCTGGCATGTGCCCTGACTGGGAATCGAACGGTGACCTCCTGGTTCATAGGTTGATATTGAACCACTGAGCCATGCCGGCTGGGCAAAACCCTTTTCTTATTAGAAGACTAATAAATGTTTAAAGCAGGGGGGAAAAAACAAAAACAAAAAAACAGGAAAATAAAATGAAGAACATTTAGTAATACCTATAATTTTATTACCTGGAGATATAAACAATAATTGGCTTGGTGGTGTTTGTCCTTCCTGCCTTTTCTTGGTATAAATACCCACATATAAGATCACCATACACATACTCATATCTCACTTGTTTTCATATATACATTTTCACTTATAGCTTTATGTCATTAAATCTTCTACAATATAGTTTTTATGATACTATTTTGGTATATGCATATAGTTGAAGGCTAATTTTATTTAATATTTTATTATTTAATGTTTCCTTAATTCTGCTTTAAAAAAAGAAAAAAAGACACTATTAGTAATATATAATGCTGAGAGGTCCATCCTTCTTTGTATATCTTTGTTCCCCATCCATGATTATTTTTTTAGGACAGATTTTCAGAAGTGAAATTTCTGGGTCAGGGGCCATACCCAGTTTTAGCACTTTTGATACATAGTGCCAAATATCTATCCCCAAAAAGTTTTTTTTAAAAAAAATAGTACCAGTACACTAGTCTACTAGGAATCCTTTTCACTCCCCAAACTAAATTTTGAGTCTTTAACAGAATTAGATCCCAGGAATTTGCTACATGAGCAATCACTGTATATCTAATGTATGTATGTATGTATGTATGTATGTATATGTATGTATAACTCAGTGATTTAAAAAAAATATATATTTTTTATTGGTATCAGAGAGGAAGGGAGAAGGAGAGATAGAAGCATAAATGATGAGAAACCATCATTGATCGGCTGCCTCTTGCATGCCTCCTACTGGGGATGGAGCCAGGCATGTGCCCTGACAGGGATTCCATCCAGTTCATAGGCCGAAACTCAGTCACTGAGCCATGCCAGCTGGGCTCAGTGACGTTTTAACACTTTATGGGTGATTCTTGCAACTTAAAGTTAGTTGTAGGTAACATCAGATTTACTGGTTTTTGGGTTATTTTTTATTGTAGTTAGGGATTAATATTGATGGTGAACCTGGGGACAGATAAAAACAACCTCAGACCTGGATTTCAAAGCCTGAGGTTGGCTCGGCTAATTTCAACCCAGGTTCCCTCAACTGGGAACGAGGGCCTTGAATTGTTCCAAAGAAGAGAGCTTATATATTTTAAAAAGGAAAGCAACATCTTCCATCAGTGAAGGTGGAGTCAAGTGAGCCTCCCACAATCCCCTCCCAGTAGGTGACTAGTTTGCTGGCTCATCAAGGCACCTGGCCCTCACGGCGCCCTGTTCTCGCCCGCAGGACCTGCAAGCCCAGGACCGGGCCCACCGCATCGGCCAGCAGAACGAGGTGCGGGTGCTGCGGCTCTGCACGGTGAACAGCGTGGAGGAAAAGATCCTGGCCGCCGCCAAGTACAAGCTCAACGTGGATCAGAAGGTGATCCAGGCGGGCATGTTCGACCAGAAGTCTTCGAGCCACGAGCGGAGGGCGTTCCTGCAGGCCATCCTGGAGCACGAGGAGGAGAATGAGGTATGAGAGAGGCACCTGCCTGAAATCTATCAGCGGCCTTTGGTCTCCGGCCATTAGGAGCAGCCTCTGTGTTCCTTAAAGAACGTCCTGGGCCCGAGTTAAAGAAAAAAGAATAAATTTGCTGCCATCTTCCATCCCCAGCACAGAAAGCCTGTGGGGGTTTTCCAAGAGTGTCTTCAAAGCTGTTGCCATGGGCACCTCAAGGCTTGGGCCGCCCCCGCGATGCTTCCCTGGGGCCTCCTGGAGGCGCAGGCAGCCTGCCTATGGTGCTGTCAGAGCTGCTGTCTGCAGGGGGGTGAGGAGAGTGCAGAGGCCCCTGTCAGGGTCAGACCCCTGATGAGACGGGACGGCCCTGGGGGGGGGGGGGGAGACCCTCCTTGCCTTTCCCTCCGCCATCCCGCAGAGCCCTCTGTCTCCCACGGGAGATCACAGCACTCCCGTCCTTTGTAGGACAAGCCTCCCCGGCCTTGGGAAGAGAGGACCTGCCCTGGTTTAGAGAGAAGGCAGGGTCGCCTGGAGCTTGGCGGGGAGATGTTGATCTCTCCCAGCCCTGAGGGGGGCGCAGGGCGGAGCCCGGAGTGGACATCCAAGCATCTCACTTCTCTGAGCCGCCTGCAGGGGCTCCAGACACCTGCCAGGCCACCAGCGTGCCGGACACGTTACGGTTTTCTGGGTGGCCTGTGTCGGATGTGAAGGCGTTCAGGGACACGGAGACGGCAGTCAAAGGCTCTGGTCCTGAGTGTCTGGGGCCGCGTGGGCTGCCCTCTCTGCCAGGCTATCCATTACTAGGACACATGGACCCCAGGAAGAGTGACTGCCCGCTTCCCATTGGGTTTGTTCTCCCGGAGGGTCCGGCCACCGCGGGCAGGCTTCCCGCCGGCTGACAAGGGAAGCTTTTCATCGGGGCGCGGGGACGTGCAGGCCCCCCAGGCATGGGCCACGAAAGGCCAGCGTGGTTCCGGGAAGGGTGAGCAGAGCAGGACACCCCCTCTCTTGTGGCTTTCTTTCCTCTCCAGAAGTTCCGTGCACGGACTCTGTCCTGAGTCCCAGCCCACCTCCAGCTCTGCTGCGTCTCTGTCACATGAAGTGGGATATTTGGGCACACTGACCGTAGTCAATCTAAAGATAAACTAGAATAGACCATTTTTCAAAACATCCCTTTTTCACTTGCGTTCATTTTATGTTATCTCAGGAGCCCACAGTCACCTCATTTAAGCTGTCGTACACTCACACTCTTTCTAGACCAAAATGCCTCTTTTTAAGAAATTGGATGCTCAGAATTCTGGGTTGTCCTCTTTCTCCCCTCTGTCGCTACTGCCCATTCGGTGTTTTGGTTTTTTTAAAATATACTTTATTGATTTTTTACAGAGAGGAGGAGAAAGGGATAGAGACCTAGAAACGTCGATGAGAGAGAAACATCAACCAGCTGCCTCTTGCACACCCCCTACGGGAGGTGCCCGCAACCAATGTACATGCCATTGACCCGAATCGAACCTGGGATCTTTCAGACCGCAGACAGACGCTCTACCATTGAGCCAAACCGGTTTCAGCCCATTTGGTTTTTAACAAGTTCACTCAGCATGTGATAACAATAATTTGCAAGGTCACATTCCATAGGATATGCCCAACTTTTAAAATCCTTGTTTTAAGTGCAGCCAATCATAAGGTAGCATTTCTGAAAGCTCGAGAACTTCCGGTTTCTGAGGAGTTTGCAGAGATCATGTTCCTTCGTTTAACATAATATAACGTGAAAATGTTATCCCTTAAATTGCCTTTTCTACTTCATTTCAATTGCTTTAATTAAGTATACTGTTATAGGGGCTTTGTTATTCAGTTGTCTTATTCACACGTCTCACCATTAGCATAATAATGCCAACTGGTATACACTGACTAAACATACCTTAAAGGCTGGATATTTGCATAGTTATGATTTTTATGGTCTTGCTCTGTGCCTAGTCTCAAAAGTTTCCCATACTCGTGTTTTTTGTAAGGCTTTGAAAATGAGCATTTAAATTTGCGGTTAAGGCTAATAGCGTTAAAAGAATTAATGTTAGGCACTTTTTTCTTGTGGCTTTCCTTATGTAAATATATGGTGTAAATGCCACACCCATTTTGCAAATGAGGTCACTGAGGCAGGGAGACATTAAGTAATTTGTTTTAAAAGTAAGGGAATCAAGGTTCACGCCCAAGAGACTTGCCCTCCCTAAATAGACTTTGCTCTGGGAAGAGGGTTTGAACAGCTTGGAAAACACTGATGGCCAGGACTGCACCCCGTGGGCCTTCTCTTTCTTCTCCGGCCTGAGGAACGGGGCCCCTGTGGCCTGGAGGACAGGTTCTCCTCACCCGTTTGTGCCTCCCTCTCAGTCACCGCCCTCCCTCCCTCCGCCTGTGAAATCATTCTCTGTCTCACCCCCCAGGAAGAAGACGAAGTCCCGGACGACGAGACTCTGAACCAAATGATCGCTCGGCGAGAAGAAGAATTTGATCTTTTCATGGTAATATTATAGAAAATCCCGGAAACCGCCGCCGCACCCCCCCCCGCCCCCTTTGCTATGAGCGCCAGGTGCCCGGGGCCTGCGTGCCTGGCGGCGTTGCATTTCTGAAGCCTGTGCCCCTCCTTCAGGTCACAGGCTGCTGGCGGGCTGGGATCAGCCCGCCGGCCGTGTTTTGTTTGGCCCACGCAGCGTTTTGTAAAATGTTGAACTTGTTGCCAACATAAAAAAAGAATCCCAATTTCTGGCTTCTCTTAAAAGAGAGAGAGAGAGAGAGAGAGAGAGAGAGAGAGAGAGAGAGAGAGAGAGAGAGAGGGCAATACCAGGCCCGCATCTCCATAGAAACAGTGGGCTGGAAGCTGACCACAGACCCTCATACCCAGGTCATTTCTAATGGGGGCTGGGAGGGGGGTGAGGGCGGGCGGAGAGCATCCTTCCGGAAACCTGCCCTCCTCCCAGGACAGGGTTCACAGCTCTCCCCTAGCTGTCTCCTTACAGAATCAAAACAAGCCTGCCCCCTGTGGGGGGTGGGAGGGCAGCAACTAGAAAACAAGGTGGAGCCTCTTGCTGTTGAGAGCAAATGGGACCCTCCCCGTGGGCATCAAGGTGTAGCCTTCACTTAAAGACCAAAACTGGCTGGATTTTACTGGCACAAAGCAGATGGATGTAAAGAACCTTGACATTTGAGGATTTAACGGCCGTGGCTTCGACCTTGATGTTTCATCTAATTCTGCCGACACCTGAGTTTGATTTATGAGTGTGGCCCGCTGCAAGATCAGTGTGTGGGCCGAAACCGGTTTGGCTCAGTGGATAGAGCATCGGCCTGCGGACTGAAAGGTCCCAGGTTCAATTCCGGTCAAGGGCATGTACCTTGGTTGCGGGCACATCCCCAGTAGGGAGTGTGCGAGAGGCAGCTGATTAAAATATATTTAAAAAAAAAAAAACAAGATTTTTTTTTAAAAAAAAAAGATCAATGGGTGGGAGCAAGTCCCTTGGCCATGAGAAGGGAAGCTCTCAGGAGTAAGCTTTTATTACCTTCTAAGGCATTTGCTATAGCAATCTTATTTACCGTACCTGTTTATCCTCAATGCTCAAGACATCAGGTAGTTACTCGATAAATATTTATCGAGTGAGTGGCGGCATTTGCAGCACAGCAGGCCTTGTCAGGACATCAGTTGAGATATACAAAGGATATACAAACTTGCGAGGCTCCCCCTCCAGCACCTTCCAAACTTATAACATGTAGCCTGACTGTGGAGTGAGTGAATCCATCTCAACTCTAACCCTGGCTTTTGAATGCAGCAGAGCCCCCAAAGCAGAAGTCCCGTGGGTCTCAGACAGGTAACTTGCATAAGCGAAACAAGTGGACAGGGACCGGTGGGTGGTGTGAACCGGAGCTGCATTGTCTAAGGCACATGTGTCAAACACAAGGCCCGCGGGCCAAATCCGTCCCGCCAGGCCTTGCAATGTGGCCCGCACCGCGCTGTCATCACTGCACTCCGCTGCGTTTCCATCACAATGACAGTTTATGACTGTTCAGTAAACCATTCGGCCCGCGATTTAGGCTGGATTTTAGATTTTGGCCCCTTCTCTGATTGAGTTCGACACCCCTAGTCTAAGGGCACAGAGCTGCAAGCCCCACGAAGCTAGGCATTCCAGATTTTCAAGAGGCGCTGGAAATCTGGGCTTTTACATGTCATCTCTGGATTTCAAAATGTTTGCAGCTAAATTCAGTTTTTTATTATTACATAACACTGCAGGCCAAACAAAACACGACTGTTGGCCAAATATGACCCACAGGGTTTGCAATCTCCGCCTTGTTAGCCTAGCCCTAGACGGTCTGAGCAGCGGACTCCAGCTGTGTGGAGGCTGAGGTTATTTCTGAGATCTGGTGTTTTCTGTCTAGGGAACAATGATTATGTCCACACATAATGATTCAGGATGAAAGACATTCCATTCTTTCTCAGGAAACGTTTAGGTAGCCATGGGAATAGCTCTGAACCTGGGATGTGCACATTTCCCCCCTTCTACATGAACCCCCTACCCAGGTCTGGCCATTTTGGAGAGAACTGACACACACACAAAAAGAGACATTAACAAGCATGGTCTACATGGGATGCTAGTAAAACCTAAATGTCTTAAACTAGTATTGTTGGTCACCACCCTTACAGAGTGTAGCCTCTATTTAGGTAGAGGAGCTAGCGATACACACAGGAAATAGACATCTTTCCTCCCCCAGAGGGACTTATTGAAATGTAGATTCCTGGGAGCCTGCAGGTGGGAAGCCCTTTGCTTCCCTGGCTCCTCACTGGTGGGTAGGCATTCAGCTCTGCTCTAGCCTCACCTGCTTCGGAGACCCTGAAATGGTAAGCTGCCTGCCTTTGTACGAATCAGGTTGGGCCCCAAAATAAGGAGCAAAGAGTACTTCTTTTTTCTTACTTTTGGGCTGGGTATTTGTAGAATTTGTATTTACATTTGGGAGTGGGGACGTTGGGAACTGGAATGTCTAGCCAAGGCTTTTCATTTGGAACTATGTTACCGTGCAAAAACAGGCCTGGAACCGGTGAAGGTGGTTAAGGAACACTTTTTTTGTAGGTACTTTGATTTTGTGAATGTTCTCCTCGTTTCTTAAAAGGTTGATTTCTCATTTTTGGATTATATTTTTGAGTTCGTTTTTTGTTTTTTGTCGTTTTCATTGAATTTATTGGGATGACATTGGTGAAAACATTATATAAGTTTCAGGTGTACTTTATGATACAATATCTGTATAGTCCATTAAGTGTGTTTCAATCTTATATTCAGCTGGCTGACTTTCTAACTCACCGTTCATGAACACCTCCACCAGGGGGCAGGAAATCAAATTTGAATCCTTGCCAGCTACTCTGATTAAAAAGTTTAGTGAGAAACAATGGAATGTGAGCTAGATTTGGATTTCAGTATTTAAACTCTTTATTCGTTATTATAAAAGAGTCAGTTCTCTGTAAAATGAACCCAAACTTTTTAAAACAACAGGCACTGTAGTTAAATAACAAATTAAGCAGATAGTCTCTTTAAAAATAAAACATTTCTCTTGAACATTTTTCTTCTAAAAATGTGACCTGAAGAAAGTTATCTCTCATACTGACTACCTGTGAATTTTACCTAAAAAGATTTTGACTGGTCAAGGTACATATCTGAAACATTTTGCTAATATTAAACACTAAGCGTTTAGTTGCTATGTTCCCTACAAAGGCAAGAAGTACTTTTAAAAATACCTGTTAGCACAAGGTTTATTAGCGGGCTTTAAGACAAATATAAGCAGGTAATATCTGAACAATAAATAAGACTTATTTAAATATCAATTTTGGATTGTGTACCGGAATTCTGCAAGTAGAAACCTCTGGGAAGAGATGCAGTCATCAGAACTTTTAGCTGATTAAAAATCGCATCAACCCTTCCTAAAAGGGAAAAAAAGCAAGCGTAGTTTGTTTTCTTTCGTATCAGCAAAGACTATTTTACCCATGTGGACAGTGTGTGGCAGGTCATTTTACAGATCTTGGTATAAGTAACAGTAGTAGCCTAACCAAAAATTGAAGTGACTATTTTGTCATCTCATTGCAGCACAGTGGTCGGCAAACTCATTAGTCAACAGAGCCAAATATCAACAGTACAACGATTGAAATTTCTTTTGAGAGCCAAATTTTTTAAACTTAAACTTCATCTAACGCCATTTCTTCAAAATAGACTCATCCAGGCCGTGGTATTTTGTGGAAGAGCCAAAGAGCCGCAGTTTGCCAACTGCTGTCGTAGCACATTACCAAAAAAAAAAAAAAAAAAAGTTTTCCTTCTCAGCTATCTAACAACTATTAAAACTACCTAAAGAGGCTCCTTGATGGGTAGATTGAGTGTTAACAAGGCATCCTCTGTGTGCTGATAACAGATTGGTGGCTCCCTTTCTGAGAGTAAAGCAGCAGAAGGTAGGGTGTCGAACAGCCTCTCCAGCTAACTCTAGCCCATGGCAATGGCATAAATGGCATGGCCACATTTTATCCCCCAGTGAGCCTCTGCCGTGCTCCAAGCCCACCCATTTGGGAATATAGTGATTTCCAAATATGTTTAAGCATTGTCTAAGGGGCTTTGAACTTTAATTTTTAAATAGATTCTAGAGTTCAGTTTTGGATTTGAATAGAAATTTCACTTACATTCTGTTATCAGTTTTAGCTCTTACAGAAAAATTGTATTGAACCAAAGAAAAAAAGAGGGAAAAGATAAACCATTTAATGGTTAATGGTCTATTCAGTTGTAGAAATGGCACATCAGTTGGTGATATATATATATATATATATATATATATATATATATATGTGTGTGTGTGTGTGTGTGTGTGTGTGTGTGTGTGTGTATATATATATATATATATATATATACACACACACACATATATGGTATGTTGCAATTCACTGGAGATTTTGTTTGCTTTCTTTAGCTATCAAATTATAGGTTAAAATCATATTTGTAGCACTTTATAAGTGCACAGAGCATGGGAAAATAGGCATTTTTGAAGGTTATAAAAGAATACAAAAGAGAGCCATTTCCGTAATAACTTGACCAGTGGAGATGAGATTATATCTGAGGTCTGATTCTCATGGTATAATATTTTCGTAAGAGTTAAACTTTATAAAGCTAAAGAATTGAGGGACATTCCTCACAGAGCCCATGACATACTGAAAACTTAATACACTCATGGCCGACTGACTGATCAAACCATTTATGTGCCCTCATGTCCAAGTCCAGCCGAAGGTAGTGGCCATCTGTCATTTCCCAGTTGTTCAATCAAAAGCCTGAGCCCTATAGATTAGGATTTTTAAAAAAATACTTGAAGGATACTTTTATGCCAGGGCAGCAATGGATTGTATCAGCAGGGCTCATATTTATTAAATACATCCCAGTTTGAATCTTCTCACTATTACAAGGGGAAGCTTTGCACACATATAGACTAAGAAAAGGAATTTGTAAAGATTTTTTTAAAAAATATTTTTTAAACATATTTTATTAATCTTTTTTTTAACAAGAGGAAGGGAGAGGGATAGAGAGCTAGAAACATAGATCAGCTGCCTCCTGCACACCCCCTACTGGGGATGTGCCTGCAACCAATGTACATGCCCTTGACCAGAATCGAACCTGTGACCTTTCAGTCCGCAGGCCAATGCTCTATCCACTGAGCCAAACCGGTTAGGGCCATGGGTACGAAGGAAGGGAAGAGACTACTAGAGCCTCCAGAAGAGAGAGTCCCCATGGGCAGGACAAGCTGAGAGGGAGGCGATCGGTGAGGTCCGCTGTGCTGTCCGGTCCATGCGGCACCGGGCGCCTCCCTCACGGATGGACCTTCTGTTCTCGCCCTCAGCGCATGGACATGGACCGGCGCAGGGAGGATGCCCGCAACCCGAAGCGCAAGCCCCGCCTCATGGAGGAGGACGAGCTGCCCTCCTGGATCATTAAGGACGACGCGGAAGTGGAGCGGCTCACCTGTGAGGAGGAGGAGGAGAAGATATTTGGGAGGGGCTCCCGCCAGCGCCGGGACGTGGACTACAGCGACGCCCTCACGGAGAAGCAGTGGCTGCGGGTAGGTGTGACTGGCTTACCTGGCCTTGCCCCGTGTGGCTCCTGCTGGCTGGCCGCAGCCAGGGGCCCAGTCCCCAGTAAAAGGGGGGTAGATGGCTGCTGAGCTTAGAGAAAGTCATTCTGCTGTCGCCTTGGAATCGTTCTTCATTCCGTGAAATATAGTGGAGAATTTTTTTTTTTTTCTTTTTGGCTAGCTGAGCTGGCCATTGGAAGCAAAGGATTATTAGAGCTATGAGACCCACTAATGTTTTACGACCAATTGCCTGGTCATGCCTCACTCTCTCCGAGTCAGAAGGAAAATGTGGAAAAGGGCCTTCAGGGTCTTTTTCATCGGTCAGACCAGCTCACGTCATGGTCTTGAATCAGAGTTTTACTTTTCTGAGGCCTGTAAAGGTGGTTCAGGGGCAGGCCTCTGCTAACTGCATCCTTACTTCAGTAGAGCCAGAAGGTGCCTTTGTATTCTCTCGGTTTTGCAGACAAAGCAGTTGAAACCCAGAGAGGTTAAGTGACTAAGCAGGGTCACACAGCTGGCTAGAAATAACCAGATCCACGCCTTCACTTGAAGTAGGATCTGCTCTGTCCATGGTAAACACAGTCCGGGGCCTGGGACTTGGGTCACTTATGCTTAGAAGTGTTGTTCTTTAGTTCAGGGTGATTCCCCCCCCACCCCCCAGGTTTGGCGAATGTTGATTTCTTACTCTGAGGAATGAAATTTCAGAAGGTTCGTTGGGGAGCACAAAAGTATAAAAACGCTCCCAGGAGCCAGGAGTGTGAGTGACAAGGCCAGTGTGAATCTTCCGGGGAAGGTTTGGCCCTCCTTCCCCTTGGTGGGAGCAGACTGAGTACCTAGACAGACAGACAGACAGCAGTCTGGGACATGCATTCCAGTCAGGGCCAGTAAATGCAGGCTGGAAATAGTAACACAGTTGGGTAAAAACCAAACAAAATAGAGGCTGTTATGAGTTGTTCATTTTATCAGAAGGGAATGGCATTCCCAAGGCTTGTAGAACAGAGATTTTAGGACCCAGGCCGTAAGTAGGTTGGTGGGTTGAAAAAGGCCAGGGAAGTATTTCGAGATTGGATGTCAGCAGCAGGCAGGTCTTGGCGCCATTCCAGATGTGACTTACTTGGCATGTTGTATGATGAGAGAGACCTGATCTAATCTTCAAAAAGATGGAAGTCTGTGTATTCAGGAAAGAGAGACTAGGAAAGCATCGCTCATGTTTACGGTTGAACAATGGCTGTGAAATGTAACTTGTGTGTGATTGTTTTATGGTCGTATCCAAACATCCAGGCGGCCCCAGAATACGGCTTTATGGATTTATTTTGTTTCACTTTTGTGGGGTTATCAGCTGTATAACAAAGATTCATTCTATAATGTGAAAAGATCTGTGTTTGTTTAATAATCATTTCTGAGTTCAGGAAAATGGATTCCCTTTCTCTTTTATTTGAGCAATGAATTAAGTACCTGGAGTACTATTACAGGAGATGAGATATTAATATAGGCCGACATTTTAGACAAGATCGGGCACATTCAGGGTGGTATGGCCATAGACAAGGCCGACATTTTAAAGTCACTCTTTTATATGTGTATGATCTTCAGATATTACAAGGAAAATAACCTTATTTATTGGGTAAGAATATAGCTGAACTTTTTTTTATTTTTTTAAGTAATCACTGGGAAAGGCTTTTTTTTAAAATATATTTTATTGATTTTTGTACAGAGAGGAAGGGAGAGAGATAGAGAGTTAGAAACATCGATGAGAGAGTCATTGATCAGCTGCCTCTTGCACACCCCCTACTGGGGATATGCCCGCAACCAAGGTACATGCCCTTGACCGGAATCGAACCCGGGACCCTTCAGTCCCCAAGCCGACGCTCTATCCATTGAGCCAAACCAGTCTCAGCTGGGAAAGGCTCTTAAGAAAAATAACTATGAATCTCAGATAATGTATAGGTTTATAATATCTCATTTTTTCTCTTTTTCATTCAGTTTCTATCATGAATGATTATCACAGTGTTTAGCCCCTAGTAAAGACTCAATGATTGTTTGTGAAATGAAATTATATCCTTGTAAGAGGAAAGTGGAAACTCACTAATTTACCAGTGATGTTAGGTTGCCTTTCTCTTTCTGGTGTATCTTGTGGACTTCCTTTTATCGGTAACATACCCATCTAGAAATGGAAAACTAGTTTGTTTTACAAAACTACACTGTGAAATGGATGTTCATCATTTTCAACCTAAGGTGCATTCTGAGATACCAAGTCACCCAAGAAGGTCAAAACTGTCCTTAACCTGTTAACTGAGCGGGACCTATAAATACGTCAAATGTAAACAATATCGGGAAGGGGTAGGACGTATGAATACGTCCTTGAAATATATGTTGCGCCTCGAGAGGGACGGTATATATATTTTGTAATCTTTTTTTTTTTTTAATATTTTATTGATTTTTTACAGAGAGGAAGGAAAGGGGAGGGATAGAGAGTTAGAAATATCGATGAGATGAGAGAGAAACATCGATCAGCTGCCTCTTGCACACCCCCTACCAGGGATGTGCCCGCAACCAAGGTACATGCCCTTGACCAGAATCGAACCCGGGACCTTTCAGTCGCAGGCCGACGCTCTATCCACTGAGCCAAACCGGTTTCGGCTATTTTTTGTAATCTTTATCATTGTTTGTAAAATTTATAATTTTTTAATTTGACGTGTCCATTTTATTTTGTCGGTATTCTTTTCTATTTTTTTTTGTAAATTTATATTTTCCTTTGTGCTTTATATATATAAATAAATAAATGAATATATATATATATATATTTCATTTATTTTCATTAAGTATAAATTAAAAAAAATAATATGAAATTACATCCTCCAGGCGTGACATACTGACACGTCCTAGTGAAAGAGTACGCGCCCGTTACAGGTTGCATCATTAAAAAGGGAACTCCCCAGTTAACAGGTTAATATAGCTCTATTGTAATAATTTCTTTTGAAATCCAGGCTTTCTTGAACCAGATGTCCATTTTCGGTATGAGCTGGTAACCTGCTGTTAACCAGGAACCAATGCAGAATGTCCTGTGGCCTCAGCACTCAAAATAGGAGCTTACTGCCATTTGTTTTCTTCTTCACCGGTAGCCATCTTGCGTAGTATCAGCCTACTAAGCTTTACTGGTCCTACAGTGATATTCAAGGCGTTCTCAGGGGCCTGCATGTGAAGAGCTGCTCTCCATTGGCTTAAGATTGAGCATGTTGAGGAAACCCAGCCAACACAGCCTCGAAAGGGAACTTGGCAAGGACACCATGGTGTAAGAAATGCTGTAGCAGGGCTACAATGATTCCTCTTTTTCCTGGCAGTGTTCTCCAAAGCCTGCTTGGCAGAGGCGTCAGCCGAACATAGACTCCCAGAGCTGGAAGGCAGCTGAATGGAGCAGCTCTCCATCCTGTGCTTAAATCCCAGTGTCTGCGGAGCCCGAGCCAAGAGGCTGGCCATCCCTACAGGAAACACTCCCCTTCTTGTCTGCGGAGCCCCTCTCCATCCTCTTCCCTCTGCATGAGCCCTCTCTCCCTGTAGCTGCTCCTCGCTGTCTTGGATTCCAGTCCCTGGAGTGAACAGAACAATGTATTTTTCTCTTTTTAGCATCACGTCCCACTGGACAAAAATGTTTGAAGACGCATGTCTAGTCTAGAATGAACTTCCTGACCTCCTCTTTCTTCTGAACTTAGCTAATCCTTCAAGGCCCAGCTCACTTGCCAGCACTGCTGAGATGCTTCCACACGCATCACGCTTTCCGCTGTATTCTCATACGGCTTTGCTTGTCCTGTCACAGCTCAAACCCGGATTCCTAGTTTGCTTGTTAGTTGCCGACGTGCCTGGTTCTCTGACTGGTGGATGAGCTGCATCTTGTTAGAACTTAGCCCCATGTGCAAAGAGTAAGCGCCCATTGATAGCCCAGTTGCAGTCGCACTGATTGATGATTGATGTGTAAGAGGATAATCTTCACTGCGGCAACAGATGACCCTAAGCATGCCCTATGCATGGGCCTATTAAAAAAAAAAAAAGTCAGTGGAATTTTTATTTCTCACATGGAAGTCAGTCCACGGTCGGCATTCCTGGTTGGTGGGGACAGCTGTCCGCCATGTGGCCTTTCAGGGATCCTGCTGACAGAGCCTCTGCCAGCTTAGACATCCCGCCCCAGCGACCTGGAGCCGGGAAGGCCCCATGGCGTGGTGGGTGTGGGCTTCTCATGGGGTGGGTCTGGTCTGGAGGCTCCATGTCATCTCTGCTCACATTCCCTTGGCTAGGACTCAGTCCTGCGGCCACCCTCGCTGCAAAGGAGCCTGGGAACTGCGGGCTGGCTGTGTTAGAGGATGGAGTCGGGGGCCCTCTTCCGCGCTGTGATGCTGGGGGTTGTTAACATAAGAAACATTCAAGCCTGTAAAGAATTGTTGAGTTTATTTGAGCCAAACTGTCCATGGTTTCAGGGAAGCAGAATCTCCACATATTGTGATACTGATCGTGAGAATGGCAGTTTTTCAGTTTGTTTTGTAAATTACAATCAAAAGAGGAGATGTAAGTGGGTTACATGAAATCCATTGGTGATAGATTAGGGAGGTGGAGGAAAGCAATGGAAGGGGGGAAGGCCTCTGGGATTGCATAAAAAGTAAAATGATAAGACACTTGCTTCCTATACATACGTGTATACAGGACAGTTAACAGTCAACAATAAGATTAAAGTAACAATGAAGAAATTTTTGGTCTCTCCCTGGTGCATGGATTGTGCTCTGAGGGAAGCAAGTGGCACAATCAGAAAAGGGAAGTTACAAGTTAACCCTGACATTCCAAATGCATGTTGTCATAGATGAAAGAGGACAACAGGCTCAGTTAAGATCAATGTTGATCTTTGTCAGGGAAGACAAAGCCTAGGACTGAGCAGTTTACCCACTGTAAACTGCTTTTTTAATTTAAAAAGTTTTCATTTTAGACCAGCCTTTGTGCGTTCTGTA